ATGATGCTGTTTGGTGTAGTAATAATACTTGAAAACCGACGTGGCACATCGTTGTTGACTTCTCGTCGGGGTTTTATCCCTGACCCATTCAGAACCGAAAAGGATCCTCGCGTCTCCCCCAATTCTCCCATGTCAGGCTTTGGCTCGACCTGATATCCCCTTGAACATGACCCCCACTCTTCGTGCAGTCTCCTATGTGGTTCAGCACAGTGTCTCCGAACAGGCAATGCCACTGACTTACTTCGCCAACGTGTGCTGTTACTTCGTACTTGTCCAAAGGAATCGAAGGAAGGATGAAGTGAACCGCTAGCCATTTATAGATTAGCGTACAAATGACTCCACTTTCGGTGGGCTGATTGGTCGGATCTTGGGCCTTTGATGCTTCTAGCAAAATTCTACGAGGAGACTAAAACCCAGAAGTACCAAAGTGCAGAGCAAAGGTATTGAAAAGTAAGTCATAGCCTGCCGCCTGCCTCATGGCTTGGCTTGCTTGGGCAACTGCCCACTCATCTCCAAACTTACCCACAAGACAACAAGGAGTCGCCGGTGGTTTCCGTCAAAACCAAGATGGCGTGGAGGAAAAGAAGAGAAAAAAAGATCCTGGGCGAGCTAAGAAGCTTAGGCATTAATTCCCCTCGTAGCCACAGTCGAGGCAAGCATGATTGGCGATATTCACAGCTGAATTTCTTGACTTCAGGCGCGTGATACCGAGGATTGTCGCGGCCATCGTCACCCTCCCACCAACACTACATCATAATTCTTTGGTTCATTGATACTTGTAGAGGGAGGTTGCTTGGATCTCCTGCGCCTTATATGGATCCATCTTCTTCATCCGTCTGTTCTTCACAGTGCGTGCATCCTGCTGCTAGGTCTGACCTCCCCAGATGAAACTGCCACTCAGCTGGTCACTCGGCCTAACCCGACCGCTGATAAGATTTCACATTGTTCTTGACGAGAATGACTCTATTATACCGGATCTATTGCCTCGAATATTTTCCACCTTTGCCAAGCTAGCCCCGAGTGCGGTCCCCGTTTTTATTTATTTATTTATTTATTTTTTACTTCTTCTTTGTTTCTGCTCAATACCATCGAGGGACGATTGCCGTTTCTCATCCAGCCCATCTTGCTTGATCAATCGCCGAGTTGCGCTTGGATCTTCCATTCCTCACTTCACATTAAATGTTTCGGTCGTTTGCTTGTCTCATCCTGATAGACATGCCGCATTATTATTGCTGTAGCGAACAGTACGAAGTATGCTCATCACTACCTCGGTACACGCACCTTTTTTTTTTTTTATCAAAACTTATCATGACGCGTGCCTCTCTACACTTCCTCCTACTTTAACAAAGAACCCTCCCACGAAAGGCCTCGACCATCGAGAAAGGTCTGGATGGCCTCAGCAGGTTTCACGATCAAAGGCCAGGCTCAGAGGACATGACATGACTGAATGAGCACGACGTGGCTCTGGATGAACCAGACGGATAGGACAAGAAAACCCAAGCATATGAAGGTGGCGCCAGATCTTAACTTTTGAGGGTTACGAGGTACTCGAGTAATACCTGGCAAACCCCTTTGAACCAAGTGAAACCCTGTATCAGTGTGAAATATGTTGAAAACACTGTGTACTTTAAGTGTACAAGACTCTCTTCGCCCACCCGTCAAGGTCAAAGGCTTGCTCCATCTTATTAATTGGGTCCAGGAACATTCTTTCCGTGTTCTTCTCTCTTTTGTGATAGTTCAGTATCGCCCTCGATGCTACTGTCCCGCAAAACGATCCTCCCCCAAAACCCGGCTCCTCAAAACCCGACTGGGTCTCTCAAAACTGCCTGTGTCGCCGCCTCCCCGTTGGGTTTGTCACCCCCTCGTTTCTCCTGGAGCAGCCTCTTAACCAATTTCTCACCACTCGTGAGCCGATGTCCCTTTCTCCCACTTCTTTTCCCTTTACCTTATCCCATCCATGAAAACCTGCTCGGAATAGCAAACCATCTAGAACATCACGATTCGATTACAAATCGTCCCGAGCCAACTTCTCTTCATCTCGACATCCTCGAAGTTCGTGCGAGATCCACATTCGGTTGAAATCAGCCACTCCTGGGCCATCTCGCGCAATTTTAAACATCCAGTCGAACGAGTATCGCAACGACGCCTGCGAGCGAGTGTCTTTTGCCCCCTTCTCCTAAACGGAGCCCATAAAAGGGAAATTAAGGAGGAGGACCGAAGCAAAGTTGATCTATACGACCACACGCATTACAGTCTCGTATGGGGTTCTTCGCAGCTTCGCGTCCTTGATTGCTGTGCTTCCCCCTTTCTCTTGCGTGCGAGAGATGGTTGGAGCGACTTTACGTAGACAGTCTCCATCTCCTCCCCGACCCTCAATGCACCCCCTTCCCGCGAGTCCTCTCCCAGGGCGTCCTCCATACTCGATGGCTGGGATTTTGGTCTCCGCACAATGATGTCGACCTCATCACGACCCCCAAGCGGTGCCTTTCTCACAACCTCTTACAACCCTCCCACATTATCTGATATATTATCAAACACATCGCAGCCTCCCTGGACCTTGAGCGCGTTTATGGCCTATCTGTCACAGAATCATTGCCTTGAGACTTTAGAGTTTACAATGGAGGCTGAGCGGTATCGCACTGAGTATAACCACATCATACACACGCGAACAGTGCCCATTCCCGAAGAGAACGAGTATATGTGCTCTATGTGGGCAAAATTGATGGAAGCCTACATTGTCCCCTGCTCTCCGCGGGAGGTCAATCTTCCCTGTCCGGTTCGCGATGGTCTCCTAAGCCATCCGTGCTCCACCACACCGCCACACCCTCACAACTCGACGAAGCCGTCAACATCGTATACGAACTAATGAATGACTCGGTTCTCGTTCCTTTTATTGAATCGATCTCTCCATACTGTCCAGATCATCAGATGGACGACGATCCTCTCGACCGTCGCCACAGCAGGTCCCGCATGCGCTCAAATAAAGAGCCTCCGCCCACTCAACGCGAAACAAGCCGTTCACCCAAATTCCTGCCGGCGGTTCTGGGCGGAAGAGGCAGCCGATCGGCATCTGCCTCTGTCGAAGCTGTTGACCGTGCTGGCTTGACCGATGATAGTGGTAGTGCAAACTCCCCACCGGCGATGGAACCGATGACCCTCCCATGACACCTCCGACAGCTGAATGGACCTTTGCCTCCTCGCCCCCGGTGGCCTTCAACGAGCACTAAATGCGCATAACAACGGGTGGAAGAAGGTCGGTGCAAAGCTCGGTCTGAGTAAAAACCGAGACCTGGGCAGCCAAAACATCAACATCGCACGTCAACATCCTCACCTATCGATAGAGATACGCCGATGATGGATGACAACCACTTATGAAGTGAACAGGCCATGTCACCTCCAGGAAACTCCGCCATGGACCTTTCGACAAGGCCAATATTCTCATGTAATATCACTAAAACCGACGGACGGCTTGGTTGGGAAGAACCTCATCCTGGTAGGCGGCTGTCCAGCCTGCCTGAGCTGAACCCGTCTGGTTGGGACGATAAATGCGCGAGAGTTGAAGGTCGTTGGCCACCGTGTGGTGGAGAACACAGGAGTGGCATGGCCGCAAAAGCTCGAAGCGAGCAAGACTATTGCCGATATAGAATTCAGAGGCTGTCCTTCACCAAACGACCTATACGACCTATTCGTTTTCAGAGTTACACCAAGGTTCGCCGCTGCTCCGCCGAGGATGGCGCACAAGAGGTCCACAGAACACGGTTGTGTCCGGGGAGACCTGTCGCCCAGCCTCAAGATTCGATGATGATCGACGCGTTATCAAGGTTGTCAGCAGAACTCGAGTCCGATATGGAGAGCAGAACCGATGTTAGCATGGAAACATACTCTCCCACCTTATGCGCAGATGATATGCTCGCCCCCATCTCCTCTCTCTCTCTACCCATTTCGTTCGCCGAGCTGTCTCACTTCTTTGAAAACCTCCCGATGGAGGGCGGCAGTTATCCAATGGCATGTTTTGAATCTTACGACAAAGCGAACATGGGGCTTGAGGACGTTTACGGCTGGGAGGCGGAGCTCGACAAACAGCTCTTAGTACAGAATCGGCGGAGATATCTCGCTGCATTGCGTGCCGTCACGAGCACAATGAAAAGAGGGAACGTTGGGGCGCGCAAGCTTTTTCAGCGCGTGTTGAACTTTGGACGCGATCCAGCAGCCGACGCAAACTTTAGCCGAAGGACGAGCATGGTGAAGACGTGTCACAGACCATGATACCACTGCAAGCGGGACGGAGTTCAAGGAGGAGGCGCACTGGGGATTTGTTTTTGGCGTTGGTTGCCGCATTTTGTGTCTGGCATTGCCTTTTCTGGGGGTTTTTCTTTTTAACGCTTTTTTTTCCCTTCTCATTGTTTTCATGAGACACGTTCACAGCATACACGGGCATGCATGATAGACGCGGCTTGATCTAGGAAGTGGAGTGCAAGGGGCCCCGGGCGTTTTGTGTTTATAAAGAGCGGCGCCCCCTGCTATGGCTTGGGCGGGATTTCACAGTCATTTCTCTTGATCTCCTTCTATATTTCGGACTTTGTAATCAAAATGTCAAGATACTTGCATCACCCCAAAGGGAAAGGTTGGATGGAGATCTCTAACAAAGCGTTATAAGATGGATGAATCCGGAATTATTAAGCTCAAGTTTCTTTCTAAATGGGGTGAAGCATAATTTGGTCCCCAATTTCCAGTTGTCAGTCGTTGAGACGGGGGTAATGGGCTTGTTCAACTCCGTGAGATGAGCGACATTGCTGCATCTCTGTAGCTACTAAGAAGACCCGAAAATTGATTTTTGGGGACAGCTGGGTTCAACGGTCTGGGGAACCCTCCCCCAAAAGTAGGTTATGATGTCAATTCCCATAAATTGATCAGTATAAGAGTGTGCTGGATCGTCATTCGCAGCGCTGGCGCACACTAAGAGGGGCATAAAGTGTTCGCCACCACCAGAAGGGTGCATCTCAAAGCTATGCGGCAGGCCGCGCCAGCATCGTAGCCTCGCCAGCCTCTCGGCACGAGTGGGGCGAGAGACAACTTGAGAGAGCGCAACATTCCAGGTATCTGAGCGGGCTCTGAAGCCGGCCAAGTCCGCATGATTGGTCGGGGCGCGAAGACGCCGCAGAATGCCGAGGTTATGGAAGGAAGCAAAGCCCGAGCCGACAATGGCAACGTTGGAGTCTCGGAGCTTGGAGAGGGCGGCACCCATGCGGAAGTGTGCCGCCGGGTCTTCGCTTTCCAGCACGGAGACCTGGACTATGGGTATGTCGGCAGCCGGATTGATGAGGAGAAAGGGAATGAAGACACCATGGTCCCAGCCTGATAGAGAAAAAGGACCCGACAAAAGCCCCGAAGAACGGGGCAAAGCGTTCCGGCAGTCAGCTAACTGCGCATAGTTATTACTCCGGGAAGGTGATTTGAAGGGAACAGCAGAAGCACTGGTCAAAGGGGGTCCTACCCGGCCCCCATTTTCCTTACTTCAACTCTTTTCACCGCCAAAAATAGATTTGAAGAAAGGGCAACGAAAAACCTACCCCTTTTGGCGTCAAGTTTAGGTTGTAGACCCTCAGCCAGCATAGCCGCCCGAATTTCGGCCGCCACCTCGGGGCTGCCGGGGGCATCATACTTGAGGCTATATGCCGCCTCGGGGAAGTTGTAGTAGTCATAGTAGAGCTCATGTTTGGGGGCCGATGAGATGGTAGGGTGACCTTCCAGCCAGTGGGCCGTCACGACGATGATGGCACGCGGGGCCCGCGGAGTACCGAGGCCGAGTATCCGGGGCACCCGCGTGCTAAGGGACGCCACAATGTCCCCGTGGTTTGGGTCGCCGAGGATGGGAAGCGGGCCTGGAGGGCAGACACACCCGTTCCTGCGCGTTAGTCTTGGTTATCATATGCACAGGCCGGGGCGAGTGCCCGTGGTGAGTTGGGACTTGATCGATAATAACGAGAGTTGGGGTGAAGCCATTACCTCCTCCATGGGAAACGCAGATGACGGGAGCGCGATACATGTTTCCCCACTCACAGCAGCTCTTAGGAGCAGGATTCGCCAAAGGCCGTGTTGGCGACAAAAGGATTATATGTTTGAGGAAGACGATGTTGATCTTAATTGCCAAGATAAATTGCCCCAATCTTGTAAGCCAACTCTAGCAGCGCCACGGATGTAGAAAATAATCATCCGACAACACAGACAAGGCGTAGTATGCAGAGAACGAGCTAAATAGATTTTATCTACCTCGGTAAGGTGGGACCTTTTTATCCTACACTAGCGCCCGGGAAACAGTTGAGGGGGTGGATTTCTTCACAACGAGCTAGCACCCAGCCACGCGCCCGAGAAACCCTCCAGGTACCGTCCTCATCCATCATGCAAATCCGTGCCAGAATGGCGAGCGTTTTAGGGCGGAGAAGGTAGGGTCACAACACATCCATGGATCGTTCGGCCAACATTAGTCAGAATTGGTAAGACTTGTCGTCCAAGTGGAGAGCCTGTGGGATGAGGAGGGCTGTATACGGGGCATGGAGGCTTCTAGGAGCGGGACTATTTTAAACCTGCGGGAGCACTTCTCACGCCCGTCTCCCGGCCATCTCATAGAGTGCCTGGCGTGCGCTTCCACTCTAGGAGAGGCGTCCTGGATCGCTTTGGGCCAAGGGGCGGGGGCCCTCAAGCGCTCCAGCGCGCAATAGCCAGTGTATCCGTGATATGGTGCGTTGGGTGAAGCGGCCTTGGGATTTCTCTGTTGGCTCAATTTCCCTCGCTGTCTTTGACAGAGGCGCCGCGGGCCGCTCTGCCTTGGGTTACGCCGCGGGCAGTCGATAGACCGATCCATCTTGGGGTATAATAAAACAATATCGACCCTAGGTTTGGCTCTGAAGGATGTTCCTGACCCCGCAATGAAAAAAGCGGCAATCATGTAATAGAAGGGCCTCTGATGCGAGGAGTGAAGGATGGACCCAATGGATCCATACATTGCCTGTTTCCTGCCCAACACCCCAGACGCCCGTTACACCTTGGGCAGCCTACGGGTGGATTAACAAATCATTACAAGTCCCGGGGCCCATCATGGCGCGAGTACATCTTCCACTCAAGGGAATTCGCAAAATCGAGTCTTCCTTGCTCAACCTGTTTCCTGGTCGCCGAGAGCATCGGCCGCGGCAGGCCCATGGATTCCAGAAACGCGACGGCTAGGTGACCGATACCATGTAATAGTCAGCTACGTCCGTAATTCTCGACAGGGGAAAAAAAGCCCTTGAACTTGGCCCCGTGCCTAACGCGGCTATGGATTGGTGGGTGCGATTCCAACTTACTCTCTTTCCATTCTAGGCCCTGTCGGTTCTTATCCCAGCCGAGCTCCTGCGCCATGATGTCAATGACGAGGGGCAGCGCCTCAAGAGCAGCTTGTGCATTCAAGAACGCCAGCCTCGTCCGCCTAGCTAGTACATCGACCGCTGTCTGTGCATATTCGTGCCTGACAGAATAGCGTACTTCGCCATCTACGAAGGGGTAGAGCTGGGAGATGCGCTCACCGCGGGCTGGAAAGCGCCTGTTTGTGAGCTCGCATAGGGAAGAGACGGCCCATGCGCGATCACCGTAGCTTTCCGTCAGGTGCTTAGCAACCTCAGTTTCAACCCCAAAGTGTTGGATCAAGGGGATGAACAGGGTCGGGCTAAATCCGTGAGCACCCACGAGGCGCACGTTATGGGTCTGGCAGGTGCCGTCGAGTATTGCACCATCGTCAACAATGTCGGTCCCGCTGATGGATGGGGCGTTTTTAAATGGTTTGGTCAGAAGCTCGAATTCCTTCACAGCAACATCCACGCATTCCTCCGCCATCTGTCGATACGTCGTCCACTTGCCGCCAGCGCACGTGATGAGACCCGAGGCGGAGGTGTCAATTAGGTGATTTCTGACGAGCGATTCCGTGTTCTTGGCCTTGGGATCCTTGACGAGGGGCCGAATGCCAGACCAGGCGGCGAGAACGTCTCCGCGGCGTACGTTGATATCGGGGGCAATGTACTGCCTAATCTCACTTAAAATCCACTCAATCGCCTCCTCTTCGGGCAAGGGATTGGGGGTGATGGTACAGGCGTCATCGGTCGTGCCGGCGATAGTATTGCCCTGCCAGGGCAAGAAGAAGATCACCCGGCCGTCGGAGGTGGAAGGGTCGATGAGGCCCATGTTTGAGGGACTAAAGTACCCCGGGAGAATCACATGGACCCCGGAGGACGGCGACACAATGTTGGCAAACGTGGGGTCATCCATCTTCCGAATAGAGTCGCAAAGGGACCGGTGCAATTGATAATACACTTGGCTTTGATGGTAATCTCTGGGGATTCGCGACGATCCCTTGCGGGAATGTGGTCAGTCAAGGTGGCACCGGTGAGCTTGCCGTTGTCGTCTTTGAGAAGCCGAGTGACCTCCATGTGATTGACCACGGTCGCGCCGTAGAGGGCTGCGGTCATGGCGAGGGAGACGTTCATACGCGAGTCGTTGTGAGCGCCGTCGTAATAGACCAGGGCGCCGAAAAGGTCGGTACGCTTGAGCATAGGAAAGGCGTCGAGGGCCTTGCTCTTCGTCAAAAAGTAAGAGCTCTCAATGCCTTCACTGCCAGCGAGCATGTCGTACACTTTTGTGCCAGCCCAGTAGTACGGTGCTTTCCACCACCGGTCTATGGGAAGCATGATGGGGAGCCACATGCTCAAGTGTGGAGCTGTGCGCAGGAAGTATTTACGCTCCTTGAGGGCTTCCCGAACGAGTTGGTATTGGGCATAGTCGAGGTTCCACACGGCCTTTTCAAGATAGCGTACCCCGCCGTGCACAAGTTTCGTGCTCTTGCTGCTTGTGCCGCTGCTAAAGTCATCTCTCTCGATCAGGGCGACCTTGAGACCACGGGTGACGGCATCTAGGGCAACACCCGCACCGGTGGCTCCTCCGCCAATTACAAGAATGTCATAATCGTGTCCCCCAGTGTTGGAGCTTTGTTTTAACTTGGATATCTGCTCGTCCCGAGATGCAACTCGGGGAAGCGAGGGAGTTTGAACGTCCCGTCAGCTCCGTAGATCGGGTGGGGAACCGCCGGCGGCTCAAACCCCGGTATCTCACGCGGGCGGTAGCTGTAAAGATGGTTCCACCAACCACGCTGGCGGCGATAGGCAGCGCCCACCCCCGAGCATGTCGGAGTCGAGAAGCCGGAGCCATAGAGGATCTTATGTAGGACGGCTCAACGAGTTTCACGGAGGACTAGACTTTCTGAAGCCTTGGGCGGAAAAAGGAAGGGAACAAAAAAAAAAGACAAGGGAGGACAAGAAGCAAAGAAGGGAAAACGTAAGAGACGATCCTAATTATATGCACACTCCCCGGTAGCCCGCTAATCTGTAGGGTAGTTGAGGCACTGGGGCCGTCTAGGTCGAGGTAAGAGTTTGAGCCAGGACCTCAGAACATGCAAGGGAAGTGACTGTTGAGGAGAGGAATAAATGCAATCTGAGAGTGGGAAGAACTGTTTATAAGACTGGTTGAAAGACACCGCCCACAAAGTATGAGTTCGAAAAGGAATGAGCCAAGAGTAATTTCGGTTTCCCTGCAAGACTAGCTCTGCTTTGACAATCCGAGTCCACGATGCGTGATATTACAAGTGTTGCTGTTCCTTGCCCATAAAGTCCGCTTCAGGAATAAAGCCGAGCGTTGTCGTCGATGACGTCGTCGAACACACACAGAGAGGCCCCACCCCAAATAGGCAAATTGACAATCTGGGTGAGCCAAAGGCGAGCCCGGAGAGAGGATTCAAATCAGACGAACTCGACACATGGATGTCTTCGCTCAGCTAACGAACGATCGAAAGAATTAGAACTATCCTTTCCATCTTCGGGGTAGTTTGAAGAGCACTGCAGGTGAAGGCGTGGAAAGAGTTTAAAAGAAAAAAGAAAAAAAGAAAGAGAGAGGGGGAAGGGAAGGGCGGCGAATCGAGGTGCTGTTTTGAAGTTGTACCGGGGCGGGAAACGGAATCGGAAACTCGAGGACTTTGTTGTTTTGTTTTATTCATCCAGATATGTAATCGAGACCGACGCAGGTTAAAAGCCGAGGATCATGTTTGGCTTATGAGCAGGCTGAGCGGCAATGCGTGGGAAACACTAAATAATGAGGTTGGTGCTTCTCACATGTCAGTCTCATATTTGAACACAAAGGATCCGGACATGTAGCCTAAGCGCGTGTAATATAGAGTACGATGGCCGACACCGTGCTACGAAAACAAGGTCCCCTAGATGATTAGTTGGCCAAGGCTGTGACCAAAGTGACCAAGTTAATTAACAGGAGTTGAGAGCAATGAGCGTTGCTGTTGCCTCTGTTTCCCGCGGCACCCTGTTCACGCATAAGTGTCCAAACGCGGTGGGCTTGAAGTTGAAATGACCGTCGAATGCTGAAACAAAAGGGCCAGTCATAATCGATATAGATTTCCCGGTGAAACAAAGGCTTTGGAAAAGGCCCTCTCGATTCCCGTTGGTGTCATTTATCTATTGTCGTTGCAAAATACCCGTCATTGTATACATAAACCGGGCCTAGGGCCTAGATCGTGATGCCCAGACCCCATATTCATGCCCTTCTTGGCCCTTTGGTAAATCCCCTTGGATACCCCACACCCTTCAATGTTCCTCTATCCTCTCCCCGACCCCCTAGTTTGTTGCCAGGGATGACCGTCCCTTTTAGAGCAACTTGAGATGCCCCGTGACCTTGTCCACCAGGCTCTGCGGAGCGGGCCCGACACCCAGCACCGTAAGGCTTCCCGCCTCGATCTGCGTCCTTCCTGCGTCCGCAATCACTTGCGCCGTGATGCCTAAGCTTCTCGCTACTCCCATGAGCTCCATCATCTCGTCCTGGCTCTTGATCTGCACCGCAATTTTCTTCTGGCCCCTATTCTCCCAGCGTCTCAGAAGCTTCCCCTCCGCCGAGTTCGGGTTCCGTTCAGCAGTCCGGGCGAGCTCCTTGTAACAGGCGAGCGTGGCGTGCGAACATTGTGCGGCAATCTTGCCTACCAAGTTGCGTTGGCGAGTTAGTAAAAGAATCTCCATGGGATGAAGCGAGAAAAAAATGGCGGAAAGAATAAAGCGGTGGGGAGAACGGGGGTTGGATATAGAGTACAGAGAAGTGTAACGCTCCGAGCACTGGTTCGTGCAATTTGAATCCTCGTCAAGTGCTGAGGATAAGAAGAAGGAGGGGGAGGGGGAGGGAGGGACGACAGAGGGGGAAAAATATCAGAAAGGGAGGGACAGTTCTAACCTTTGGTCATGCCCAGGTCCGTACGTACGACGAGGACCAGCTTGCACTCCTCATTCGAGCTTCCAATTGCCAATGCAGCCTTCGCCTTGCGAGGCTCCTCTGTGTCATCAGTCTGCTTAGGCTTCTTCGACGGATCAACCCGTAGTCCGTCCCTCCTGTCTGCATCCTCGCCGTTGGACCAATTGGGCGCGTGGTCTAGTATCGTATCGTCCTCATCGATGTCTGATTCATCACTTTCGATCGGGTCTCCTAAAACCTTCCGTCGCTCCTCGGCAAGGTCGGGGGAGATGATGTAGCCGCGAATGGTGAAGATACCGAGTAAGAAGCCTGTGAAGAGAGAGACGAAGCCTGTCGAGAGAACCATCGCCGTCTGCCTCGATTTATCGTCGAGTTCGAACATCGTGGCGAATCGGGGGCGTTTTAGTTGCACTATCAGCGTTGAGATCAAGGCGCAAGAGCTTTTCGGGCGAATTTTGGGCGCAGAAATGCGAGGAAGATACGGTTTTAGCGGACCAAAATGCTCAGGATGGGCAACAACTCGGAGGTTGGGAAAATTGGAGGCTTTGTTGTGTCAATTCTTGAGTGAATGTGTCAGAGAGAGTTTGGTTCCGAGTTTAGCTCAACGCCTTCTTTTGCGTGCACCTTTTTACTTTTTCTTTTCTTTTCCAGACCAGGATAAGAGCTCTGACGCTAGCAGGAGAGCAAGGACCTCCAAAAGGACAAAAACAGGTTGGTACCTGAATCGGTTGATTGATCGTCTTTTGAGAAAATCCACGTGCAAGGAAGGGCCCACACTTTTACAGGCCGCTTCCCATTGAGCACTTGTGAGTGAGAAGATGATAATATCCATAGATCCATAGATGGGTCTATCCACTCGTCCCTTCATTCCTGGCTGGGTTGCAGATTCGGAACCGGCTAATTATTCACTTCAATCCACCATGCGATCGGATTTAGCCCATACCCGCCACTGTCAGACAAGCAGGGCCGTTTGCGATGACGAAATGCGTACCGATACTATTACACCCGTCAACGGATGTTTATCTCTGGGTGGTGGACTTGCTTAACCTAGAAATACATGTAGACTTGGGTCGTTGCTCAGCTCAATTTTGCCGGCGCTCGCCCTTCCCTTAGTTCGCCCTCTCCAAGGTAGATAGATCTATGAATTCATTGATAGAGAAAACGTTCTCATGAGAAAACTTTTATATGCTTTTAGTGTAACCGCGTAAATGCCGTCTATATGTACATCTCCAAAGTTTATCGCATATTTTTGTTGCCGACTCACGAGACGCTGCATTCACTCACAAACGTTAATACTTAAACACCTTCGTTTGTTGTGTCATTCACCAAGGCAAACTCCTCGAGTCCGGTAATCACCTTCTCCACAGCCCACTCAAGGGTGGTCTCCATATCGACGTCAAGCCCGCGATCCAGCTGGGCCATGATGCCCGTCTCCGCCAGCACGGCCTTGTTTGGTATGCCCTCAACATCTCCTTTTTCGAATAGCCACGCGTGAGAAGTCGCGTAGTTGGGCCACACTATCTTTTCCACGTATCCCGGAGGATCCTTCCAAAACCCCTCTAGCGTGACGTAGCCATCACGAGCCTCTCTTCTCTGCACCGCCTTTTCCCGACTCACTAGCAGAAACAGCTTGAGATCTATGAGGTTCATGACCGACTGCATTTCCTGGGAGTATAAGAGAAACCCGTCAAATAAGCAGAGGCGCAGGCTCCCTTCCGTGAATAATTTGTGGATCGGTTTTGCCTTCTCCAGCCAGCTCGCCACTTTCGCCTTCATCGCTTGCATTTTGGCATCGGAGACGGGCCGCTTTCCTACCGAGTTCTGGTCCTCCTTGGAATCCAGGCTGGCCTGAGATGACGCTTTAGTCGAAGGACCTGGAACGGAACACCCATGGTCGGTCCGCGCGGAGAGCAAGGTAGATAGATGGGTACCCACAGGAAAGGTGCCGGTGGCGTGAATATGAACGAGTGCTTCTTCCATGTCGGGAATGGAAATCGCATCGGCACAGTCCCAGTCTTGGAACCCATTTCGCACAGGTATGCTTAATTTTCAACGTGTGGGAGACGGACGCGGAGAGCAGTTAGTGATGGTCCTTACGATAGATGAGAGCATTACGGGCGAAGTAGTGCTCTGCCACTGGAAGTGCCTCGGAAGAATGGCAAGACCTTACTCGGTATCCGTTTTGTAAAAGTCATCTTCATGCAGTATCATGGTACTGGGAAAGATGTCCCGTAGCAATCGAGCAAGGGTCGTCTTCCCGCTTGAAGAGCACCCGCTGATACCTACAATAAATGCCTTGCTTCCCGACATGGGGGCGCTGTTGCTTCCAGGCCGGTAGAATCTCCTTTCTGGTTTCTTGGGGCGAGGTGCCGGCCTCAAGCATCGAGGTTCGTAATAGTCGAGACTTTGATCAATTGGGTTGTTTCGGTGGTGGGGTCGCCGATTTTCTTGATGGAGGGTTGACCATGACCCAGCAAACGCCTACAGCCCACTCACTAATACTGAGGCGGGGTTTCGGTGGTGGTCGCGTCCAATACGGGAGGGAGCAGGAGTAGGTGGAGAGCGAGAAGGTCACTGGTCTGGTAGAGAACACAGACCATTGATGGTGCTCTTTGCTTGGCTGTTGCGTGGTTTGCAATGTGGGTTGTGTGGGCACGGGCGAGTGTACGAAGACGCAGAGATAAGCGCTGAGGTACTTTGCCTCGACTACCTGCGATTTCGAGAAAGACTACCAGAGTGACAATTGATTGTGGTTGCACGCCGCAATGTGCGATTATTCACCTCGATGACATATCGAAAAAAAGAAGGAAAAAAAGAAAAAGGGAAAGAGCCGGACGGCATAACGGCACTGAATCCCCTCTTAACCTTTCCTCCCCACCCTGTCGCTGTGGATCGGGGCTGTCTTGTTGTCCGATGCCCACTCTCCGGTGGGAGAGATAACAAACCTTTTTACGAGGTGGACCTTGAGGTGGGTGTGCAAGTCTGACTTACGGGGAGAGCTACGCTCATCAACTCAAGCTTCGAACGGTTTTCCTAACCCCACTTGATACTTGCTTTCTGGTTCTTCTTCTTTTTCCTTTTTTTTTTCTCCCGACGGAGAATCAACTCCAGCTCACATGTCGGGTTACTTTTTGCTTTTTCCTCCTCTCTAGCTTTCCCTTTCTTGCTGCTCATACCCCGCGGTGCCCCTCCATAAACTCCATAACTCGCTTCTGTTTGGTATTGCCCCATCTCTGCGATCCGCATCCGCCCATTGATTGATAGTTGTCGGTCCCGTTCTCCGCGCTCTACACACGAGGGACGCTAGCAATTCATTGCTTTAGTTAGACTCGCCATGTCTCACACGAACCCCCATGATCACGACCACGACCACGTCCATGGCCATGGACACGGCGGCCATTCCCATGACACCGGATTCTCAGCTGCTGAACATGGCCATTCTCACGAGATCCTCGACGGTCCCGGAAGCTATCTAGCCCGTGAGATGCCCATCGTCGAAGGCAGAGACTGGAAGGAAAGGGCCTTTACCGTTGGCATTGGCGGGTGAGTTTCTGTGTATCTCCTTTGCTCATTGGGTGGAGACGAGTGGTTTAGCAGGAAGTCAAGAGTCTTTGATATCGTGAACACAAGGCCTGTTTCGTGACTCGCTTTCCCTTTCCCTCATAATTCTTACTCCTTGTTTCTTCCCAGCGTTTCTTGAAATACAATCAAGATCTCCCGCCTCACTTTTATGATCTCCTGGCTGATGCCTAACTCTTAGCCCCGTTGGCTCGGGTAAAACTGCGCTCATGCTTGCTCTCTGCCTGGCCCTACGCGACAAATACTCCATTGCCGCCGTAACCAATGATATCTTCACCCGTGAGGACGCCGAATTCCTCACGCGGCACGCTGCCCTTCCTGCCCCTCGTATCCGAGCTATCGAGACAGGTGGCTGCCCCCATGCTGCCGTCAGAGAAGACATCTCTGCCAACCTTGCTGCCCTGGAAGATCTCCAGCAGGAATTCACCGCCGACCTCCTCCTAATCGAGTCGGGAGGTGATAACTTAGCGGCTAACTACTCTCGAGAACTTGCCGACTTCATCATCTACGTCATTGATGTTAGTGGCGGCGATAAGGTTCCCCGGAAGGCGGACCTGGTATCACCCAGAGTGATCTGCTTATAGTTAACAAGACTGATATAGCTGAGGCTATCGGTGCTGATCTTGACGTTATGGACCGGGACGCTAGAAAGATGAGGGATGGCGGGCCTACCTTGTTCTGCCAAGTAAAGAAGGGCAAGGGAGTGGATCACGTTGTCAACTTGATTCTTAGTGCTTGGAGGGCCAGCGGCGCCGAAGCCGTATCTAAATCCCGGGGCGGCCCCAAGCCGACTGAGGGCCTTGACGCTCTCAAGACTGCTTGAGCACGTTCGCGGCGTTGGAATCCTGACCGCGGTCACGTTATAATTTTTGTCCGTGTAGATGTATTCTATTCAGGTCATCATGTCGTTATGAAGACAGGTTATGAAGGCAATGCCTTCCCTAAAAGAAAAAAAAAGAACGAAATGTGGTTCCCACCCAAAGAAAGAAATGCAGAAAAAGAGACAAATATTCGTCATCTGGTGCGCATATTCCCCGTAACTATCAGTAAGAATCGGACACAAGATTACTGCTCCTCCATATCCATGTCGTCGCCGATGGCCTCCTGCGGCGACGCACCAAGCATGGGGCCCTCCAGCATGGTTGCGTTCCTCGGCCAGACCCTCTTGTACAAGCTGATTCCGATGGCATCCTGGGGGTTGATGCGCCCATCAAATGTGGCCTTGAAGTATCCATGCGTACCGAGCGTCTCCTTGACGTACCCGCTGCGGCCCCGCTTGGTCCACAGCGGCATGGCCTTGAACCAATCCACATCCTCCTTGTTGAAGAACATGTAGCGGATCGTGACAACCTTCTTGTGAATGTGGTACGGGTGGCCGGTCAGGATTACCCTCTTCGCGACGACTCTCGAAGTTGAGGGCGGTAGCGACGTTCCTGTAGCAATCAAGCTGAGGCCCGCGTTGGAGGCATCGGCGCTTTCCGCCTGTTCCGTGCTGGTGCGCTTGTAGATGAGCGTGGGGACACTGCCCCAGACTACAGGGCCCATGAAGGTAGCGACTGCGCTCTGGCCCGGGTGCAGGTAGCGGGAGTACTTGTGCACGTCGTTGGGGGTGGTCCCCGCTTGGGAGAAGAGGGGACGGATGATCATCCGGCGGGGGCCGCACTGGAGGATGAGCTCCTCCTTGGACTTGATGGACTTGGGGTAGTCGGAGCTGAGGTTGATGAGGAAGTTGACGGCGGTCTTCTTATTCTCGTGCCTTAGGAGGGAGAAGAGAGTCACTGGGGCGGCAGGGGTGTAGGATTCTCTCAACTTGTCGGGGACGCCACGCAGGTGAACGTGGACGCGCGTTCCCGGAGCTACGCCTCCCACGAGGGCTTCACGAGCGGTTAGGACGCGGGAAGATTTGTAGTCAGGGATCTGCAGCAGCCTTCGCCACTCCTCAGGCTCGTGAGCGCGATCTTCGTCCTCGGCCCAAGGGCTGGTCCGCAGACTCTTGAGGCCGCGATAGCGGGCTAACCTTTCGCGAGCGAGGACATTGGGATGGAGCTCTAGCTCATCTGGGAATTCCTTGTCCTCGTCAGCCTCATCCCTTCTCCGCGCCCTGTATGCCGCTAATTGTTCGGCATCCGCCTCCTCATCCGGCTCAATCATCATCTCTGATTGGGGGTACTCGGAGGGACCGGCCTCAGTGGGCTCACGAGGTGCATATCCCTCGATCCCGTCTTCGGGGGCGGCGGCTTCTGAGTCAGCATCCTCCATATCGAAATCCTCAAGGTCTGACCCCGAGTCGGAGATATCATCTTCAAGGTACCATGCGGACTGGTAGGCGGAGGTGCCTTTGGAACTCGCTTTTTGACGGCCCTTTCCTCTGGACCCTCATCTTCAGAGAAGTAGTGATGCTCGTCTAGGAGGACGCCCTTCTTTGGCGCCGCCCCAACATCAGCCATCCCGTTATCGTCATCCATCATGACCTCCTCTGGTGCTAGATCCGCGATCTCATCACGGTCTTCGGTCGGGGTGTCGAGGACATTCTCCTCAGCCTCGTCCTGGCCGTCAATTTCCTTTCCTTTGTTGTTACCGGAAGGAAGGGGTGCTGCTGTTATCTTTTCGATTTGGAATGTACCCCAATCGCCGACTTGCACGAGTCTATCCGCTTTTAAACCACGTCCGCGAACAACGCCGGTGAGCACGGTGGAGTGATTCTCGGATGCTGCAAACCTGACGTCTTCGACTAACATCCAGCTCCTCTCCTCGCGCCATTTAATTCCCTTTGGCGTAGTGCTGCAGAGTGATCTCATCAGATTTGCGCAATCTTGCCGATTGTCGAGGCTAAAAAGCTTGTCTTGGTCGGGGTGAAAGTGAGTAATGTAGGACTTGAGAGAGGTGAGGGTTTGCTGCTTGTGCTTCGGGTTCTCGACTTTTCCTAGTCCATGAACAGCGGTGTAGAGGGTGGAAAGACCCTGGCTTTGCACGCTGCGGAGGAGTAGCTCACCGAGGTGATCAACCTCGACGTCGGCGGAGAGGAGAATGACGACAAAATCGGCGACTCGAGCGGCGTCAAGACAACTCGTAAGGTCTCGCCTGAGAGGTATGTACATGAGCTTCTGCTTAAACCTGTCGACTGATACTCGGAAGCAGCCATCCTGGACTTCCGCATCGATATCGAGACTTTCGTTCAAGGCCTTGATGGCGGATTGGGCATCGGCGTCTTCGCAAAGGGGAATTACCGCCACAGTTCTGGGGGCGCCATCTCTTCCGGAGAATACTTGCGCCTCTTGCTGGTGTTCTCGGCGTTTCGTCAGTTGCTTTTGCTTTGCCTGGTTACGGCGGTCGAATTTGGACATGACATTCTGATGAGGAGTTCTCCGAACACCCCGCTCAACTCGGCCTGAAGGGAACAATATCATGTTAGTTATTGCGCGGGGCTTCGCTAATAAATTGTCCTAGAGAATCAAGCCAAAAACAGAATCGCGGTAAACATACCTTTTGACTGTTCTCTCAAGGAACCCTTTGTCGCTTTTCGTGACTTGAAGGCTTTGTGTGTTACCTTGGTCGTCGGGCGATGGCTATGCGCAGCCGGGCCAGACATCTTTGCTTCTCCGCCGGCCTTGAAGCGAAACGGAAGTGATGCCAGTTTGATGGTTGAACCGGTAAAGGGTGTGGCAATGCCTGTAAGGAGAGGCACGATTGGAAATGTTTGCGGTTTCTTGTGGCCGCAATGAAGTCAAATCGTGGGCTGGGAGTGGTTTTCGCAGTCTTATTCGGTGCACTTGGCTTGGTGACCGCTTTTCAAAAAATAATTTTTGGCGGGGCGAGCAAAAGTTGAACTTTGGCGGGGAAAAGTTTAGGATTTTTTGTGCGCCCTATCGATAAGAAGCGATAAGATAAGCCGCAAAGAAATTTTGTCCTGCCAAAGCATCCATACTTGCAAAGTCAACTTTGAACAGCCCGTTCCCCCACGTCCGCCTTGATACTCTACCCCGACAAATACTTTTTAAAATCACTAAACCAACACGCTCGCCGAATCTGTCGACATACTATGGAAGACGTGGTGACGGCAGTGGCGGAAAAGCCAAAGTCAAGGCTCAGCGCCCTGGAAAATCCCATGGCGCTGTGGTGGCTCGCCAATCCCGAACCGACCTAGTCCCCAAACATGAGAGACTGAAGCAGCAACGACACCGCGCTGCGGATAGCGAGTACGGCAGAGGAGTGGGACTCAATGTTAAGAACATCAAGGACAGGAAGCTTAGGAGGAATCTCTCTGTGCTTGAGACCAAGTTCAAAGATGCTGCCGTCAAGGCCAAGGATGCCGAGATTCTCCACGAAAGCGCGGCAGGCTTCCTTGAGACAGAGCACGATCTCGAGCGGACATACCGAGTGCGTCAGGACGAGATAACAGAGAATGCGGCGATAGAAACGGCGCAAAAGAGATTCGACCTTACCCTTGACCAATTCGGCCCTTACGTCTTCGACTACTCGCGAAACGGCCGACAGCTACTCCTAGGCGGGCGCAAGGGCCACATAGCGACGATGGACTGGCGGGAGGGTAAACTTGGGTGCGAAATCAACCTTGGGGAGACGGTGAAGGATGTCAAGTGGCTGCACAATAATCAGTACTTCGCCGTAGCGCAAAAGAAGTACGCCTACATTTACGATCACAACGGCGTGGAACTCCACTGCTTGCGGAATCTTATGGAGGTTACCCATATGGAGTTTCTCCCTTACCACTTCCTCCTCGCCACCATGGTAAGCTAGGACCTTCCATTGCACTTAAAAGTTTTTCTTTCTCCTCAATCTAACCCCCTCTCTTCTCTCTTCATATAGTCCACGCCTGGCTGGCTCAAGTACCAAGACGTCTCGACTGGTAATCTTGTCAGCGAGATTCGAACCGGTCTCGGCGCTCCAGTATCACTCACCCAAAACCCATGGAACGCAATTCTTCATGCTGGCCATCAAAACGGCACTGTCACCCTTTGGTCCCCGAACTCATCGGAACCTCTGGTCAAGTTATTAGCGCACAAGGGACCTGTACGGTCGCTTGCGATAGACCGCGGCGGCCGGTATATGGTTTCCACTGGCCAAGATCTCAAGATGGCAGTCTGGGATATCCGAATGTTCAAGGAAGTAAACACATACTTCACCAGACAGCCCGGCTCGTCCGTCGCAATATCGGACACAGGCCTCACCTCGGTATCCTGGGGGACGAGCACTACGGTATGGAAAGACCTATTTTCCACCGAAAAGTGAAGAACCCATACATGTCATGGGGAGGAGAGGGTAAAAAGATCGATAGGGTAAGGTGGTGTCCATTTGAGGACGTGCTCGGACTGGGCCACGAAGACGGCTTTTCATCAATCCTTGTTCCGGGTGCCGGCGAACCTAACTTCGACGCCCTTGAGGTGAACCCCTACGAGAACACAAGGCAGAGACAAGAGGGCGAGGTCAAGGCGCTCCTCAACAAACTTCAGCCTGAGATGATTGCTCTAGACCCCAATTTTATCGGTCACCTAGACCTACGATCTCAGAAGCAGCGAGAAGCCGAAAAGGACCTCGACACTAAGGCGCCCGACTTCATTGAAGAGCTCCGCCACAAGACAAGAGGCAGGAATACCGCGCTCAAGAAGCACATGAGGAAACAGCGCAAGAGGGGTATCATCGACGAGAAGAGGTTGAGGATCGAACAGCTTTGGAAGGAGCAGCAGCAGAAGGATACCCAACGACAGGAAGAACAGCAGGCTGAGCTAGGGCCCGCGTTGTCGCGGTTTGTAAGAAAAGAATAGTGCGTGGCATAGTGGTACTACGGCAGGAAAACATTAATACCCAAATACATGGGCCTCCTCGGTCCCAAGCAGTGCGTTTCTAGCTGTCCCGGGAGTTTGAGTAACACCAAGGAGATATCAATGATATATGGAACAGATAAAAACCAATTGACGCCGCCAATGACAGAAAGATCTTGTCGAGCCCTCTTCCCGGATCATCCCTTTGTAGTCTCCGATTCATCCTTTTTATTATAAAAAGGAAAATGAAGCCATCCCACGCTTAAGCGAATTCATCATCATCACCCTCAGTCGTCTTTGCAATATTGTTCTTTACCCTAAGCAGAAGCGTCGTCTTCCACTTGTCCAGCTTGCTCACCTGGTCGTACATGTAGAGCTTGTCAGCAAAGTCTTCCGGATCGCCCGCCTCCACGGCGGCATAAACGTCGTTCAGGAGCATATTTTCCCTCTGGGACGTGAAGCTGGGGTCCATTTCGCCATAGCTGCTGATGGCGCGCTGAGCGGCCACGAGATCGCCGGTGGCCAAGTGGCAGATGCCGGCCTTGAGGAAGTAATCTTTTACCGAGTACTTCATGAGGTTGTTGTTTATAGACGCCTTGGCAACCTTTTCAAAATTTTCGATGGCCTTGTGATAGTTCTCGTCGAGGGCGGCAAGGTCGGCAACCTTGAGCCATAGTTTATTCGCGAGCCTGTTCCGCAAAGTTAGACATCTACAATAAAATGGACGAGGCCTCGGCAGCCTCCAGGGGCGTTATGGACAGATACATACGCAACGGCATTATCGCCCTCGTACCAGCCGGCGGCGGCTTCGTAACACTCAATGGCCTTCTTGTTGTCGCCCAACTCATTCTCGTAGAGATCGCCGAGGCTCTCCTTGTGGGTCGCGGCCCGTCGGAAATTGCCCTTGACACAGTATCGCTGCACAGCAACGTCCAAACACCTGCTGGCCGCATCGGCATCAACGGTTCGGTAGGCCTTGAATGCATCGACCATGGTGTTGGCCGCATCGTCGGGATCGTTCAGTTTCTCGCTCTGAATGCTTGCCGCTTGCTCAAAGGCCTGGCCGGCTTCCCTCACTATTTGGGTGCGCGTACCGAGTTAGTTCCTCCACAGGTTCATTTCTCAGAGAGGGAGGGAGTCAAAGACGAAGAAGGGAGGAAAACGAAGCCATACTTTGTTTCTGCATCTTGAATGAATTGGCCGCTTGGATATAGAGGTCCGCAGCATCCTGAAACTTGGTCTCCCGCCCACCAAAGAAGCTGAAGCCGCCAGAGGCGCCGGCGAGAGTCTTGCTTGCCTAAGAAGATTCCAAAGAAACTGTAGTCAGCACTAATGATCAAGTTCATTTATGGCTATGCCGATGTTTCGACACGTAGGCTTGCCTTTTGAAGCAGAGCTCGAGGGTCCTGTGCCATGATGCTGGTGATGCGGGGCGACGCCGTCGTTATCGGATCGGGGTTCGAGAGGTGTTTAGCTCGTAAAGGGAGCTGGTTGAAATCAAACAAGGCTACGAAAAAGGGAGTTGTAGATTCCTAGTGCCTCCTTCAGAAATGTAAATGCCGTCGTCGTTCGATGTACTTGTGGTGAATCCCAGTGCCCCAGTCGTCGACCAGAGGTTCAGGCGCAGTTGCAATGACGCTAGTGGGGCAACTGTCCGAGCCTAGAAGAGGGGCGGCGAAATCGACCACTGTGAAACAATACGTAAAAGCCTCGACGACCTCGAGCTTTTGAAGAGGTGACCCAATTAAGCCACAATGCACCGCCACAGACAGCTTCTTCCTCTCGTTGATTAAAAGTGACGATTTCCCTTTACGGACGACGAGCTTGCCAATCTCGCCGAATATCTTTTACGTCCTACAGAATGCTTAGAGCGAGATACTTCATCTATCTGTCACTAGAAGGGAAATAATATACCGCACCTAATCAATGTCATCTTCTCTCCGAGCGACTCTTCGCCCGCTTGGGCTCCTCCGACCTCGTCCCTTGGTCCTGACCCGCCGAAACCACACCTCCGCCATCCCAATCCAGCCGACTTGGAGTACGCATTCTCTCCTCGACCCCGATTCTGTGTCTGAATCCGAAGAACCTATAACCTCGTCTCAGCTTCATCACCTGCTCCGGCTTTCTGCGCTTCCCTTGCCGCAATCATCCGAGGAAGAAACAGCACTTCTGCGGGAGCTCCAGCTCCAGCTGCGCTTTGTGCGACGCGTGCAAGCTTGTGACACGAGTGGGATTGAGCCATTACGTTCTATTCGGGACGAGACAGAGGCCTTCGAGGCGGAGACTTCTGTCGGTCTCAAGAACCTGCTCTCGGCACTGAAGGAAGAGGTGGCAGTTGGGCATTACCAACGGCCGAGGAGGATAAGAGACAAAAAGATTGATGCCTCCAACACTCATATCTGGGATCCCCTTCAAACCGCGACGAGGAAATCAGGAAGGTACTTTATCGTTAGGAGTGGTAAAGAAGCCGTGAACTGATAAGTGTGCAAAACTTTCTTTTCATTGTCTTGTCATTGTCTTCTCCTACCGCCCGCCAGCACGGCACACGCCCAAGGTGTTTTTGTCTTCTTAGAACAAAACCCAAAATTAAAAGATCAAGGGAAAAGGGGACAGGATATTGGGTCTTCAATTCGGACTTTACACCTAGGTGCGTTATTCGCCTACATGCGGGATGGGGACTCATCTGCCATGTTACAATGGACCGTACTTCTTCCTTTTCCTTGTCATACAGTTCTAACAGTAGCCCTCTCTCAGCCTTGACGCCTCGCTTAACCTCTAATGCCTAGTTTGATGTTACGACAGGTAAGGTGCTTTCTGTCGCCTACGATTGAGTTGTGCTCTTACCCACCCATTTTGGGCCTCCGTTTCGGCGATTCCCGCCCCGTCGCCCTCGACGAATGCTGCCACCACGATGGCTCTGAGAAGGTTGGCCGTTCTGCCGGTCGCCCTCGCCCTCGCCCTCGCCCTTCTCAGCCCTTCCCTTGCCAGAATCAGGTTTCACAACGCCAGAGGCGCGGCTGTGTTTCTTCTCCATTTCCACAAGCGCGGCTTCATCCTTGACTAGCTGGCCCGAATCAAGACCCTGCCACCCAATCTTCCGTAGAATCTTGCCCATGGCGTATCGGTACATCAGGTGACCCCCAGTCATCTCGCCGGCGTCGTAGTTCTCAACACCAGAGACCTTCGTGATAGGTTGAAGCCCCGATACACTAAACTCGGTGTTCGACAGCCGCATCATAAAAGCCAACATGTAGTCCTTATCCGAATAGACGTTGACAAGTCTTCCAGCAACCACGCTCTTCAACGTAAGCCATACGTGATTATCTGACGGAGCCGGGGTACCGAAGAGGACTACCGAATCGATAATACCGAATGCGCGTCTCTCAGCCAGGGACATGAGACAGGTATAAATCGCTCGGGCGGCGAGGCCATGGCCAATAAGACTAATAGCGCGACCACCCTGCACTTTACGATAGATCGTATCCGCAAGGGTTACGCCAGTCTTATCAGCCCGGACCATACCGACATTCCAGGCGTTGTCAACAATTTTATTTATCTTCATGAGGGGCATGGGCCAGTCTCTGTCTTGAAGAATGCCAAATCCTGAAGCTCGTTTCATATTAGATTAGCACGGCTTGCAGATCATCACCAGAGGGGAGAGACATCACGTCCACCGGGCTAGCTTACCGGACTTGGTATGGAGCTCTTTGTTCGCCGCAGCCCAGGCAGCACTTCCCACCGCTGTTTCCAGAGCCGCTCCAAGGTGAAACAGCGTGGCTGTCTCCCATCGAATCACGTAAGACTCGGACTGACGCCCCAGGAACTTCCATGGCTCGGTCACTTCCTCTTCCTCGGTAAGCCAGCCATTCATCACAAACGTCAAATGCATACGCCTATCATTTACCCGAACGTCTTGCGGCTTTCGGAGAGCTTTCTTCTGCTCATCGTGGAGAGGAACGAAACCGAAATCGACAACATCCTTCGCATACGCCTCGATGGATTTGACTGAAGTTTTAGCCAAGTAAATGCCGAACAAACCGGCGACGGGCACTCCAGGGGTAGACATAAAGCCGAGAAGACCCGACGCAGCAGCCTCTCCGAGCTGACCCGGACCCAAACGCGTTCCCAAATCGGACATCACGCGAGGCGATGTGCTGTCGGGGGTGTGTATGGCTGGATAACCTGAGGGCCAACCTTGGCTTTTCGGGCAGCCTTGAGCTCCATAAACTTTTGCATGGCGTCCTCTGGATCGAATTCGGCAGCCATAAGGCCTAAGCCTCTCGCCACCTGGCTCTCGTTTTCCAGGTAGGCCCGCAAGGGCAAATGGAGAGATGATGTCAAATGGTGTAAAAGAATGCGCGAATACGCTTGGCAGTCTTCGACGGTTGTTAGAATTAGCAAGACGATGTGGAGAAGTCGCTTTCTATTCCAAGGAGCCAGCTGCCAAAGTGGCGTGGGGCTCGGGCCGAATCGCCGACTTAGAGCAGGATCAATCTCATTGAAGGGGGAGGACGCAGCGGGCCTGCCATTCAATCACCATTGTTAGAGACGAGATAGCTATGCAGTTCGCTCAAACAACTTACCAGTAGTCTGGACAACAACCGGACCTCCTCGGCCACGACCGCCCCGACCTCCACGACCACCGCGACCGCCCCGACCCCTACCATTCAAGCTTTCGTGGCCACCGCCCCGACTATGATGGATTGGTTCTGTGATATGCAGGTCGTTGATACGCTGGAGAACGACTGTCTGCCATTTTTGAAAAGCAAAAAGCAGTTCTCTCTTGAGTTCGCCGAGCTGCGAAGGGGAATCCTGCATAGCTTGCTTTTGGGCCCCCAAAGAGCAATTGCTCTCGAGCGTGCGAGCGCCAACAGGCTCTGTAATCTTGACCTCGGCACCTAGCTGGATGCTCTGTGAGAGACCTTGGTCCCTATTTTCCCGTGTAGAGTTCTCTTCCATCTTGAAAATGAAGAGGTTCGCCCACTCGCTCACATACGTATCGACCGCGACGCACTTTGGGGCAACCGCACTGGTGCCGTCCTCAGTACCAGCAGTAGCCACAGCACCGGTACCCAAATCGAAATTCTCGGTCATCTGCCGACCCATCTTATCCATAATGCGAGAGACCAAAGTAGAGAGGTCATCTCTCTCGGCAATAGTTAGAATGCCGGTCAAGTCAACGACCCTTCGCGGGACGGCACTCCGGTTTCGTCCCATAGTCGCGCGCTATGCTCAGTGATAAGTTAGTATATCACCCCGGTACGATAAATATCCAAACTATGCAAAAGGATGTTTGTAGCAAGAGGCCTATCCGAAGTGTCGGTCGCAGGGCAGGCGATCCCTGCGAACCCAGACCGTGCCTCTTCTACCAACCGCTAGTGGTGCATTCCATACCTTGTATCTACCACCACGTCCTTGAATTTTCGGCTGTTTGGGACTATAAGTTTTATGGTCAATGTCTTGATCGTGATGGCTGTGGAGGGGTTCTGTGATCGTGAGAGGGGTTCTGTGATCGTGATGGCAAAGGGTTCACTTGTGCTATAAGGACGTTATGTGGACTGAAGGACAAACTAGGATGGTGGAGGAGACTAACAATAAAGAGAAGAGTCTTAGACAAAGAGGAATAAGTAAACGAGAAGGTTAAGAATGGCCATCAAGGGAAAATCTTTATACTGGAAAAAGCCTGATATGTGAAAATGAGAAGCGAAGAACCTCTCATCGACAAGTCGCCTAATCCGAAGGTTGTGGATACTGGGGGTTTGAAGATGAGGAAGGCTGTTTACATATCAAACATAGACGCGTTCATGTTATCTAATGAATGGCCTGCATCTTAGAGGGCTTCATTGTAAAACTGGAAGGTGGAGGGGACTCATCGTGATCTAGTTCTATTCTAGAAGGCGCCAGCATCTACAAACAAAAACAAAAAACTTAGGAAGGAGCAACTACGGAGCGGCACCGGCAGGTCATCGGCGCCGGGTCGTTCTTGTTTGCAAACTGGCCGAGCCTCAGCAGGTCAAAGATTCCGACTGTAGAGTGGGTAGGGGCATATGCCGAGGCGCTCCAGCTCGCAAACCGGTTGAGACATCGTGATGAGGATGATGACTTGATGAGAATGCTAATGGAGCGGCTGTGCGCATGATCTGGGCCCCGACGGGTTAAGCTAGAGGTGGCAGCTTGGATTCATTTCTAGACGGAGATACATTAACCATAGATGGCATAAATGTGCTCTTTTCTTCTTTCTTTCCATGTTTTCTAAGTGCTTTCTCCCTAGCATCAATACGCCCTTTCCCTCATAACGCCAGAGCAAGTAGCTTCCACGGCCTCTTCAGCCATCTGTTGTAAATATTGACTCCTATATAACCTAACAGCTCCCACTAAAAAAAGGCGACAGACGTGGGAACAGAGGATTGATCCCCTCTACCCCACCAACACCTGGAAAACGTTTAGCTCTGAAGAAGAGTGTTGAGGTAGTGTTCAAGACCATATACACATACGCAGCCCAGTTTATAGCCCAGCCAGCCTTCCTTCGCCGTCTCGCGCAGCCTTGCATCTAATAATAATAATATTCAATGTCCGTTGTCGGCAGTTGCCTAGCCACGCGATGAAGAAGTTGCTGGGTCTTATTACCTCTGAGAGAGGACTCTGATGCGACGGTGCCATTTGTGGCGTCAAGGGAGAGATGACGTCTTTGCGTCATGGCCCCTTTGTGCCTGCTTTTGCTTTTGACGAGACCTGAGGAGGGGTGGTTTAATCACCAGCTTATTAAAATCCGCTTTGGCCTTGGGCCGCCAGAGGGGCCTCTTCCGGGTGGGGTGGGGCAGACTCCTGTCCCTTGATAACTTTTGTGTGGATCGGTCGAGGAACAAGCGACAATCTCGCCATTTCAAGGTATTCTCTGCCAACATCATCATTTCAGTGACGACTGGCGACTGACCAACCCGCCTTTTGAACTCTAAAAGGATCCCAGCCCTCGCTCGGCATTCTCTTGAACCACGCGCTCCGCGCCTTCAATTTGCAACGCATTGAAGTCTTCTTCGCGCGCGAGATCCATCCACCTTCCCCCACTTCATTCCACTCCCACTCTATTCGCAGCACCTCAATACTAAACTTCAAAAGAGCGTTCGCCCTACGGCACCTTCTCGCCTTTCGTTAGGGAAAGTAGACGAACCCATTTCGTTCCCAAACCTTCGCGGCTACGGGAAACAGAATATTCTCTTCCTCTCTCTCTCTCTCTCCCGCACACACACACACACACACACACACAGACACAACGCTCTCAGCCGTCTTCTCGCCTCTCATGGCGTCGCACAACCAGCAGGTCCAGGCTCGCGCGCCTGCGACAGCGCAGAGCCAAACCACCGTTACCACGCAGATCCAAACCCCACAGCAACCAGCCCCCATCCTGCGCCTGCGCGGTGCCCATGCTTCTCGGCGCAGGGTCCAGTGGACTGAAGATGTCGTCGATAACGAGGGGCTTGGGCGAAAAAGTCCAAAGGTAAACCGCCACCAACAGACTACCTTTTTTACACTCGCGTACTATGCTGAACCTTGCCTTCATCTTTCTAGTTTGCTGCATCTACCACAGACCCAAAGGTGTCGATGAATCTAGCGACGAGTCATCCTCCGATTCCGACTCCGATTCCGACTCGGATGGCGACCACAAGCACTCGAACGGCAAGGGCCACGATGATAGCTGTCCAGGCCACGGAGACCATAGCCACGGCAGACGGAGAAGGAGCGGCAAGGATAGGCAAAAGCGCCGGCCCAGTCCCAACGCGTACGAGCGGGTACCAAAGCCAAAGCCCAAACCAACCCCCGAGGAAAACGGATCTGGCGGCGGAGCCCAAGGGGAGGATAAGCCGAAGGCTTGAGCCCACTCCTGTATACTCTCACCACCTATTAATGACAGTAACGAAGTCTTTTTGCGCTTGTGGCTTAGTATATAATAGCAGCTCTCGCAGTTGCAACCTCTAAGACCACGGTAACTGAGTAGAGAAACGTATAGAAGCCGAGCTTAGATCCTTCCATGCGCTAAATGTATCATGAAATACACCCTTGCCGCCGTGCCATCACAACCAAGTCCAATACTCAAATCGTGCAAGCACCCACTCCGCAAAATGCGACTGTAGCTGTAAAAATGTCGGATTGATTCTGTTTCACCGTTTGAGGGTTTAAAAACAAAAATCCTGCCTTGTATTCACGCCGCCAATATTAAATATGCGTAGAGGAATGGCCGGACATAAAGAGTCTACCTAAAGAATCCCGCCAACTTCCATCGAAAGCAAAACGAAAGTTCCTCAGCCTAAAGACGAAAGGACGTAGATACACTATGATACATGTTGGTGCTGAATAGGGGTAAAGGGGGCGGTGGAGGCCGCGTGCACACATTGACCTTCACTCATCATGAATATTCTTCAACTATTAAAGGGAGCGCGTGCAAATTTGCAAATGTGTGTGCGGGTGAGGGAGAGAGAGAGAGAAGAGAGCGGCCGCTCCTACCAAGCTGAGGTACCGAACCGTTAGACCTATCGCGGCTCGGGCTTGCAACCTCGGGCGTTCACTATTAGGACGCGTCGTACATGCTTCCGCGACCTAACGCTGGTGTGAAACTGAGATAGGGGTCCAAGCATGCTAGGAACTTGCTTTCTTACGAGGCCTCTCTTCCTCTGCTCTGGTCTAGGAACACCTTGGATACTGCGCGGCTCCTTCATGAACGAAGAGTCGAGCTTCGCAGGGACCCTGCTCACGACGGCCCTGTATTCTCCATTGAATTTTGCGCTCGGCACCGGCACGGAGGCCGTCCGCCAAATGTGGTCGGAATTGTCTGAAAGGTACGTTGGAGGCGCTCCGCGCGCGCCGGACCTAGAGGATGAGTGGTTAAGGCCTGGACTGAGGATAGAGGCCCCATGCGAAGCTCGAATGACGGAGAGGCGAGACAGGCCGGTGGAGAGATTATGCCGGCCGCGTGCCTTCTTAGCAATAAGAATCTCGTCAAAAAGCTTGATGTTTGGGCTTGACGCGTGTTGTCTTTCCCGCTCGTGAACGAACTCATTGAATGCTATGATTGCTGACGTTAGTACCTACTCCTACCAAAAAGGGAATGAAAGTTTTTTGTCCAATCGATGTGGAACCATAGAATGAGAGGCGATAGAATAACGAGGTGAACAGAATACTAACCTTGCGTATCGCGTAGTGTTACGGCATACTCTTGCTGTTCGTACGGCAAGCTCTTGATAAAACCATCCATGTCAAATGCGTAAAGCTGGCCATTGGTCCTTTGCTCTTTTGAAGGACGGCCCAGAAACTTCCTGTACGTGTATATCAAGCTTGCGAGGCACCGTACAAACGCTACACGCACCCTATCGGCGTGAAACGCCCTAGGGCAGACGAGAGAGACAAAGCCAAGGCACCGGCCATGAGAATGAGTACCGCAGCCGGAGCACTTGTAGATACCGTCCGTCTCCGCCCGGTCATCGCATATAGAGCACGAAGCAGCGTTCTCTTCGCACCAATCGAAGCAGTGGCCTTCTACCCATACCGTGGTTTCGGTATTGTGCACAGGCTGTACCATCATGTTGGGCATAATTGTCGAGGCAGCCAAGGTTGATTGAGCATATGTCGAGGGGCATAGCCGCCACCGCCACCACCGACACCGTAAGACGATACGGAATCTACAGATATGGCAGAGATGGACATGCTGGCCGAATGTCCATTCAGGAAGGGGAGGCTCGGGCGGTGGAGAGGACCGTGCCTCTCCACGCCAAAAGAGGAGCTTCTGCGGGACTTTTCGTCAAAATGGCCGGATCTCTTCTCTCGCAGAGTAGTCGCCATGGCAAAGCCCGAGTCGCTCCTCGAAACAGGAGTTGAGGGCATTGGGGGAAGTTCATAGACATGGGAGAAACAGACGACGGGGGACTAGTCCGTGTTGACTTACTCGTCCCGGGGCGGTCCGATTTGCTGCTATCTGTTCTTGCTTGCGAAAAGGCGTTGAAAACGGGCGGCTTAATTTTCCCTGCATCATCCTCCTCTCCAAAAGCCGCCGAGTTTTGCGCTGCCCATCTTCCAAGGGTACTCTCAGGTGGAATGGGGAGAATATGGCTTGGTCCTCGGCCGAGAAGGCATCGTATGGGAAAGATTCCATGGCGTAGGGAGGTGGGCCGGTCCCAACGCCGTACCGCAGCTTCGCCGGGGCGGCTACTTGAAGTAGCGACATGAGTTTCCTTCGCTGTTGCCGGGGTAGTCGGACTGGTTGCGCGGTGGCATCAATGGTGTCCTTGTCAAGGTCAACAAGCACATAGTCATCATCGGGGAGTTCAATGCGGTCATAACGTCGTTCAACACCGACGATATAAGGGCATGGTGCGTCAAGAGCGGATAGAAGCCTCGCTGGTAGAATGGGAATAAATACGCTAGCCCACTTTAGAGGGTAGAGAAGGTTGGCGAGAGCGTGGCAAGCGAGATGCAGCATAGCAGTATGAGAGGAGAGGAATATGATGCGAGATTCGGACATGGCGTACTCGAAGAGGGCCACAATATTTTCGAGAGATAGGCACCGGAACAAGGCGTAAATATCGATAGAGCGGGAGCCGGGGATTTCGTTTGCAGCCTCTTGTCTGGCATATAAACGCAACTCCCTCACGCCGATCTCAACCTGGGTCTTGGACTCGAGGGGCTGAAGGCTTCGATACAGAGGTTGACGACGTACCGCTCCAGCGGTTGCCAGCGCCCAACTTTCGGTGAGCTTGGGGGCACGCGAAGAACGGCGCCATCCGTCATAGGCACTATTACGGCCCTGAGCCATTCCTTCCAAAAGGTCATCCTGGCGGCGTCTCTGCCGAGGATACCGTAGGCACGAGGAATCCATAAACCCGACTCTCCAGTTGTCAGACCGTCTATCTTAGAGGCGGCACCGTGGCGGAGAGGTCGCAGCATCTCCGTCATCAACGTGATCTTCTCCTCAACCGAGCTGATCTGATCCTCGAGCACTTCCCGCGCGGAAGATCCCGAGGGGATCTGGGGTAGCTTAGCAAGAAGTTGGGAGAGATGAGTCCTTTCACCCGCCAGCCTCACGCCAAGGCTGGCGGCTAGTTCTCTTTCCTCGTTAGACATGTGGCTTTGGCGCCAGGCCTCGCAGCGCTGTTCAACCTCTTCGGCAACATCCGAAGTCAGGGCAGTCCAGATGATGACTGTGATACCATAGATCTTGGAGTTATCGTCAGATGTCATGGTGAACCCATGCCATGTCGATCGCGGTCGGTCATCGGAGGAGACGATCTGAATATCGTTGGGGAATGCAAACATGGGCACATAGTCGGGAAACTTGCCCCTACGGGGAAGTTCGTCGGCGGCATCACTGGGCGGGTAACGATCGAGGAGAACGGGCTCGAAGCGGCGCTTTAGCGGGTGCATGTCCGGGTCGGCATTCAGGGGTTCAGGTGTCGGTATGACGGAATTATAGTGGCTCAGTCTCTTGGCGGTTCGTATAGAGGCTACGGAGGGGTCTAAGTCAGTACGCTGACGGTGGTCATCACGCCCGGGGATTGGGATCGTCAAGGGGCAGGCGGCGGCGGTAGTGAGGTATGCGAGACCTGACAGACCTGGCTTGGGAGTTATGGGTTGCTTCCTGCTGCTGTTCATGTCCCTGAAGCTCATCTTTCTACGGATGCTGCCCTTGATGCTGCCCTTGATGCTACCCTTGATGCTCCGTAGGGGCTCCTCCGGCCAAGATCGTTTTCGTCCGCTTTGATTCTCTCGGCACGGGGTTCACCATTGAGGCCTAGATTGTGTTTTTGCGCCGGCCGTAAAGCTCAAGTCCTCAAGGAAATGTTCCCGCTCGGCGGCGAACTTGAAGAGGGCGTTGTCGAAATCGAGATCGGACATGGCGAGTCCGTCGGAAGGCGTCCCTGTACCGGCTGCAGGCTGTCCATTGCTAGCACTACCGTTGTTGTTGCTGCTGTTGGTGGGGCGAATAGTGGCACTACTTCTATTGCTCCGCGTATTTCCGTCAACCTCTTCGAGGGTGTGGCCAGAAAGCTTGGAGAACCGATGTGTGGAACTCTGGTGCGAGTGACGCGCGGTTGCCCTCGTGTTCCCATTCAAGGGCTCACTAACTTCCTCAAGCTCATCTTCGGCAATGGTCGTGTCAACCTGTTGCGTAGGAAGAGGAAGGCAATCTTTATAGGATACAGACTCGACGCCGGCAATCCAGAAATAATCGGCTAGGGGGCTGAAGAACTCGCCATGGCATCGCAGCCCGTATGGGGAGATTCGAGAAATCGGTCTGTAATAGATTTTTGAGGAAGGGAGTTAGGATGTGGGACCTCCAAAATCGAGACTTGTGAGGACGGCGGGTTCAGACGGCACGAGACAGCCGCCTGAGACGTCTTTGCTTATTCGAGCTAGAGGGTTCTGACAGGCAGCTCAGGGAGAACGGTGCGGGCGTATGTCTGAGATCGAAAGGTGTGCCTTATGGCTGGCCCTCGTTGTGCTCCTATCGGACTCCTTGAAGCAACACTATGCTGAGCCTACCGCAATTCCAGCAGGTTAGTTATTGATGCAAGCACATGGTCTGGTCGTAACGCATGAGAGGCGTCACAACAACCGCTGGCGTACAAGTTGTGACTCCTTTTCTTCTTTTCTCTTTTCCTTTTTCTTTTGAAAAAAAAGTTTATAAAAAGAGACCAGACAGGATTGGGATGGGGTTGGGTTCACTTGCTGCTGGAAGTGGGGGTTTTGGGTATTATGTATTAATCGGGAATAGTGCGCTGTTTGGAGTGCGGAGGCGAGATGAGGAGGGTAGGAGGGAGGGGGATGACGAGGAAACACGAAAGGGGAAAAAGGGAAGAAGGAGTAGAGCAAGAAAGGAAGGCCAAGGGAAAGCAGACCAAACCAGCCCAAGAAATTGAAAGGTCAAACGATGATCGGATACCCAAAACGAAAAGAAAAAAAGAAAAGGAAGAAAAAGAAAAGAAGAGGGAAAAAATTACCGGGGCGGTCCAAGGATTGCATGTATCATCTACTCGGTGTTGAAGAAGGTGAAGGGGGCGGGCACACCTCGGGACAGGACCAAAGTCAGGTACCCTTATCGGGACGCAAGGGGAAAGTGGTGTTGGGAGGGCAAGAGTTCACGCTTGATCAGGGCTTGGCGATCATCGAAGATTCACGAGGGCTCTTGGGAGGAGAGTTCTTGGAAAGGTTCGGATGGAGAGGCGGTCGAGCCTTCCTTGGCCCCATACGAACTATGAGAAAGTTTGGAGCTCGAGAAGTCAATGATTGGGGCTTTTGAGAGTTTGGTGGATCCAACCCAAGAACAACGTTCAAGCCAAGGGGATTTATTATAGCAACGAACGGCAAAGGTAGCTAATGACTAGTCCTGCTTCGAACGGAGGCGGTGGTGTGGTGTCCATCGATTCAAATGATTAATTGGTAACGTTCCGGACAAGGGAGCTAACAGCCTTGATCAAAACACCAGCGAATGTCCGGGATTGTGAGATTTTGGTCTGCGCCATCTGTGCTGAACCCAGGGTAGCACGAAGGTGACGCGGGGGTGCGGAAGGGGCAGGCGCCAACGAACAAGGAGCACCGGAGCCATCTGTGGGTGAAGGGTGTGGAACCTGTTCGGCCACCCACAACAAGCATAGCCAGCGATGGAGAGGCATCTCAGGGAATCGAAACCCAACGAGAGGTGGTGTGCTCTCAATCGAGACAGTACGTTCGCATTCCACCCACAAGTATCAATATTATATCATTATATGGATATATACTGAGGTACCTCACGCCCGACTACACCTCTAGGTTCCCCCGATTATTTGCGGGAAATTTGAGCTCTAGCTGACTGGCCTCGATAAGTGTGAAGATTCAATTTCAAGACGTGAATCGCTTGTGTCGAGCTGAGTGAAGAGACAGCCAGTTGCACCCGCCATCACAGATGCCCGCACCCAGGACTTCCGCAGGGGTTGGTCGTGGTGGTGGGGCACTCGGTTTTCAACAGAGGGGCGAGAAGCAGGATGGATGGGTGGCGGGCGGATTGGAGCCCAAGCTAGTGGAGTGTAGCATGCGCGCCTCAACAAGTACATGCGGAGCATCTTGTGAAGAGGGGCCGAGGGAGGGGCTTTGAGGAAGAGGGAGGCGAAGGAGCGCTGCAGACAAGGGCGAGAATCGAAACGAAGATAGGACGGCAAAGAGAATGTGCACGCCCGGTTGGACACCAGTGAGCATGTCACGTTAGGCATTGATTTGGTCTGACCGGGCCGCTGCTTGTCTACACTATGTTGCTCTCTTGAGACTACTCAACAGCCAGGCTGGGACAGCTTGCATTTCGCCTCTGATCGAGCCATTGAGCTTGATGCTGGTTGGAAAAATGCAAGATATTTCTCCAAAACGACCTCTCCCTAGGATGTACACAAAGCATGCAAGTGTGGCTCGCGCCGAACAGAGCCGAGAGCTGCGTCTAGAAACAACTTGACCAAAGTTCCCTTCGTGGTTTAGTTTTCGCCAAACCGTTGCCTCACGCGAACAACGGCAGCTTGATGACACGAGATGCTGTCGGGGATGGAACTCGCCAGTGCATGTGCGTGATTGAGTGTGTGTGTGGGTGTAGTTGGTCGTGTTCCTTTCCAAGGCCCTAAAGCACGCGCGAGACGAGCTAGGCAAAGTTATATTGGACCTGCATCCTCTAGCTGCATACTCCCAAAACCATGTCCCTCCTTTGGCCGGGTTCTCAATAAATGCTGGGCTGTACAAGCCGGCCCCCAGCAAGCAAGGCAAAAGACGCACAAAAAAAAAAAGTGTGCGCATGCGGGTGGCGGTCGAAGGAGACAGGCGGGAAGAGCGGAGGGAGAAGGGGCGCTAGAAAAGTACTCGAGAAGGTGAGAAGCACCCAACTCCATCCTTTGGGCAAGACGAATGTCATATTCATGGCATTTCGGCGAGGGGAGGCTAATTTCGAGCCACCTGCAGCCGAACCTAAAATACTCTTTGAGATTGACAAGCGAGCCCCAGCGCACCTTCATATTCCGTTCGAAAACTATCGTCATGGAGGGCAGCCAATCTATCATCTGTGCGCCAGGAACAGGTGCCGTCAGCCTGGGTCCGACCCTTTTCAGGCCGACCATCCTTCAGTGTGCGCGGCGAGACCGCCAGACGCTCCCGGCCTTGTACTGCGCACATGTATATTCTTGTCCCAAAGTTGCTATGATTGACTTCATATCTCCGCATTCTATGCTACGAGACGGATTCCGGGGCTGACGCGGATAGGTCGAAAGGGGTGGTCAACCCGTTTTGCATTCGCACACACACACACACACACACACACGGAAAGCGTACACTATTAAGATGATTGATGTGTTGGTCGGTTTCTCTTGGGATATCAACTACAGGACGGACATCGTTATCTGACCAATGCCAACTGGGACGGTCCTCAATCACTCCCCAGATTATCCCTAACACAAGTACTCGTACCGTTGTCTTCGTAATTGTCACTCGGAGGTGGGTGTTGCTAGTGATGGTCGATCTGAAGTTCCGGGATGGATTGAAGGGATCGACCTTGATGTTCTGTGACCCCATTTTCCAACCCCTCCCCTGCTCACCACTAACGAGGCTTGACCCTAGCGACCTACAAGTTGCAACGGACCCCGGCGCCTTGCTGCGAGAATCCTAGCGACAATTCTGGTGTTCCATTGGATCTCCTCCGGGCTTTCTCGTATGGAGAGGAGTTAGGGTCCTCGCGACCGAAAGACCCTCATTCCAAGAAGAGAAAGGAATGGCGTCGATCACGGTTAAATCGCTCTCACACATAATTTAGAGAACTACCTTGCTTTCTATCTTCGGAGTCGTGGTGGCGTCACCCTTCTTCCTCTCTCTGTCTCTGATGAAGGTGCTGCACTTTTGACTTGTTCTTCAATAATATAGGTCGGTGGTGGGCAAGACCGCCTTTTGCGGGGAAGATCGCTAGGTCCACCTATCAATGACGGGCAATTCGTTGTTTCCCTGCCCGAGTTTCATCCCCACCTCGCGCACGACCGTCTTCAGGGAAGAGAAACATCTCATTGACCTTGCCTTGCATCGATATGCGGTTATCTTGGTCCGGAGGCGGTCAAGCTCCGGTTCAAGCCAGCCACCGAGATGCAAGCTCTTGAACCCGCATCACACTTCTCATCTCAGCGTTCAGAATTCGCGAGTTGTATCTGCTCGCAAGGTGCGGCCAAAAGTTTGATCATGGACTCCTCCACGCCAATAGCGGACGAAAACGCCCCTGGTTGCAAGACTGCGAGGAAGCAACTCCTGCACACCCGATTATCAGGGTGACTACATAAGACTTGCGGGAGGTAACGACTCTAACATTCCCATTCGCCCACTACTACCTCTATATGAGGGGTGTCTTTCCCGTATCCATCATCCAACAGGAGGGGAGTGACAACGAAACCCTTGTCAGATCTGTTATTCACCTCCAGCACCACAGAAGCTTCAATCGTACTGTCCCTCTCACATTGGATCGCCATCGTCGTGTGTGTTGGCAAGAATGGCGGATGTAAGGCCCCGAACTCTTCCTTGCATGAGAAAGCGGCTAGGAGCATCGTTTTCCCTGGCAGAAGCCCAACATCGACTTGCGCGGCCCGACAATAGGTATTTGCGGGCGTGCGGCCGGAGAATCACCGCGAGTTGAGAGCCATCCGAGGAGCCATCCGGCCCGGCAGCACTTTAGGCAAGAAAGAAACAAAAATGGATGGCCACCAACCTTGGGACTTGAAAGCTAGAGCGCACCGGGTAGATTAATAAGAGCCTTGCAGCTTCTTCTTCTTTTTATGCATAGATGAGAAGTCGATTGAGGCAGGAATGCAGGGGTTTGTGGAGACCTAACTCCAATGCCAGTTTGTTCACCAACCCAATCAAGAATCCTGGCGTTTGGAGGCGATTACATCAAGGCGCCAGAAGTCCTCAACCTGGCAGGCTGGCCGCTTGCTAACCTTGAAGTTTCGCCAGGTCACGAAGGCAAGAAGGAAACCGCCCGCGTAACGTAATTAAACAGGTGATCGGTATTATCGGTAGAGAGTACCGAGGTAGGTCGGAAGCTCTCGAAGCTGTCGGGTTTGGCACTTTAGGAAACAAAATTTCGCGAGTGTTTCAATAACCACGAGGTTGGCTTAGTCTATCTTTGTGCTGTGGCTGGCCCCCATGTCTTGCTTCTCAAGGCTCTCTTGTGAATGGCTAGGTGCATGGATGAGCTCTCAGAAATTCTTCCAGTGTTCCTGCGTCGTCGCGAGAACTACCCCTGCCTACATAATTACATATGTAGGCCACCATCAGTCATAGCCTGCTTGGCATGTGCCTGGAACGAACGAAGAAGGGCTCAAGGGAAGAAAGAAGGCGGAAGAAGGAAATAGGATCAAGCTAAGAAAACAAGACGAGGAACCGCCGGACGCAGCACAGAGAAAAAGAAAAGAGAAAAAGGAAGTACGTTGATACTTGTTAAACAGGCGGAATTGAGAGCCGTCGAGACGGGTGCTTGCACAGGTTCCCGTCAGGACAAGAGCCCGCTCCATGCATGTGCCGTGCCTTGCGTTGAATGCTGGACTGGGCGGGTGTCAACATTGAAGGCTCCCGCCGCCCAACAGACGGGGGACCGGCTTGTTGAAGGAATGAGCTAACCAGGGGCCAGGAGATGCACGTCCAAAGGATCAAGCCACGAGAAGGGGAAAAAAGAAGAAGAAAGGGGCTGCTTCCCTGCCAAACGAGTCAATTCGGTCGAGTTTTTCTTCTCTCTTGACACCGCCTTTCCGCAAGACGCGAGCCGGGAGCGAGGTCAACGCCTAAAACGCGCTCCGTCGAGACGCGTAAAGTGGTTCCTGTCGCCCCATCAAATCTCGTGTCAGGTTGTTAGTGGGATGGAGCCGTCTTTGAGGAACTCTTTATGATGATGATGATGACACCGCCTATTCTTCAGGGGAAACCCGCTCCCGCCACATCTTTCGTCATCTAGCAATGAAAACACAGTAATAGAATGTTTCTTTTTCTTTTGTTTTCCTAGACCGCTCCCATCCCCTCCACTACCCCCCTTCGTTGCACTCGGTGTGGATCTCGTTCTCAAGGGTCCCACCACAGTAGCCTTTGTTCGTTGTCTCTCCACATCCCTCGTCTCTGCTACGCCGCCGTTGCATCACTCTTTGGACACGACGTCTGGACTCCCTAGGTCCCCGGAGCCCGACTCCGCCGGCGGGGTCTACCACGAGTGCGGAAAGGAATCATGAATGTTGCTAAAAGGGGACATGTTGGATGAACACGGCGGGAGGATGACTTCCAAGGCGCTCGACCTTGCCTAAAATTATGGCCTCGCGAAAAACGCCACGGCACCAGCATTCTCCCTCCCACTGAACACTTGGAATTTTGCACGGCGGGCAAGCTGAAGGGTGTGTTCTTGTGTCCCCCTTTCGCGCCCGACTCGCAAGAGGGAGGGTGGAGCACGCTAAAAGGGCGCTTCTCTGCTCTCTGGCGCCCGAGACTCCACCTTGCTAGAGATGTCCCCTTCCGCAAGCGGCTCTCTTCAGCCAGCTTCGGGGTTTCTTTCTTTTTCTTCGATGGAGGGGGGAACCAGCTCTGCAAACGAAAAAAAAAAATTCCCCCTTTCTAGAAATCCAGAGAGGGAAAGGATGGGGAGGGGGCCGCTGCGGATGCCTCCTAATCCTCCTTCCCAGATAGGCGTAGAGTTGATGGAGAAACCCCTCAGCTGCTCCATTTCGTTCGTCAGTCGTAATAGCGTGTGGCCGATCGAGGAGTAGAAACCACGCTGGCGGATGTGCTCCAAGCCAAAAGGGAACGGGCTTAACGCAAACCAAGAGGAACAGGTGGTCAGCTGGGCGCCACGGAGGCGTCGCCTTCCCGCGCGCGGAAATCACACCTCGATCTGACGAAAAGCAAGGGAGGAAGGAGAAAAGAGCCGAAAAAGAAGCAAAAGATAACAAAAATCGGTCAAAAAAGTAAAGAGACGGCCCGGAGGACCACCGGTCAGGGGCAGGCATGATGGGTATATTTTCCCCAAGGGTAGCATTCGGACTGATATGATCTCACACTCAAACGAGGTTAGGTAGTATCAACCTCTCTTTTCTTTATTTTTTTCTCTCTTTACCCCCGAATTAGAACCCCAGGTCGCGTCTCGTGGGGACTGATTCGTCCTCTTATGCTTTTAAAAATGGTGAAGAATCCTTGCATATAGTGCAGGGCTCTTCGGGATGACTTTGTATGGTTGAGTGAGGTAATTGGGTATTTCGTGTCTATGAGGAAGATTTTATCTATGCTACAAGCCAAGAGGGCTAAAAAGGGAGGAAAAAGAAAGAAAAGAAATCAAGCGCGGCCAGATCTACCACTTGACGATCGATATCAAGACCAATATAATACAAGGGACGTGGTCTCCAACCAAAAAAACGTTGCATCGAACGCGCAAAGCCAAGACCCCAGATCAATGCAAAGCATCATCGTCTCCACAATCATACCCAAGATTTCGCTTTTGCACATGCTTCTCTCTTCCCCTCCCCTGCTGCCGTGTCGGCGATCCCTCCCATTTCCAGATATCATACAGAAAAGAAGAAAAAAGAAAACAAAACACACGCCGAAGCTAGATTGACCAGCCCGCTTACTCGCGCCCGGACGCGCGCGCCGCGCGAGCAGCCATCTTGTCTCGCTTCTTCGCACCCTTCATGCTTCGCCGCTGGTGCTTTGCAGGCGCGGCGCGGGACTTGTTGAGGAGATAGCCGTTCATGGGGCGTCGAGACCCGATGAAGCGGCCCTCTGGAGTGAAGACGTCGATGACGGGCCAACGAGCCCTGTCTGACGGCTCCTCGGTGGCTTGCTCGGCGGGCGGCGGCGGCGGCGGCTTCTTAGTTCGGCTGTCAGTCGCGCGCTCCAGAGCCTCCCAAGGGTCTGGCTCGCTCTGCTCCTCAGCCTCGGAGCTCACCACCTCCTCTGGTGGGGCTTCACGCTCCCGCCCCTCGTAGGGATAATCTTTAGTGCGGACCTGGGCGGCAATCTCCACCCAACCGACGCCCTCGACGAGGATGTCGATGGCGAGAACTCTAAAGGCCAAGTCTTCCGGCTTAAACTTGAAGGCATCCTTTCGGGTCAGCGGGCCGGCTCTCTGCTTGGTCACGTCGTAGGCTAGCTCGAACGAGCCCGCACGTTCGATCTTACTGCCAGCCTCGGGTGTCGCGATGCTCTCCACAGAGAGGACTCCCTCTTGCTTCTGGATGCTGATGGCTTTGGCCGTCGAGGTGACATGGGCCTCGAGCGGGGTGAAGGATGCGGCTAGGAATACCAGGTCGGGCGTCCTAGGGGTGAGCCTAATGAAGCCACCAAGCAGCAGGGACTGGCCAGGCTTGATCGACACCTGCTCCGCCTTGATGCGCTTCTTCATGACGAGAGACGAATGGTGCTCTGGCTGCACGTATTCTTCAATTTCGCTGCGGGCGATACCAGGTAAGTCAATCAACTCTCCTTTGCCACCACCAAATGGAATACGGATTGGAGACGCCGTGGTGCCTGGTAGATGCGAGACGGTTGGCATGGCCGGGAAGTCAGTCTCGGGTCTCGCTGGTGGTAGCCACTCTCCAATGTCGAGCTCATCGGGCCGTTCGACGAGGGGATCCGCTAAGCTCGCCTTGAGTTCGCGGAGGGCCGTCTTATCGAGGGGTAACCCGGCCGGCTTGTCGTTGCGCATGTGGCCCTTGGGAAAGACGGCGCTGAACAAGCTGCTCTTGCCAACGTTCGCCTTGCCCACCATCCAACCAGCGCCTCCTCGTTCGAAGATTTGCTTCTTCAAGCTCGTCGTCCACCACCCACGGTTCGCGCTCACGCAGACGACGTTGCCGAGCCTGACCCGCTTACCCACGCGGCCAAGCGCGTCCCGTAGAACGTCTCGTAGGTAAGGCATCAGAGCGTTGACCTGGGCCTCCTGAGGGGCCAAGAGGTCGCTTCGCGTGATGATGAAGCTCATGTCGATCCTGCGGTTGCCGTAAAACTTGCCCTTTCGGGAACGTCGGTTTTGCGAGCGGAGGTTGACATCCCCAACGAGTGCGTTGAGCCTGGGAATCAAGGACATGGGGAAATCCGCGGCATCGATGAGGTGGTAGATGTGGTTGTATTTATGAGGCGATTCTTCAATGATTTCAGCGATCGAGTGAACACTGGGATGTAGAATAGGTGTGCCCTTGCTATAGTGCGTCAGATCTTGACACCGTTCGCAGACCGGCGGCGGCGGTTCTGTGGCATCTAGCACGACGAGAGAAGAAGAAAAAAGTTAGTATTTTTTGTTCCTTGTGCACCGTAGAAGATGAATGTGCACATCTCTGACGACGCGGAACGATAAACGTACTTTTAGTATCGGGCTCCGGCTCAGCCCTTTCAGGAATGAGGTCTTCCCTAGATAGTCCAAGTGCTTCTAATTGCGCCGGGTCAAGATTCGCAAGGGTAGCCTCTACGACCTGATCCTCCGCCGTAGCCACATCAGCCTGCTCCCTCGCTCGCTTCTTCCTCGGCTCGACGAGCCCCAAGTATTCGCGTACAGCCCGGCGCTCGAGGTTGAAGTAGCCAGCCTGCGTGGAGTCGGCGGTCTGCGTAAAAGCTCCGCACCCGGTGCACTGGAGCGGCAAGCGCCTCAGCGCGGTCTTCTCGGCGGGGGTCGGAGTCGGGCGCGGCCGGTTCTTCCTTGCGTGTGGAATAAACGAATAGATGGTATACCGTGTGATAGGGGTGTCGCTATGGCTGTGATGGTCCCGGTATGGGTGTAGGGTCGGAGAGGAGTGAGGCGCGGTAGAGGGGGTATAAGTGGCGACCGGTTTAGCTTGACGACCGGCCGCATACGACGAGATATCAATGCGCGGTGCATTGTGTGACTTGGAGGGTTACCTCATAATAAGGCTTTCTCGGTATCCGTCGTGGGTATGCCAGATTAGCTGGGCAATGCTGGCGGGTTGTCGTGGTGGTTTGGGTGCAGATACAAGCTTGTCGATTTTAGCTAGTTAATTTTTCGTCTTTCAAAGAAGCTGTCGCGAGCTTCAACTCGGGAAGAAGAAAAATCCAATGCAGTGATTTAGCACGAGCACGTGCCACTGAATTTCCATTGTGAAGTGACTAGCGCTGCTTCAAGTTTTTGGTGCTCGCGGCAGGTTCCTCCAGGGTTTGACTCCAGATTCCCACGTCCCCAATTGGACGGACCAGGACCATTAGCACAGACGCGACCATCGAGCCATCCACCATCAATTGATCAACGACCCGCCGAGAATTTTCCCTAGCAATCTGAAAGGGCAATCGAGAAAAAAAAGCCCGTCACCATCAACCACCACAACGGCCCATTGAAGCGGCCACGACATCTGCTTCAACGAGACCTAACACAGGAGCCAATGCTCCAATCGCCACAATGACCGGAGTAGCATCAAGATGGAATAAACTGCACAGAGTACGTCCCGTTGCCTGTTCCCACCTCCTCGTTGACCATGGACAGTAAAAGCTAACCTGAAGAACCTTCATAGAGAGTAAATGATCCCTCTCCCGTCTACGCCCAAGCTATTGTCGCGAACGCTAGCGCCCCCTTTCAAGCTCCTACTAACCCTCACAATCAAAGATTCTCAATCTCCGGGTCGGCCCAGGCGCCGCGGTGCTTCCCAACACCATCACCAGGATACACCTCGAGTTCGCGAGCAAGGCTGGCGCGGGACATGTCGGCCCCAGGTTCGTCCACCCCGTGGGAAAACTCGTGCTTCCTCTTTTCTTTCCCCCTACACTCCAAGATTCCAAAAACACTAACCCGTGCACCTCTCGCGCCGTTCCCCATCCTCTAGAAAATTCTGGCAAGACTGTGTCCGCCGCCTCAAGTACCACAACCCCGCCGTCCCCATGATCATCAACCGCACCACCTCCGCCGACGGCCCGGCCAAGATGACGCTATACTTCAAGAAGCCCGACGCCCAGACGCCCGCCGATGCTCCCGCAGTTCGCATCCAACCCAACTCCTCCGGCGTCGGCTCCTCCGCCGCTCAACCCCCGCCTGGGATGAGCGTGTTGTCGAGCTTGACATCAAGGGCAAGCGCAGCGACGCTATCCTCGACGTCTTTATGCGCGAGACCAGTGCCGAGCCCGTCGCCCCGACCCCCGAGGAGGAAGAGGCTTTCGCCCAGTTCGAGAAGCTTGACAAGCTCGCCGACTATGACCGCACCCGCATGAAGAAGATGCTCGACGAGGAGAGGAAGGCCAAGGCAATGTTGAGGAGGGCAAAGGCTGGCGCTTCTGCCTAAGGGGTGACAGTTTCTGGGAGATGACCAAGGGTTCCGAGAGACGGTAGCCACCTTTGGGAAAGAGGACTCAGGCATGGGGAACTTGGATGGCTAGGATTCCAATCCCACCCCCTTCAATCTGTATCATATATTGTAGAAAAAGAATAGAGCGAATAGGATAACCCACCCCATAGTGACATTGGCAAGCCGCTCCCCGATCTTAAATGCAAGTTGCGATATTGGAGTGACACGCTCATCATTCATTGGACATGCTTCCGATTCACCCGAAAACCTCAGTCCTCGAAACGCCCAACGCCCAACATCCGGGTTTCGAATCTATTGATACTACTCATACTACTACATTTGGCGAGAAAGCTTTATCGTAAGCCGAATCCCTCGCTCTCGTAGACTGCCGTCCACACCATCTTCTCCAGCTTCTCCCTCGATCCGTATCTGTACAAGACAATCTTGTTGAAGCATGTCCGCGCAATAGGGAACCGGTCGCAATCCTCCCCCAGGCACCCCACCTTGATCTTGACCGACGACGCTCCCATGGCCGGAATCCTATCGCTACCCGTGATGAACGAGAGCAGTTTGCGCTGGTCCGCTGGAGCAGCCTCAGCAAGAGTCTGCCAGAACCAGCCCACCGCGGGTTCGGATTCGGCAGGCTGTTCCGTGCCCCAATCCTCGTACTCCGCAACGCTCTTGAGCGCGTCGACGTTGAGCGCCTCGGCGGAGCCACGGACGAGGAGCTCAATCTCCTCCGGGCGGAACATGCTGAGCGCATTCCCACCGCAGACTGTGAAGAAACCGCGCTTGAACGGTTCAAACTGCCTACTCACGGAGACGTCCAAGATATATCTCACGTAGAGGTTGACATATTCCCGGCGATTTTCGTTTGTGACAGGCCGGTCTGCACCCCCGGTAGAAGGGGCACCTGAATAGTCGATCCATACTTTTCCATGCCGATAGCGAAGTCGAGGCCAAAGGTGCTCTCCACGTCACCGTCGTAGTCAAGAAGTTGCTGGAGTCCCTTGGCGAGACGTGGTCTGAATTCGGCGAGATCGGCGAGACCGTAGCTCAGCAGCGGCCGGGGATGCGCCGCCGAGCCTGGGGCGGGAGCTGGTCCTGTAGCCAACAGTTTCCGGAAGGTGAAGGGTGGTAAGGGTATGTCCAAGATGGTCGAATTATAGATAGCAAGCCCCATGACGACGCCAATGAGGAAAAACTGATCAGATGTCTCAAAAGAATGGGGATTAAAGTAACAGTATCCTGACTCCTCGTCGTAGACAAACATGCCTGCTTCGCGGTTAGCAGACTTGGCCACCCCAAGACCAAGACATAAAGAGAACCAAGACTTACCATTGTCCAAGTTGAAGACCTCCCGAATAAGGAGTAAAAACCACTCTTTTCGTAGGCCACCATGATCAATTCCCTCCTCTCCGGAAAAGGCTATACGGAGGCTCTTTTTGATATCTTCGCTGCCGCTGCCGATGATTTCGCTCACTCCGGTAAGGCTGTCTTCCACAAGACAATCTCGGCGAATGCGGAGGATCCAATACTGGTTCACGTTCTTCCGGTTAAGGATGCTATCGAAGAACGCGTCACGCGCTTTAGTGAGCATCTGCCGTTTGGCTTCGTGCTCCATCACCCGTATCTTTGCCGCTATGCTAAGGAGAAAAGGATAGTGGCAAAACGAGAACCCCGTTTAGCCTCCCACATCTTGAGGTCCGCCACGAGATCGGCAGAATCTGCAAGGGAGACGTAAAAGTCGCTCGTCGGAAGGATCTGGTTATGAGTCTGAATATGTCCTCGAGACATGGCAGCCCCCCTTTGCTAAATCCGGTGCTGAAGCCGCTGCGAGGGACTCCTTCTTCGATACGGGAAGATTATTCGCCGCGAAGAGGAAAGCCATTACACGAGCGGCCGCCCGAACTTGCCAGTCGTCACGGCTCATCGTCCATGCAGTTGGGACCTTGGTCGTCGGTGCGGCGCCATCGCCGATGGCTGCATGAAGGACGGCGGCAGTTCGATGGCCGCTCTCTAGGCTAGGCACGAGTCCGTTGGTGATATCTATTTTTGTTTCCGGCTTTGCGCTGAATTGCCGAAGAAGGCGGTAGGTGAGGAACCCCGAAACGAGGTCCTTAATTTGCTTGAAGTGGTTTCTTGGAAGCCTTGCAAACCAAGAGATGACATGATTATGGCATAATATCGAGGATTGTGAGAGCAGTCCAAGGATACGCTTTACAATTCCAGGATGCTGGACTGAAACTGCTTGAACATACCCGGCCCTGGGCGGTGACGATCGGGGGCCGTGAGCGATGGCGCTCTCAGAATTGGGTGATTGCAACCAGCCTCGAAACACGCGGGGATTTGGGTAGAGCAGCGGGTTCTGAAGGATGATTAGAAGAAATCGTAAACTATCGGGTTCTGATATGGGGCGGCCCGGTCGCTTGAGGAGGTCGTCGGTAGATTTTAGGAGTACCCTTTGAACATGCACCTGCGCCGTGAGGAGCTGGATCTCCAGGTCTCGTAGTTTTTGCTCCGAGAACAAGCATTGCCACTCTTCTGGCTTTTCAGAGATGAGATTATCGTACGCACTCCTCCATCCCTCGGCGGCGCTGATTACGGTATTGTACCAATCTTGGAGATCTTCCCAGTCCAGATGAGGCGATCTATGGGATACCCGAGATCGCGAAATCTCTTGTCTCTGTGAAGCGGCTCGTCGGACAAAGTATCCATCCTGCCCTCCACTCCACCAAGCCCCATTCTCAGCAATGTCGCCAACCAACAGCATCTTGGGGTCGAGCTGAGCAATCGCAGGTTCAGTGGGAGCCGATTCACGCCTGCGGTGAGTGGTTGCTTGTGAGTTTGTGGGTCGGCTGGTAGACCGCCCTGGCGGCGCAGGTTGTCGGCTTGAGAAGGATGAGTTTAAACACTCAAAAGAGTTGAAACAGGCGGTAATGTAGTCTTCAAGAGGCTTAAAAGCCTTTGGAGGCGGCGGTTCAGGGGACGAGGTCGACCACGGGGCCTTCGGTCAATACTTCCTCTGGATGCAAACTCCAGAGATGGACGCTCGGGAAACGAGGACGAATACGAACGCAGGTCGGTGGGTCCTTGGCTTCCGGACCGAACAGGAGTGAGGAGAGACTCATCAAACACGTTGGTGGGGAGTAGCCGGGAGATGCTGGTACACGGTGTACCGTACGTTGCGGGTTCGGGCGAATGGGAATCGGGGGTACCAGACTTCTGGGGTGGTTCAACAGCAGGTAACTTCATATCCCCACCATGGAAAGGGTTCAAGTCAAAAGTATGTCGGCGCTTGTCAGCATCCTCAAAAGCTGACTTGAGGAAAGAGTACAGACATTGGCGGACAAGGAGTTTGGTATGGCATGTTGATATCGGCTTGGCTGGGGACAGGGTAGAAGAGGATGCCGAGTCTTGCAACGGGGGCGTGGGGATGCTCGGCGAGGTCGGCGAAAGCTGGCCTCCACTGAACGCAGAGGCACGAGGCCATCCTGTAGGGCCTTCTCTCACTTCCGGCGGGGGCCTTGGAACCAAGTCATTGATCGTGATACACACCGTACAGCGAAAAGTCTGTAGTTCTTTGGGCCAGCTCGTTTTGGAACCGCATGTCATGCAATATCCCGACGCAAAGTCCTTGCTCGGATTGTGACCATGCTGGGAGCGGTGTGACGGCCTACGGGACTTTTCTTTGGAGTATCGGGGCGCGGAGTTGTCCTCTTCCTCGTCACCGGGAGACGACGTCTCGTCTTCTTGATCGTCTACCTTTTTCTTCTTATTGCCAGTAAAGAATGAAGGGAATGGGTTGCTCAGGGACCTCGAATGCTGGGGTCGCCGCTGAGGCTTCCGGCTCTTAGAAGGATGAAAGTCCGACTCTGAGGAGTTCGGATCATATGGGTGATCCGCAAACTTCACGGGCCGCTGTTGGGCGTGCGATCTCAGTGCCTCGGGCGGGAGGACCGAAGAAGTACCAGCGGCCACGGCCGCCTCGCCCGCCGCATGTGAATCCCGCCTAACCGGCCACGGGCCCATTCCGGCGACAACCATATCCTACGTGGATATCAATGGCGGAAAGTGAGAAGCGGTATAGGGAGAAGCCGTTGGGCCGCCTTGGCCCACCCATCAAAAGATTATAGGAATATCCGATACCGACAAGAATGTTGGCGGTTGGCCTCAGTTGCTTACAAGACGTAGAGGAACAAGCGACCAAGGCAAGCCGGATTCAGAACTCTGCTATGTCCGATATAAGTCGATGGGGGAGAAAGAGCACCGAGGTGAGGCCCAGTTGAATACCACACCGAAAAGAGATGGATGACTACCGCCTCAGGCGCTCACTGCAGAATGAGCCAGACGGGTACTCCGTGAAAATTGCACGAGATACTGTCAAAAGTATGGCCCGACCACGATCGCGACTGTAGTCAAAGGCCGTTGATATCTGTTTGTCAAAGGCCGCTTAAAATGAACATTAATAGGGGCACATTAGGCCTCCCGGCGAGAGACGCGAGGTTAGGAAGAGCGGGGGCGGCACTCCCAGGGGCTGGAGGTGAAATGAAGTGGAAATAGATTCGACGAGAGGGTTGCCGGAAAGGGCTCCAGTGCTTCACACTACCGATGTCATAGAACCACCTGGGACCCTGACATAGGAAACAATGGAGAAAAGCATTCCTGATGATTAATAGGGTGTGTTTGGTTTTCTAAATGATCAAACAGGAAGGGAATGATAGAATATCCACAGTCTTGATGAGGGGGTTCAGGCTAGGTGCAAGAAAAGTATTAGTGGCCGCCTAGCCCCAGACCTACTTGTATTGAAGAAAAGAGGAGCTAGAAATGTGCCCGATTTGGGAGAACGAGGCGGGCCGTTGGCGATGGCGAGTCAACAAATTATCAATGCAGTTCGGGAATTTGCATCCCCTGACGAAATCGGAACAAAGACCCAACCCTCAAGATTGAAACTCGAGAAGCTCGGATGCTTATTTGAAGGTTCGTGATTACATGCGAAGTATCGGTACTTCCATGGAGCACAAGAATAATTAGCAGGCTGCATTATTGTCACAAGAACGCAGCGAATTGTTCTTTCCCTCTGAAGGACGTCCCAGCTCCAACGTCCGGTGGGAAGGAACGGTACAAGCTGCAATAGACCGTTAGATATTCCCCAGACTTGACCAACGAGCGCCGCCCAGTCATTCAGCCCTAGCAACGGGCGTTGGGATGGGCCTGGTCTAATACCATATTCCTTGCACCCGAAGTCCTGGTGGCTTCAGCTCGAATGCCTGTGCAGTTTCCTGAAATGAATGGCCAATATTTAGAAGAAAAAACATATTAAGCAACCGGGTCTTTGCATCTCGCACACTATTTTCCAACTTTTTGTACCTCGGTATGTGAAGTTCAATACCAATATCAACCTACGTATCGGTGTATATCGTGAGGCTTGCCTTCACAGACAGACCGCTGCCTCACTGTACACTATATCTAGCTTACAAGTATAAGTAAGGCCCATCGACGATAGACTTGCCTTATTTGAACCAGAGGACACACATTGACAAATGTAACGCATACGAAGATCTCGTTCTTCGAAACGTGTCGCTGAAACCGTACAACCTCGTATTTCACGACCACACCTCGTTATACCCGACCTTGAGAAAAAGTGCCACCCAGGTTCCAGCGCAACCATGTCGAGATCGTGCGCCGGCTGAACCATTAGTGACATCTCTTTTCTCCCCTCCCCCGGGCCCCTTGTGTCTTGCATCACCCGGTTTTCTGTTGCAAGAAGCCTCACCATCATGCTCAGACAAGGCCACTACGTCGACGGCCTCATTCACTTTCCCTGCGATGATGTGACCCACAGTGACTAGAATTTCACTCCTTGTGTCAAACTCGTAAACCCCGACAACCTGTATTTTCTTGAGTCATGACTCTCAGGTTTCGGCCAGAATGATGCTCACCCCGCAAAGGAAGATGGATACAACTGCATGTATTAATATTCCAGCAAATCGGGCCAAACGGCCCAGGGAACATTTTTCTCGAATCCATACTAATGGCTAATGTTGGCGACAATTATCGTTCTCTATGAAGTGTTTTTTGACCAAGAGCGTCATATGAAGCCTTTTGCGGAATAGAAAGACGTAATTGATTCCGCAAAGTTAGAAAGCCTGATCCCTCGCGAACTTTCACGCGTGACGTCCATGGTCCGCTTGCCAGACCTGGGCTCTTTAGTCACTGACACCTCACTCGGGATATGATATTCAACATCTTGGGTCGTCCCTGTTAATCCCATGATAGGCAAGGTAGAGGATCACATCTTGTTCCCAAGGCCATACTTTATAACCCCTGGTGTCACTATGCTCCTATGTTTGCACTCTTGGCCTTTGCGGGATATTTGTCGACGAGACTCAAGGTTAAGCCGTAGTAGCCTCACTTGTTAGGTCCGTCTTTCGAGATGGAGTCACTAGCACCAAGCTCTGCCACATGTTTGGGAGAACCTGGTATACTAGCGTTTTGTGAATTAGATAGCCAGCCAAATTGAGCCCATCACAGACGGCAAGAGGCGAATCTAGCAGAACATATGAAGCACAATGCAGAAAACAGGCAGCCAAGGATGGAATGATGCATATGAACGTCGTAGTTTGTTAAAGGATTTTTCCACGAGTACAGCCTATGTCACCACGTACGCCTGTTTCCCCATGAGCTACAGAGCAACCTTAAACCTGGTTTCAAAAGTCTAATGCGGAATACGACTCAGGAACCCCATCCCTTCGCTTTTCCTTCCCAGACGGCAACAATGCACTCGAGAAGTCCGAACGCATCCATAATTTTTCTTCATTTCAACCAGAGAGGGTGTCATAAAACCATGCACGTTATGATGGTATTCCTGCAAGGTAGGCAACGCAAAGACGTTTCGTTCGGCGGGAGCATAGTCAAGTTTAGAATGGCGGACTTGATTCGGGGCCAGGCCAACGACGGTTATGCCGTATGCGCCAGCGACTATTTTGGATGCTTCTAATGACGGAGTTGAGGAAAAATCAACCAAGCCTCGAGGATACGCCGAACAAAGAAATTTGCTTTTTGCCTTTAGGAAGGAGGAGCACCACCACGGCCACGGCCGTATCCACCACGGCTGTTCGTAAGAAAAATATCATTGTTAGCCAATCTATCCAGCATGGGCCACCGCTAGCCCTGCGTGTTCAGAGGAAGTCGGGGAAAAAGGGACGGCTCAAGCTTACAATTGAGGAGCGAACTCGCCGGGCGCACCGCCCTCCTTGCCCTCACCAGCATCACGTCGTCGGTAGCCACCATCACGGTCTCCACGGTCGCCACCACGGCCACGGCCGAACGGCCTCCTCTCACGCTCGCCCTCGCCCATCATGCCACGGGGAGGAGCATGCGAGCGCTGCTGCTTAATGTGTGTCGCGGGGACGATCTCGGCGGGGAGGTGAAGCCACTCCCTGAGGTAGTCAATACCCTCGGGGGTCAGGGTGTAGTAGTAGTATTGCCACGAGAATCGGGTCTTGACATAGCCACGGGAGTCGAGGGACTGGCAGGCCTTGACGACAAAAAGGTTCTTGGTATCGATGTCGTCGTGCTTGGGAAGGTTGTAGTCCTTCTTCGCGACGAGGACACCCTCTCGGAAGAGGTACTAAATTCCGGAAAACGCTCCTGGTTAGTGTCTCGTTTTAAAAATAATATCTCCAGAATCAAAACTCGGCGTGATCGAATAATACCTCGTGGATCTTCTTGCGGTCAGCCTTGGGAATAAGCATCTTGGCTGTTGACTCCGGAAACTGAGGATGGTTGAAGGGACGTTTGGAAAGGAACGGAGGGACCTCGAAATGGATGCTCTTTTTTGTGTGAAAAAAACCCTACAGTACAATTGGAGGGTGAGCTAGACTGGCCCCGGCAGGCCACTTTCTTGTGGCGGAATCACGTGATAGGGTGGCTAGAGAGGAAGCTGGCTATTTGTGGCGCAGCACCTAATGAGAATGAGAATGAGGAGACAAGGGCCTCACATGCTTTGTCATTCATATGATTTTGAGGGGACGGGTGGCGGTACTGGCGACTCTTCTATCGCCGTCTTGACGTCTCCCCATCCCAATATAGGACAAGATTATTACACCTTCTTTCTATCATAGGCTCTCCAAACAGAAAGATCCCCGGAATTCCTCACACCACAAACTCAGGCTCAAGAACCAGCGACAAAAGAATATAACTATCATCCCGAGCGCATCAATTAGTCTACCGGATCCACCCCATTACAGAATGGCGCCGACCGAAATCAACCTGCTTATTAGCAGCTTCGCAGGACTAGGTCTTCCATCGACCTTGGTTCTTCCTGTGTCTAAAACCGAAACAGTTTCTGGAGTCTGGGCGAAACTTAGACCTCAACTACCTTCTACATGCGATCGCCTTCTTCTCACCACCGCTGGCAACAAAGCGCTTTCTCAAACATCCACCACCCTCATCGGCACGTATGCGTCACAACACGATGACATCGTTTCCCTTCGGCTTTCCGCCCCCATGTGCGGCGGAAAGGGTGGTTTTGGCTCACAGTTGAGGGCGGCGGGTGGCCGCATGTCTTCGAAGAGGAAACGGAACCAAGGAGAAGATAATGGCTCCAGCAGGAATCTCGACGGACGGAGGCTTCGCACTGTTAATGAAGCCAAGGCACTTGCTGAATACCTCGCTATTAAGCCGGAGATGGACCAGCAAGAGAAGCAGAAGCGCCGCGAGCGCTGGGAACAAATCGTTGAGGCCGCAGAGCGTCGAGAACATGAAATCAAGCACGGCACCAACGCGAGGATAGACGGGAAATGGGTCGAGGACAAAGAAGAAGCTGTCGATATGATCAAAGGCGCCGTCCTAGCCGCCATGAAACCCCAGACTGCTGGTGATTCAAGCCCTGGTACTTCCAGTAATGCAGATTCGGCCGAAGACAGTCAAGATTCGGAGGATGATAGACAGATGGGGAGGCGAAGTCTACTACTCCTCCTTCCGACTTGGACAATGATACGAAAGGAAAAGGCAAGGCTGTGTCAAAACCGAAAGCCCTCTTCGGATTTGACGAGGACGACGAATTTATGAGCTCGGATAGCGAGGAGGAGGAATGACGCAACTATCCTCCTTGACTGATATGCCCTTGTGCTTGTATCAGTCATGCGAATTTCTGGTGGGGAACGACGAATGAACTAGGACGGACAAGAATTCCCTTTTTCTTCCTTTTTTCCCGTACCCTTCACCATTTGTCTTCTTCTTTCTATCTCCGGACACATTTCATGGCGTTTAATGAACGGGAATACCAACGAACTTCTTCACACATGCAATTTTTCTATGTTAGAGGCCCTAAGTAAATACCTCAGTTTAAGCGTATTGTATTTTTCTTTCACGACGAGACTTAATATGACATGGTACAAGCAGAAGAGCCACTCTGGCAAACAAGAAATATCTCCAGACGTAGGTCTAAAAGATTTGATGATACTGTCTATTCTATCACAACGGCTCTAACATCGTAGTCCAATACATACGTTTACTGGTCAAGCTTCACAGGGAAGTTGCCAGCCTCTGTATTATATGTTAGATCGTGGCAGCCTATAACAGTGAGATGAAACTGTACATACCTCGTTGCTCGTCCCAGCGCTGGTACCAGCCGGAGGGGCAGAGGGACCTGTAGGCATGGAAGAACTGCACAAGGAGCATCAGTATATGTATTCATGCATCGATCTTTGGAGGCGTAGAGGGTTTACCTGGCGGCAAGGCGCGAAATCTTCGCCCTTGGCGATAATGCACTTGTGGTAGTCGACGTAGTTCTGCCAGCAGTGCTTGGTCTGGTTCTGGTTGGGGAAGCGGGAGTCGACACCTGGATACCGGCAGAAAATGGTTAGAGACGAGGAGCCTTCACTTCAAATGTGAGAAAAATCGCGGGGAAGAGACCAATTGGTCTCGTTCTCTTTCTCAATGGGAGATTGGAGAAGTTGCGAAAAGGAATTTGGGGGATCTATCGATTGTTCGTACCAGCTATAGGGACAATTGTTAGCCTCGGCGAGAGTCACGCCATGCTCAATGGGAAGAGGGAATTCTCGAATGCATACCAGTCACAAACTTGAAGGGCTTGGTGACAAGCTCATTTCCATCACCGTGTTCCTCGGACATTTTGGCGGTGTTTGAAAGGGATTGGGACCTCGCGCTGTCAAGATTGAAACTACTTGGCCGGGTTTAAGGAGGGTGCTGTCGTGGAATTGAATGTTTTCGAGAGATTCAATTGAAAGCTTGCGGTGACAAAGGCCCAGGATGGATTGAACTGAAGAATCAGGTGGTTTTTGGTTGGCCGAGCGTGGCATGGAAATTGCTTGGGTGCCTCAAATGTAAGGTGCAAAGAAACCGAACCGAGCTTAGGTTTTCCTTGCAAGAGCCATGCCATCGGACGATCCAATCCCCTCCGAATCTGAGTATTCCGCCGCCGTTCATTCGTGATATTTCCTCCTCAACTTCGAACGATTTTCGATAAATCTCCCCTCCAAACCAGTTCAAAATGCAGCCCTCCCTTGCCCTCCGCATGTTCCGACCTACGGGTCGCATGATGAAGGCGGTGCGTCAAGCTTCTTCTAACCTCCAGTTCCACCGCGGCATTTGCTAACTAGACAATTTTCATAGGCCGAGCCCGCTAGTACGTGACCTACCCAATTCCGAAAATGATCAATTCGAACCCTCTCGCCCGACTCCAGACGCTTCAATTGGGCTACGCGACTCTTATTGAGTTATATTTCGCTAACTAGAAGTGCAATAGACACCAGCCTCGGTGCTAGGATCAAGAAGGTCCCCGCTGAGTTGTGGCCCCTTTGTACGTCCTCCCTCTGGTTTCCTGTTTAGGGACACGACTCGATGAATTGGCGGCTCGCTTTCGCCTCTTGAATGAGAACCTGTGTGTGAACTAACAAGCTCATTAGTCGTTGTCGTCGGTTTCGCCGTCGGCGCTGGCTGCTACTCTATCGGCCGCAAGTTCGCCGTCGACAAGAACCTCCGTCTCGCCCGTCAAGGCCCCGCGAAGGCCGAGCACCATGGCGAGCACCACTAGGAAACAAGCCAGAAAATGACTGTTGGGGTTCATATTCAGGCTTTCTCTTAGCCTTGTTCAGATTAGCGAAGGGGGACCAATTTGTACATGTTGAAGCGAGGTCATCGATGCCAGGCGCTGTTAGAACAGCGAACGCTGTGCGGTTCATTTTTGTCGATACTATAGATTCCGTCTCATGACGTCCAAAACACGTCCTGTCCCATGATGCCTTGCTGCCGTGCCACCTTTTACTCTCCCTAGGGATTCCTTTTGCGGTACTTGCCTCTTCCCCCTCTACCGCACGTAAGCTTCCGTGAACGCCATCGCTATGCCGAGTATGATAAGCGCCCTGAAATGACTGGTCCATGTTTATTCAGGCTTGGGACCTGCAACATCAAGTCCTTCTAAGCCTTGCATGGGATCATCGCCGTTATTCTCATCTGCAGCCGCCACACCGTCTTCCCCAATTGCATGCTCGGCCAGCCAACTCTCCTACAGCATAGGGCCAAATTGATTGTATTAGACACATGATCTCACGTAGGCAAGCAACACTGGGACGTACCTGTTCCCAGATAGCCTTGCGACTATTGAGCCCGCCTTCTGCGCTCTTGGGTGGCTTAGATGCAGAAACCTTGAGGATGCGCCCAAAAACTCGGCCTGGTCCATGTTGTCAATGGCCTCTTTGGCGTCATCTGGGTCCTCAAATTCTACGTAGGCGAACCCTCGGTGAGGATCAGCAGCATCCGGCTTATCATTCTTTGGCACCTGGACGTCGACAATCTCGCCGAAAGGGATGAAGGCATCGTAGACGTGTGTTGATGTTGCAACAGGCGCTAGCCCGCCAACATACACCGTCGCCTTCCACCGAGCCGACTCCGTCATCCTGCGATTTTTGTTGATTCTTTCTGAGGGGTGGTGTGGGGATACAGGAGGAAGATCCCTTAGGGAATTTTGAGGGAACGTAAAAATGGAAGGCTGTCCCTAATTAATAAGAGCTTGTAGAGGTTGCCCTTTGGATGTGATACTACGACTTCACGCCCATTTCAATGGCAAGGCGTTCCCCACCAAAACAAGAGCTTGGGTTAACTCATTCTTGCTGAAAGCAGACATCAGTCGTACTTTCCCCGCGGATCACGTGAACATACTCAAGTAATGTGCGCCTAGTAAGTCGATCCCATCCATCTTCAAAAATAGAACCAAGCAATAGCAGCTCTATAACTTAGGGATAGGTGGGGTGAATAACCTATTATATTCAGAATTTAAGCGTTGTTCTACGTTTACCAATGAAGAAAATCTAGGCAACATGTTGGTTTCATCCATATGCTCAACCCGTTACAGGCCGTGGCTCCCTCCCCAACCTTTCTTACGATGGAATTGAATCTCCAACGAGGGCCAGATTCTGGATAGCCGTCATTCCATACAAGGCAACATCATTTGTGCTGATCCAAGCCGCTTCGTCCACTGGTGCGAGCACTGCACTCCCATCAATTCTCGTGCTAGCCCACGGGGCTGTCGCCTTAAACCCATCCGTATTATAGAACGCATCCCAGGCTCTCTTTGCCAGTGCTGCATCACCCCTCCTCTTTGCGGCATAGGCCGTCAAGCGAGAGTGCCCCTGATAGAGATTGAGGCCGGTGAACGCCGTACCGTAACGGCTTGCCTGTTCCTGGGAGCTAGCCCCGTAGTAATAGCAGTAATCTAGCCAGGCATCCTCAAATCCTTCTGGCAGGAGATCCCCGTAGTGGTCGATCAGCTCTGCAGTCACCTCTACCAAGCCGAACATGGCAGATAAGTGAGAGACTGACACGACACCGTTATTTCCTGGATCTGAAGGTGGCGGTGCCAGCGTCCCATCGTCGGGGTTGTATAAGCCGGATCCGGTGACGAACCCGTTCTTCAATTTCCCGATGCCCGCCATCGTATTGATAAGCTTCATGTCAGCCTCCTCCATGCGAGGGCCGTGTCGCTCGATCTCGATCAACCAAGCTGCTGCCAAGGCTGACCAGTCTGTGCCTAATCCGATGTCTGCGGGCTCGCCGGGTGCAGGCAGAAATCCGTCCACTCGCACTTTTCTACGTGCGTCAAGGGTCCAGAAAGTTTGGTCCATGTCCAGAATCTCGCTCATCAGCTCGCCGATCCTCTCATCTCCGCCGGACAGATAGTAGAATATCTTGCGATATTGCGGCGTTGAAATGCGGCCCTGCTTGGCGCTGTCCGCCCAGTGCTGCACTCCGTGCCGGGTCCCCAAACCCTTCCACTCGCCGATATGATACACGTCGACTTCCCCAGTGTGGCGTGTCAATGCTTCTGCAAAGCGGTATACATCTTCGCGGCCAGTTCGGAGGAAATATAGCCAGAAGAAGATGTCAGGGGAGAGCTCAGAGTTGTCCCATGCATAGCCACCAACATCATAGCGCCAGGTGTGCCTGTCTGAGTCGTATGTATGCATGAAGTCGCCATGGTCCCAGAAGCCGTACCACCTTCTTTGCTCCACTTGATCCTGGTAAAATTTGGCAAGGAAGTCTAGGTTCTTTTCAATGGTTGCAGAGCCTTGGGTGGTATTGTTTGGTGCATCCCAATAAGTACCAAGGGCTTGGGTACTGAGGACCCGAGAGGGGTCGGGAGTTAAGACTGGGGGCTTATGACTTGGTTTGTGAGGGCGGCGAGTTTATCGCGACTTGGGGTCTTGCTAAAGCCAAAGAGATAAATCTCGTTCGTCCGGGCTATTCCGATAGGCGTGTTAAAGCCACCTTCCCAGTCTTCGTATGTTATCTCAAGAGCATCAAGCTGGTCTGCGTATGTGTCTTGACCAAGACCATCGTGATACGGCCGCAGATCCATCGGTGGCGCCTCGGGGCTGTACAACCACAATGTCATCACCCCAGTGTCGGTGGCAGCATCGTTGACGTCGAGGCCAGTTGGATATCTCTTCCAAAAGTCCTTCATGCCCATACCAAGGCCGCCTTGCGTGGCGCCACCCAGGTAAGCCAACCCACCAGCCCGGGTTCCGGCTGGAATCTTGACCCAGCTTTGGCCAGCCTTCGTCCGCTTTTGAAGTGTGAAACCATCTGGGGAGAGCTGGCTTAGTCGGTAGTCACTCCACGCAGGTATCCATTTCAACCTAGTGCTCACGCGGGTGTCCCACGAGCTAACTGGTGGTGTGGCCTCGCCTTCATATTGCTTTGTGCGAACCTCCTGCCCTGGGTCACGGCGGAGGCCTGTGATTCCTTGGATAGCCTCATTGAATATGCCGCCGTCTACCCCAGCAAGTCTGATGTGTCGGTTGTACAGCTCTTCACCCTTGAGGGGCACGTCAAATCGCAATCCGATTCCAGTGACAAAGTCGGTTTGCGGGTTTCCATCAAAAGTGATACTATGCATAACCTTGATCGCCTCGGATTCGGCGTAAAGGTAGAAGCGAACGACGAACGGGAGCCATGCCTCATGCTCACCAGACCCCACTAGCTTATGACTTCCGCGGACGGTTACGAGGACGCGGGAAATGTTGTCTTCCGAGACGGCAACCGACTCAATATCGCCCTCGAAGTCAAGGTATTCGACTTGTGGAGTTTGACCTTGCTGCCCGGGTTCCCTTAGGGAAGTTTGAGATTGCAGTATAAGTCTTCCATGTGTACCGACAGTCGCCTGGCCCTCTACCATCTGAATTGAAGAGATAAGGTCGTGACCATTCTTCGCGAACTTGACAATAATCTTTCCCGTGTTGACCTCAATAAAATCCTCGGATTCTACTACTGAGAGCTTGCTGCCTTGGGGCACCGGAGCATCGCCAGTAACTGGTGACACTGTGTAGGCGGTAGCCGCCGAGTCCGTCGCAGGCAAGGCATGACCCGTCCATTTGATCGAGTTGTCTGGCCAGTATGCAGTCACCCAAGACTGTAAGGAAGCCTGTTGCTCTCCATTGGATATGGTGAAGTGGGTGTCGTTGGAGGAATATTGACCTTTGGGCCATGGTAGGCCAAACGTCGTGCCCAGATTGTACTGGGGAGACGTGCCTCCAAGCCACTTCAGTTCAACCTCAACATCAGCTACGGGCTGTTGGCGCGGAAGATGTATCGCACCCGCTGCCGCTTGGCTTAGAAGCCCTGCGAGGAGAAGGAACATGCACTCAAGAAATGCATCGTCGTAATTCCTTAGGGCGACGCTTGAGAGGAAGCTTGGTCACGATATCCATGTTGAAGCCAAAACAACCGGTATATAAGTCCTTTTAATCAAAACAGCAAGAGAATCTTCCCCCATATTTTCTCCACGATCTTGAGAAATCGCGCTGATGGGTGGGGTTCGGCACAAAGAAAGGGCGACGCCAGGTTCGCGGGCCCGAAATTACAATGTTGGGGTACCTTTGGATGTGACCGTGAACTTAGAGCAACCCTCCCACTGTGGATCGTCGGGAGGAGGAAGCCATCTCGAATTGGAGCGGCTAGAAAGTCTCCAGATCTTTCTCCCGAACCGAAGAGGGTACGTGCGACTTTAGGAGAGAAGGGGGGAATTTCCGCATAAATGATTTAGATTATCTCGGGACACTAATACTTCATTGACCCGACCGAGGTGGATGAGAGGGGCGCGATAGTGCTGTACTCGTATGCTCCCTCGGCCCTCTGGTCCAAAGTTGACGCGATGCACTTGCGAAGGACTATTATTTCCCCGCCGATTGAAGACGAATTACAAGTGTGAATGACGAGAAGAACCCACTGACCTCAGACTACCAAGGTCATCAAGAAAGAGAAGGCAGAGTTGCTCTCTTGGGAAGCTTGCGCAAAAAGAGCAACGCAATTTCCCGACTGATCATTGAGAACCCCTGCAGCTTGAGGTTAGCATCAATTGATCGGTGTCTACTGAGGGTTGTACATTGTATAATAAAGTCATTGATATTCCGCGTCGCCCTTGCGATTCGCTTGCTTGCTGGCAACGACCTTAACAAGGTAGATCTTGAAACAACTGGCCGTGATCAAGGGTAGATGGCGGTCACTGTCCTCAAGGTTCCAGAGCAAGCTCCACGTGATGGGTGACTAATACGGATCTCAAGAAGGTTTGGTCGAGGGGTTGACCTGATAGAATGTGGGGCACTAACATCAATTGACGTATATCACTGGGCTGTTTGTTAGTGGCATGTGCCAGGGGGTTTGACAGGGCACAGAGATCCCATTGCAATCTGGCATCATAGCAAGATATCTTGCTTCTTTGAGCCTCACCCAGTTCCACCGCTTGAGCAACCCTCTTTCCCTAGATTTGAATATACTGCTTTGGAAGGTTGCCGCAATCGCTTTGAATGGGCTGGCGGTGCCCAATCCCACATTCATTTCCATACTTGTAGCGCCAATTAACAACTCCGCCACCCGCCGATAACCCCTCCTCCTCTCATCGCACCATCCAGCTCCTAGCTGGCAGAGCTCAACCACAATGGTTCGTCTCCGAGAGATCCCGCGGACCGCCGCGTTCGCTTGGTCTCCCGGGACATCGAAACCTCTCCTAGTCACCGGAACTCGGGCTGGAGCTGTTGATGACGATTTCTCTGACGAGACCAAGCTCGAGCTCTGGGACCTGACCTTGATAATCAGGACCAGGGTCTAGAACTTCAGCCTCTTGTCAGCATCAACACGGATTCGAGGTATGAGCTTTACCTCCGCTCCCAATCGACATCGGCCTGCTACTAGTCTGGCCACATCTGCCCTATACTGACGCACCTCGGTTGTAGCTTCTACGATATCGCCTGGGGACCCCTGACGAAGATCACCCCAGAGGTATTATCGCAGGTGCCCTTGAGAATGGGTCGCTCGATTTGTGGGATGCCCAGAAGCTTGCTGAAGGCGCTTCAGATGCGCTCATCTCGCGGACCACCAAGCATAGTGGACCCGTCAAGGCGCTGCAGTTCAACCCCTGAAGCCCAACATTCTCGCAACTGCTGGCGCAAAAGGCGAAATTTTTGTCTTTGACGTCAATGACCCGTCTACTCCCTTCCGCCTCGGTACCGCCGCGGCCCGTGCAGACGATATTGAGTGCTTGGCCTGGAATAGGAAGGTGTCGCACATTCTTGCTACCGGAGGGGCCGGTGGTTTTGTGACTGTGTGGGATCTGAAGACGAAGAAGCCCTCGCTCACTCTGAACAACAACCGTAAGGCCGTGAGTGCTATTGCGTGGGACCCCAACAACTCGACGAAGCTCTTGACCTCCACCCCTGATGATAGCACGCCCGTCATTTTCCTCTGGGACCTTCGCAACTCCAACGCCCCCGAGCGTGTCCTCCAAGGACACGAACAAGGTGTACTCTCTCTCTCGTGGTGTCAGCAGGACAGCACTATCCTTCTCTCTTGCGGCAAGGATAATAAGGCTATTGTTTGGAACCCTCAGACCGGCGAACGTTATGGCGAGTTCCCCGAGGTCACCAACTGGACCTTCTCAACTAGGTTCAACCCGCACAACCCTAACCTCGTTGCCACCGCTAGTTTCGACGGGAAGATCACAATCCAGACATTGCAAAACACGAACCCATCCACCTCGCAAGCTGCAGCGCAAAACTCTCTGGATGGAGAGGACTTCTTTACTAGTGCGCAGACCCAACCCCAGGACAACTTCTTCTCACTACCCAAGGCACCTAAGTGGGCTGAGCGCCCCATCGGCGCTTCCTTCGGTTTTGGCGGTAAACTTGTAATTTTCAAAAGGTCGAATCTGGAGGAAAGAGATCATCCAAAGTTACCATCACCCAGTTTTCTGCGGACTCCGAAGTGAGCGATGCAAGTGCCAAGTTTGAAGAGACCCTGAACTCGGGTGACCTCACAACTATCTTTGAGTCGAGGATCGATGAAGCTGGGACGGACTCAGAGAAGGCCGACTGGAAGGCTATGCAAACCTTGGCGACTGAGAATGCCCGGCAGAAGATTGTTGAGCAGCTCGGCTTCAAGTCGGAAGAGGTCACTAATGGTGTATCTACCAAGTCGGCAGAGAAGACTGATGAGGGTGCCCCTGATGCCGAAGGCGAAACCGAGGGCGATGACGACTTCTTCTCCAAGGGAGCGGCGGATAATGGTCCCTTCCAAATTCTTGGAGATGAGGACAGCGAGGTAGATCAGGAAATTACCAAAGCTGTTATGCTTGGCAACTTTGCCAAGGCTGCCGACCTCTGCCTCAAAGAAGACCGGATGGCCGATGCGTTCTTGATTGCTAATTGTGGTGGTCAGGATCTTGTTGACAAGGTCCAGACAGCCTATATCGCAAGCAAGAAGGGCGCCCCTAGCTATGTTCGGCTTTTAGGCTCAGTCATCACCAAGGACCTCTGGGATGTCGTCAACAACGCCGATCTCTCCAACTGGAAGGAGGCCATGGCTGTCCTCTGCACGTTTTCTAGCCCCGATGACTTCCCCAACCTCTGTGAAGCCCTCGGTGACCGCATCGTGGGCCAGGGAGCCAGGGAGGATGCCTCGTTCTGCTACCTTGTTGGATCCAAGCTCGACAAGGTGGTTCCGATTTGGGTCTCTGTGTTAGAGGAAGCGGAAAAGGCTGGTCTTGGTGAATCAAAGGGCGGATCCTCATTCTCGGTCCATGCAAAAACCCTCCAGGACTTCATCGAAAAGGTCACTGTGTTCCGTCACGTGTCCAAGTTCCAGGACAAGGATACCGGTGCCACGTCTGAGTGGAAGCTAGCTGCGTTGTATGACAAGTACATCGAGTATGCAGACATTGTTGCCGCCCACGGGCAGCTCACCACGGCGCAGAAGTATCTTGATCTTCTGCCCGCGGAGTATCCTGCGGCGGAGATTGCGAGGAACCGCGTCCGTCTTGCAACCAAGAAGGCGGCTCCCCAACCTGCAGCGAAGCAGGCTACTAGTCGCGCGCCATCTAGAGTGCAGCCGGCTTTCGGATACCAACCGCCTCAGCCTATGCAGCCCGCTAACCCTGTAGCCCCCGACTGCTGCTGCCAATCCCTATGCTCCCCCAGCGCAACAACGCCATACGCACCTCAGGCTGCGGCGTCTCCGTATGCCCCCAGAACGTGGCGTCTCCGTATGCCCCGCCTGCTCCGGCCGGATATCAACCTCCGGCCGCGCAGCCAGCCTTTGGCGCACCCGTTGGTTACGGACCGCCTCCCACCAATTTTGGGGCTCCCCGCGGAACACCACTCCTTCGAGACCCCCGCCACCCCAAAACAAGGGTACTGAAAACTGGAATGACATTCCTTTCGTGACAAAGGCCCCCCTCGAAGGAACACTCCTAGCGTTGCTCCCGTTACTGCTCCTTTTGGCGCACAGGCTGGTCTTCCAGGACCCCCGCAGGCAGGAGGCTCGTTTAGCCGTACTGGGGCCACTCCTCCTCCGCCACCACCCAAGGCGTCCGGTCCCCCTCGTGTTACCTCCCCTCTAGCTGCGGCTGTTCCATTCGGCCAACAGCCACCGCGCCCGCCTTCGACGGCGGCCAATACCTATGCGCCACCACCTCCCCAGGCAGGCGCTCTTCCTACGCCGAACCAGCCCATTGTTCCGAGGGTCTCGTCGCCTTATAGTGTTTCTCCAGCCGGGCCGCCACCCTCTAACAAGTATGCGCCTGCGCCAGCGCCGAGTCATCAGGCCCAGGCGCCCCAGCTGAGCCAACCGCCTCCCGTTAATCCTTACGGAGCGCCCCTGGCCAGCCAGGCCCTCCCAAGAATCCGTACGCCCCGGCCGGCTTCTCTGCTCCGCCGGAGCAGCAGACCCGACCTCCTGTAGGGCCTCCTCCCTCCTCGCGACCTCCTGTGGGCCCTCCCCCATCCTCTGGTCCCCCACATGCCGCGCGACCTCCTCCTGCCGCTCAAACTCCTCCACCGGCTGCCGCGCCACCCAGGGCCAGGCACCCTCCCGGCGATAGGTCACACATTCCCGCCAATGCCCAGAGATTGGTAGACATTCTCACTCGTGACATGCAACGTGTGGCGGCACGGGCTCCCGCAAACTTTGCTCCACAGGTGAAGGACACCCAAAAGCGTCTAGGGCTGCTCTTTGACCACCTCAACAACGACGAGCTCGTGAAGCAGGACACAATTGAACAACTCTCGGAGCTCGCAGGAGCGATCGAGTCGAGGAGCTATGACGCCGCCTCGAGCATTCAGGTCAACATTCAAACTACCAAGACTGAGGAATGTGGAAACTGGATGGTATGTAACGTCTAATTCTTCTTCTGTTTTCCCTGGACCGTTCTAGCTATGTGGAGACTAACACGCGTGCTCTAGGTTGGTATCAAGCGACTTATTATGATGAGCAAGAATACACCGGAATGAGGGGTGGCGGGTGCCCTATCCCGTGCGCATACTAGAGCTCCGGTATGAACTACCGTGAAATATCCAGCCCGACTTAATGATGTACACTTGGAACCTTGATAGGTGGTTTGTCTTTCCAGTTAGAAACAAAAATCGGGGGCGGTGATCTTTGGGGTTGCCAGCAGCTCCAGAGTCGCTGTTGCTGCTGCGTCGTAGTTTTTCGTCTCACGAATAAAATGAGTTAACGTCGTTGATTGATAATTTTTATCATACTTTCCCTACCTAGAGCTCATCTCCTCCCGGGAAAGTCCATAAACTCTGTTAGACGAAAGAGATGACTTTAGGGGTGAATATCTTGAACCGTAGCTCTCCAGTTATGCTGGACGCTTTTTGTCGTTTGTGTGTGGCGTTCAAACGTATGACGATGACTAATCACATGACATCTTGCACCACGCAGCCACGTTTGCTGGTCAAGATTCTTGGGAAGCTTCTCAATTCTGGCATCCGGCATAAGATACCGTCAGGGTTTTTTCTGTTCTTTAATAATCTTCCGCGCAAAGAATCATATTCATAATTTTCCAACGGGAAACAAGCCGACGAGGTATCTTTGGGACCAGTTTTTTATTGCAGAACAAACATGGCGGACAACGGCCTCAGCGCTGAGGATGCGGCCTCGCAGCGGGCGGCGGAGCAAGCCAGACTCAGAAAAGAGCGTCGAGAGGCCAAGATTCGTGCTGGAGGTTCTGCGAGGCTCAACAGGATTACAGGTCTTGGAGGTGGCGTTGAAAAGGGTGAGTTTTACCTTTGTGTCCTGGAAGGGCTCGGTCCCGCTTGACCTTTGGATGCTCAAGCGGCGTGACAAAAGGAGAAGTAGCTTGCTAAACATAGACGTCTTTTCTCTCTTCTCCAGACGCCCCCATTGCGCCCCAAGCTCCTTCTAGGCCAACTATACTCCCCGGTGGCGAGGAGAAGGCAAGCCTCCAGCGGGCGGTCATGCTGATCCCGAAGAAGTCGACATTTCTCAACACTATTACGAGCCCCCGCGAACATCCCGAATACCCCCGGTATGGATACTATCTCTCAGGAAGACCTCACGCGACTCATGCTCGGCATCGACCGCCCCGGCGAAGGCACCGAGTCCCCTCCGGACCCCCTGGGGTGCTCCCCTAGCGATCCCTTCGCAGCCATGATGCAACAGATGCTTGCTGGCGGTGGGCTCAACGGCGCCGGTAACCCGTTTGCGCAGATGGCCCCCGGCATGCAGCCGGCTCCCGCCCAACCTGCCTCCAAGGCATCGTCCATCTGGCGTATCCTCCACGCTCTCTTTGCCATCTCCCTCGGCCTATATGTTGCGCTCTCAACGCCGTTCCGGGGCACAAAGGAAGAGCGAGAGCTTATCGTAGCGGACGCCGTCTCGGAGGAGTCCAAGCGCTTCTTCTGGATCTTTGCAAGCGTCGAGGCTATGCTTCTTACTACCCGATTCTTCGTGGATGGCGGCCGCTATACACCAACCGGTATCCTCGGAATGGTGATGGGCTTCCTACCCCCAAGACGGCGGGATATATTGGGACCGTGATGAGGTATGGGCAAATCTTTATGACTGTTCGGGCGGACCTGCTGGTTTGTGTATTCGTGCTGGGAGTAGCGACGCTGTGGAGGAGGTTTGAGGCGGGTGCGATTCAAATCTAGCTCTTTCATTATTCGAAGAAGTGGTTGGTGGTTATTAATGATGTGATGCGCATGTACACTAGACTGCATCCTATGAATAGAAATCACGGTGTTTCAAAGGTTCCAAGTTAAAATTGGCGTCTTAGTCGGTAGATCACCCCTAGGACTTTCACCGGCGATCTTGAATCTATAGAACTGGACTTCGAGGCCCTTAAGAGTATATACACATTTAAGCTTCTCGACGACGAGCCAAACATAGGTGGTGGGACACATGATTTTAGCACCGTGTTGAAGAATGATGCCATCTTCTCCCCATCATCCTCCACAAAAAAGCAAGATATAAATATACACAGCGAGAAGGAGGGAGGTATTATAAAGGGCGCGTGGCTTCGAGACAAAGGGAGAAAGCCCTACGAAAGCTTACTTTTGCATAACCTTGGCGAGCAACTTTCCGAGAACACCTCTCACTTTAGTCTTGTCCTCCGCGGCCGCGGTGAAGAGCAGGGCCGCGCTGGTCGCAAAGGCAAGGGTCTCCTTCCACTGGTCCTCGCGGGCGTATTTCCTGGGGAAGAAGGAAGCGAGGGCGCGGGGGCGACGAAGAGGGCGAGCTCGGGCCTGCGGCGGGGACCTCGAGGAGGATGCTCCAGCCGCAGAGGAAACAGCCGGCGGCGACGCAGCGGCCGCCGTCCATGGCGTCGCGGGCGGCGAGGTGGGTGCCGAGGAGGGCGGGGCCGACGCGGGTACGGGCGAGACAGACGCCGTAGTAGAAGAGGGCGATGAAGGAGCCGAGGAAGGCGGAGGAGCGGAGGGCGTCGAGCAAGGCGCGCTTGAGGCCGCGGGCAGAAGGGCGGCGGAGCTGGAGGGCGAGGTTGAGGGGTAGGTAGGTGGCGGCGGACCAGGCAAAGGAGCGGAAGAAGCGGCTGAGGGCGTGGCGCTCGCACGAGGGCCCGCAGCCCATGTGGACGAGCTCGCAGGGGAACGGGACGGTCTTGGCGGGGTCGCCCCACGCGATGGGGAGGTGAAAGTCGGCGCACATGGAGCCGAGGAGGTCGGCGCAGCCCGTGTCTTGGCCGTAGCGGAGGCGGCCCTGCTTGCACAGGCGGAGGGCCTCGATGAGGCGGTCGTCGACAGCGGCGGCGGAGGAGATCCATTTCCTGTAGGTGCGGGGAGCTGGGAGGGGTAGTAGAACCAGGACCACATGATGACGGCGCACGAGAGGGAGAAGACGGTGGGGTCGGCGATGTTGCGGACAAAGGTGTCTAGTTTGGAGCGCTTGGAGGGTGTTGAGGAGGAAGAGGAGGAGGAGGAGAAGGAGGACCACAGCTCCCGCACGACTAGGTCGAGGGCCCGGGTGACGGCGAAGAGGGTGAGGTCTAACGTGCGGCCGGCGTGGTGGATGGTCTTGGCTTCGACGCCCGGGGGAACTCGGATCGCACGGGGATGGTCTCGGTATAGGCTTGGTTCTCGCGAGATTGGAGGACGTGGAGGCTGAGCGCGGCGGCGAAGAATGTGGAGAGTAACCTCGCGAGCCTGTTGGGATAGCAGCTGGTTAGCAAGGGAGAAGTGGCGGGGATTTGAGTAGCCTCGCATGCGAAAGGGGGCTTACTTGGTAAGGGCGAGGCCGACGAGGGCCGACCCGAAGAGCTTCTGAAGTAGTCTCCTAACCGGTACCTAGAAGAATGGCGGTTTTGTTAGTGCTGGCTTCACAGATGGTTGACAGACGTCCGCCCACTCGAGGGAAACGGGCGAGTGTGACATTGGCGAAGCTGCTGGAGGCGTCTACGCCTGGCACCCTCCCACATTACCCCTCGAGTCACTCGCATTCCACACATCCCCTCTTTGCACATACCTCGAGTAGCGTGCTCCCGCCCGCAAGCGCGGCGCAAAACGCGGGAAACCGGTTCCAGCCAAGACCCGACGCCAGGGTCCTGCGCAGCGACGCGAGGAGCCGCTCCTCGCCCTGGCCCTGGCCTTCGTCGCCCTCGCCATCTGCCCCTTGCTTCCTCCTACTTTTGGCGGCGCGCCGTTTCGCGGAAATATACCTGGCTAGGAGGGTAACGATGCGGGGGCCGACGGCGGAGGCGTAGCCGAGCAGGAAGGCGCGTAGGGCGGGGCGCAATATGGGGGTACGGCGTGGAGGGAGAGTCGGTGGTTCGTGGACGAGGGTCGCCCGGAGGCGAGAGCCGAAGGAGACATGATGGGAGAAAGGAGTGTCGGAGGAAGGAGGGGGAGGGAAATAAAAGGTTGCGATTCGAGATCGAGCGCCAGTGACCGTCGGCGCGGAGCGATCGCCTCTGGTATGACGACGCGTTGAGAGAGGCTAGCGTCGCACGGCAGCGGCAGCGTAGCCCTCGGTGCCGCAAGATTGAAAAAAGGAAAAGAAAATTGTGTAGAGTCGAAGATGGGAGTTTTGTGAAGGAATTGGTGCCTCCCGGGGCGGACCAAAGGGGGCAATGAGCTGAGGGAGTGAAGCTGAAGTTGGATCGAATTGGTAAATTAAGCTCGGATCTCCCTTTTCTGGTTCCTCTCTTTTCGATGATGTCAACGCGCGGCTCCCCAGATTTTTTTCTTTTGCGGGTTAATGACAAGCCACCACTCCAATTCCAGCCAAGCACATGCCAAAATTTTTAACAAGACAGCTTGAGCTTAGGGACCTTGTCGATATCGTGGCGTCAACTTGCGCTTGACAATAATCGTGCCAAATCGTAAACCCCAAAGAAATAATTGAATAAACAGAAGCGAGGTGCCAGATCGGATTACCCAAGGAAATTAGATTCCATAGAATCTGAGATGTGTGTTTGACGAGGAGGTATCACGACTGTGAGAGAGGCGTTCAGAATAAACCAAGTCTGGTCGCCTAATAGAACTTTAGAGTTCCGGTCGGGGTTCTGCTACTCGGCCCTCTCGATTCCGTCTTCTTTCCGTTTTGCAATCTTGCAGCAGGGTTAACCGGATGGTAAAATCAGTCTTCGCTTATAGCCACTTGATGCATACAGATTCCGCAGCTCGAGATCATTGGGTACGAGACAGGAATGGGAGAGACAACCCGAAAAGAGGGGGAGGTGGCGCGTATGTCTCCCGCAGACTTGGGACAGGCGCAAATAAAGAAAAGAAAGCGAGTGATAAGACCTTGATGAGTTCAAGGTCAGATCATGAATGATGCTGGAAAAGAGGGTCTGAGGTGTTGAGCTGTCCTTCTGTTGGCGTCTTCCACGACTTTTGATCCTTTTTTAAATCACAAATATATACGGCTTCGGAAGAAGTGGGAGGAGCGGGAGACAGGAAAAGGGCAGAGAGAATCATGAGACAGACTCGGCTCGCCGTGATTCCATTCGGAGGCTCTGCTCTGCGTCAAAGAGCCTCGGTCGAAGAGGGCAGCAAGCACATGAGATTGATCAATTGGCTATGTACGGACATGTAACTGATCCTTGTTGTCCAATCCTGAGTTGGGCTTGGCCGTGGGGCTCTCAGCTCCACCGAGACTGGAAGCAAGGGAGAAGAGAGAACAACGAGAACAGCACGCAAGTAATAGAGATCAGGCCAGTGCTCTATCAATGGTGAACCCTTCGTGCTCCTTGAATTTTGACAGACTCCCGAAACGCGGGTTTCACGAACAAGATCTAAATTCTATCCACGAAGACGCATTCGACTTTGTGGCGGTGTTCTTGAGGGGGGCAAGGGAAATATGTAGCTCAACCTCAAATATAGCCCCTGATGAACAGAAGAGAAAATGGACCACATTCTACATGTAGATAGGGCACGTTGTAAGAAGACTCGGCGTGCAGACACTTTTGGCGTTTTGAAAACCTGCGCATATTATTACACACTTGTACGGGCTTTCTTAGCTTCTTGCAAAAAGTCATGTGCGCCTTGCATTGCAGCTTCATCTCCGAAGCGGATATCGCTCCTGACTTGACAGCAGTGGCTTGAAAATGTGTCCTCGTCGATCGACAGCCGCTGGTTGGTACCATTCTCCACCAGTTAAAGCGTCTGTGTGTAATGCTAGTACCAGGTGTTTGGGCATACGAACACGACTGCCAGGGCAGAACCAGGACACACATTTCGACACGCAGAGTGCATGTCCATTAATTGCAGATGGGGCTTATTAGTTAGGGGTGCTTCATCAGCCGAATGTTGGTGGGGGCAGAAGGTGGGCCACTGCCCGTTTCGGACAACGAGCCGAGCTGGGGCCCTAGTGCCCGGACGGTTCAGGAAGCAGCAAGCAAGGACGCACAACATTCAATGTTGAGCCCCATTTCATCATTCGAATACGACTTGGCAGCCCTGCCTGCTTCAGATACAAGCATATGAGATGATGCCCAGGGGTGGTGGAGGGGAGACGAAAATGGCCCCGAACCACACTGCATGGAAAGAAAGAAAAATAATGCACAAGGGAGAGAGTACGAGAACGCCTATGCAAGCGCGATGTGTACGACGTAGACGGACGAAACCTCTGCTATTTCAACATGTACGCGAAGGGAAAAAAGGTAATAGGTGGGGAAACGGCGGTTGAAGCAGTCTAATTCCTCTTCCTAATAGCTTACACTGTAGAAATCAGCACCAAAGCTTCAAGGGATCAAGGACGGAAACCGATGATGTGGAATTGATCAATGATTGATGGGATTGAACCCGCCGGATCGAGGAACATAGGCGGGAAGGATGAGACGGAGGAGGGTTAAGCCTGTTGAGGGGACTTTCAAACGTTGAAGAGTTGAGAATACATCCATCCAGGATGTACGCGAGGAAAGAAAGAGTGATGGACACCTCGAGAGGGAAACTCCGAAACCATGTTTCCTTCCCTTGTTGAACTGCCTCAAAACCAGGGTCTCTGCACGGGACGCAAGAAGCACCCCCAGCAAGTCCTTGCCGCGGGGGAGGGTCTGGGAGAGGAGAGAAAAGAAACAGTGAGGCAGATTTGGAGAGGCAATCTTCTTTTCTTTCACTCAATCAAGCCACGCACATTAGCTTATCCCCGATCAAAGTAGAGATAAAGACGAAAAAGAAAAAAAGAAAAAGAAGATTACAGGATGTTCAGATTGGGAGGCTAGGCGTGTTGGAGATGCATCTCGTTCTCCTTCACTTCTTTTTATTTTATCTTTTATGTTTATCTTTCAAGTCTCCGACTAATAACAGACCACGATTGATATTTTGACATGTGAAGAAGGGGAGGAGCGGGAGCGAGCGAGCTGTCAGCGAGTCAAAAAGGAACCCCAAAAATAAATCAGCCCAAACCGCCGAGTTTCTGACATGTGAAGATGGAGAATGGCGAATGGGTCAAGCACCAAGAATTGAACCGACCCCCTCCCGTTCTTCCCACTTTTGACTGGTCCGCGCAGATGAAGCAGGGCAGGCACGCGCCTCACCACGCAGCTCTAGGGCAGAGTGGGCGCCTGGGGTGCATCTGCTGGGGAGGGGGGTTTATTTTTCATGGTCCTCGACTGTCCTGAGGTATTCGGACGGCCTCGTTTACCGACCCGATATTCAGACTCGGGATGTGCGGCGCAGTTCACCCAACTCCACACTTAGATGCGGCGGTTAAAGAAAACACGAGCGGAATATGTTTGCAACCTCCCTCCGGCACTGCATGGCCCCAAATTAAGCTGTTTCGTGTGTTTCGCTACGGAATAGCTCGCCGAAACAACGAGACCCTCCCCTCCATCTCCCATTCTCTTTCTCACACTCCCTCCTCAATGGTACTCAACCGGGTTGATGTTGTATCAGGGCGAGAGCCAACATTAGCTCAGATCCAACCCTCCTTCTTCTCGAGTGCGCATCGGCCCAACGGCAAGACTCTCGATGGCCCCTGAGCAACACCGAAAGCGGCGCCCGGGCGAACCCGGTTGTCTTTGGGGCACTAAATAACATTTGCGTCTCGTCTTGACGGCGGTTCACACGGCCGCGCTGACTCCTCCATCCGCGCCGCTGTCGCCTGCTGATCGATCGATCGGTGGAGTTCAAGTATTAGTTACAAAAGGGACCCCTCGATCTTCCCCTGAAGAGCCCTACGTCACTCCCAGCCCCTGGGAAAGAGAACGGCGTGATATATGATATTCATCAATCTCGTGCAGGGGTGGAATGGCACGCAAGCACGACTAGTGGAGAGTCGATCAGCGCTGCATCGAGTCTGGTCCAATTCCGGATACATGTAGCCACTTGATGCGCTGACTTTTAGACCGCTGGCGAAGCAATAAGGTCGAGTAGGTAATCCAACATAGTAAGGAATTGACCGGGGTGATAAATCATCTATGATCATGGAAGCAAAAATAAGATATAATAAAAAGGCGAGAAATGGAAAGATAAAGGTATGAGCCTTGCCATGGCCCGCGCCACCCGTGCGCCAGCTTGCTGTCCTTGATCATGGATGTTTTGCGGGCTTTGGGTCGATCATGGAGTTTCCACAGGCTCAACGTTGTATTGGCAGGGGACACACCCCGTACAGTCTCCACCGGGAATCATCAACAGATCGATTGGATCAACAATGGTTTTTCCTTGGGCCCCAGTTGAGAGTGCCTGAAACGGACTGTTCGGCGACCTTGAATGTTCCGTTGGGATGTTTAGCTCCGAACCATTTGCCTCCACACACTTCAAATCATTCCGACAAGAGACAAGGTCACCTCAGCAGGCGGGAGAACAAACTCCAATAGGCTTATCAAAATCCCCTCCTTTAAACCCTTTTGACAACTTGCACCTTTCGACTCTTGATTTTCTAGGACCGCATCATGAGAGAATTCCAAGTATTTGCATCAACTATTGGGCCGGCGCAATCCGCTCGGGTCTCCGAGTAACGTTTGTAGTACCCGAGCAAAGAAAGAACCCAAAATAAATTGGAGAAAGAAAAAGAACCTATCGAGTGTGACGTGTTTCACACCGGAGTACTTTGCGCGGTCAAGCATTTCGCTCTCTCTTTTTCTCCCATTTTTTCTGTCATGAACAAGCCGTGTGCCAGCGCATTCTGAATCACTGACGGCACTAGTTTTGATTAGACCGGCCACGCGGTAGTCACACGGATAAGTTCCAGGATGGGTGATGTGGGTGGTCCTGGAGACTAGGCGCAGATCCGTTACTGCGAGGGTGCAACCCCAACGACCAATCCACGGATCCATAATATCCCTACGGGCACGACGCGATGCGATGGCTTGGAAACTGCCCTTTCGAGCTGGCTGTGTGGGAGGGAGGGATCGATTGCCCGCCGCCAGCAGGAGCAGGAAGGGATGGTGGGTACGCTGGGGGTGGGGAAGAGCGAGGAGCCCTGCGAGACCCCATCACCAAAGGAGCCAGCCAAGACGGGCTTGCGGGGAATGACCATGAGCAAAAGGTTGCGGGAGGATGTAGTAGGCAAAAAGCGGAAAGGCGAAGGATGGAGAAAAAGGTCACAGAAGACGGGAGGAGCACCTCGCTCTCCTTCTCAAGTCTTCGTTTATTACATGCTACATTCCTAGCAGTGCGCGCGGACCCTGCAGACTGACATGTCTGGTCACTAAGAAAAAAAAAAAGAAAAAGAAAAAAAAAGACATAAAAGAGGACGCCCACTGGGGTTCACTTGGGGGCGTTGAGACCAAGAGTAAGCCCGGCAAGGTATCCAGAAATGTTCTTCATGGCCGGCAAAGTAAGACATGCTGGGACTGCTCCGGCGTCAGCATGCATGGGAGAACCCCCAAACGGATCTTGGATCCCTGTCCTTGGAGGCTTGAGCTGGATGACGGAGCTTGATAAACTGGTGGCTGGAGAAGAAGAGAGCACGGCAGAGAGTATTAAAGAGAGAGAGAGCATGAAAAAGCTCGAGAACCGGGAACGGATATGGAAGACCAGTTTGGGTTTGGGTTGGCTTGTCAAAGCACACACACACACGCACTCATACGCACTCGCACGCACTTCCTGGCCATTTTCCCCGGATCTTGGCCGGGTCCAACCGTGAAGGTCGAGATTCTCGGGACGATGCCCTTTGCTTTGCCCAACCATTTTTGTAACTTTCCGACTGGGGGTTTCTTCGCTTTGTACCTTGAGACAAATAGTGTACACAACCATCGGCCTTGTTTCACACGGTAAATCAAAGTACGAAGTACCTCACTCATGTTCTGGTACCCACCTGAACACAGCGCCCCACCGCTGCCGTCCCCTGTCTGGTATCACTCTCCCACGCTGCGCATCACGTCGATGCCTCGTCCAGGACATATCTCCGGAATAACCTATGCGCGCGAGGGGGAACATTACGCCTCCCAAGTTTTTGTTTCCCCAAGCCTCAGATCCCTCGAAATCTCCCGTCGCACGGCGGCGTTCTCCTCCTTTGCATCATTGATCGCTCTTGATGATAGCTGCGTGGCGTTTTCTTCGTGAATCCCTAAACCTACATACCCTCGAAACCACAACCAATACACCGCACGTCCATGCACTTCTTGTACGCTCCGCAAAAAGCTCACCATTACTTGGCGGCGCCGGGCTTCCCGTACGCTCCCTTCCCATCAAACCAAAGCTCATATCAGAAAGAGAGACAAGCGCCAGGCGGAGAGGACAGAGGATTGATAGTTCAAAGCCAACTGGTAATTTAATACTACTTGTAGTAGTCTTCTTTTCCTAGGCCAGCGCCTTCTATCCATTCGTTCCTCGACCCACCACCAAAAAAGTTCGATATTAACTTCCCGCCCCCTTGGCTTGCTCGCTCGCTCGCTCAGTCACCCCAGATCGGATCCCTCAAGAGCACACGCCAAGGACGCCGAGCGCTGAGGGCGTCTGGCCACCCCCACCATCGGCAAGGGAAAACCTCGCCTTGCCTCTCTCTGCCAGACATCGCCGCCACAGTTGGCAGAGGCCACGAACTAGGCGTTCCGCATCCATTCATCACATCCATCGTCTTTGCGGAACGGGCACACACGAGAATTATAGCTCTCTTCACACGCCCCCTCCCCCTGAACCGGCGCTAGCCTAATCCACTAACTCGTACCCTTGTCAACACCTCACCCACTAATTCGCACAAGTACCGCCCGCCCGCGAAGAAAAGAACAAGAGCGAAGGAGAAGCAAGAGCAAGGCAAGAAGAGTGCTCTCGAATCGTCAATCACAAGCCGTATTTGGCCCTGTCAGGTTTTTAATGTGGTACCTCTGTCCACAGGTGATTTCTTGCTTGCCTGCGGCCAACGGTTGATACCTAGAGGCTGACTGGCCCCCGTCATCATACCCACCCACTTTTTTTCTTGGCTCCATCCCTCGAATTCTGGTCCAAGCCGCTTCTGCTTGGTGCAGACCAGACCAGACCGCACCCACGATTACAATACTACCTTGTCTTCGAATTCAACTTGGACGACAAACTACCCACCTCTTCCCCCACCTCCCACACAAAACTTTCCCCAGCTTTTCCAACACCGCATATCCAGTTTCACCTTAGATGCAGTAATATCGGCGATTACCGTAAAGAGAACCTAGTCATTACCCTTTACTTCTCCCTCGTCTTATTTTTTATGCTCCGGTGATGCTCCTGCGCATCGAGCCTTTCCTTCTTTGACCCCTCCTTCTCCCACGGCCTCGCTCTCTATTGGAAAGAAGGTGCCTCGAGAAGCAAAAAAGTCACAAGACACGAGCCAGATTTCCTTGTGCAAGAAGCTCGCTCCTCATCCTTGCACACGATCAGGTCTGATCCGACCTTCGCCAATTGATATCCCCTCCAGGACCCCACAAACCTCTCTCAATTCATATTTCCTTGCTCGTCCTTCTTCATTCCTCCCAAAGACAGATATCGGATCATAGACGACCTGCTCGCCTTGTAGCCTTGCGCTTAGCCAATATACCAACGAAGCGTACTCTTCGCGACAACATCCAATACTCCTCCCCGCAGCATAATCGCCCTTCCACCTCCGGAGCGTAGTGTGTCTGTTGAAGGCGCATCGACTCCTCGTTGGCCTTTCTTTATTCCCATACTCCTCGTCTCGGTCATCTTGACGACTCTGCCCATGGCATGCGGCAAAACCTGACAACAACAACCCCCAATTACCTCTTTTTCCGACGAGCGAGCCCTGCCCACACGAGTCCCCGCTGCTTCGATCATCTTGCCTACTAAGATTAAGGCTCTTCAAGGCGACATTCTGTCTTCCCATTCGTACCCCGCTGTCGAGTTCAACTCGGGTGGTGTGCTCTCTCCCTCTCTTTCTCCCCACAAAATCTCCCAGAACGACCTCATGCTCGCACTTCCACAGCCTAGAATGGAGTCCACACACCCCCAGACCCAAGTTTGCCATTTGGCTGTAAGTTTTTCCCACGTACTTGCTCTTAGTTTCCTCTTGTGGATTGATCTTGCTCGCGTTGGCGCGTCTTTTCTCGAAATCGACAGGACATCTCTGCAAGCAAATCGTATCACGTCTTTCCATGTGACAGACTACTAACGCTAATGTATGTGGAATAGATGCCTTCAACGAGAACCAAGATGTCTTCCCGGAACCTCCTCCCTCGCCCCCACCCGGGGATCCAATCTTGACTGCCGAAGACACCATCTCACTCCAAAACTTCCTCGAGAACCTTTCCTCTGATCGCTTCAACACACCCTGCTATGGCGAAGGTCTGAATTTCACCGACACTTGGCTCGATCTCCCTCCCCAGCTCGTCGGCTCCACTACCTCGCTCGGCCAACACCCATCCATACCATCGCCTATCCAGCAAGCTGCTCATATGCAAAATCATAACCACCATATGCTGGGCGACGGCAGCCTCCATGCGTCGTCCGCTACAGGCATGATGGCACCGCCCCCTCCTCCCCCTGCCCACACATCTTCTCACCACCATCACTCACACCCTGGTCTACATCTGGACGCCACACCCGATGTCGTAGCCGCTGCCGCGCTTCTGCCTCGGAATGGCCTCATGAGCCCGAACAACTTTCACTCCCTACCCCTCCACATGTCTCAGTTCCCTAGCATGTCAGACCTCAGCCATGGCTTCAGTAGGCTTGAGCCCGGCGCTGCTATCGGCCATAGCCTCTTGCCGGCCGGTTTCGATGACACTAGCAACGCCGAGCACCAGTTTGCCAGTACGGCGTACACCACACAACCCTCCCCTCCACAGGGTCCTTTAGGCGGAGCCCAACAAGCTTCCGAAATCCAGTGGGGATCCGACGCCAGCTTCAACCAACCTCAGGGTTTCGTCCCACACTCGCACAGGGAAACGCACGAGTCCTTGGTGCAGCGCAAGCTGCAGATGATGCAGTGCCTCTCTGTCAACCGCAGCGCTGCGACTACACGGCCCTCGAGTCCTACCCACGATCACGGTTCCCCATCCGCTGCGCAGCACTTGTCGGCCAACTCCAATGAGGAAGATGAGGAGGAGATGAACGGTGAGGGTCCTCCTCGCAAGCGCCGCAAGAGCCGTATCGCCAAAGAGGATGACCCTGCCGACGATGATGACGAGGCGTCACCCGCCACTAGCAACACCAAGGCTACCAGGAGGCGAAAAACCAAAGCCAAGGGGCCGCCCCGAGGCTGATGACGAGAAGAGGGACTCGTCCACGGGTGAAGGCCCAGGGCTCGGCAAGGCGGGAGGCAAGAAGGGAACACCTTCGAAGCGCCGCAAGTCGGCCAATGGAGCCAAGGCGCCGAGGGAAAATCTCACCGATCAGCAGAAGCGCGAGAACCACATCAAGAGCGAGCAGAGGAGGCGCACTGTGATCAAGGAGGGCTTCGACGAGCTTTGCATAGTGGTGCCCAACCTTCAAGGCAGCGGTATCAGCAAGAGTAATATTCTCACCGCCGCCGCCGAGTGGCTCGAGGACCTGAGTCGGTTTAACAAGGAGCTCCATGACCAACTTGCTAGGATCGCTATCTAGCCGGCAGCTAGACCTCGCAGGTCTATAGAGGACCGAGCCAACTCAACAAGAAGAAGCTCTCGCCAATCCCTCTCGTTCTCTCTCTTGCATCCCTGTCATCTTTGAGAGATGGTAGCTGTATGCGGCTAGCGATATATACCTCCATTTTCTTTTCTTTACTTCTAAATTGGGTCGTATACTCTTTTTTCTTTTGTCTTTTTTTGGGAAACAGCGCGGTGCAACACAAAACCGGGGTACGGCGGGGTACGGGGCGCTTTAGATGGAACGGACGGGTGGCACGATCAGTGTAAACGAATGAATGCTCTGTGGGGGATATACGCTTTGGACGATGTCGACGAACGACGGGGAGTCTCTCCCTTCTTCTTTTTTTTTTCCATCATTTCCTTTCTTCTTTTTCACCATCATCTCATTATTACTATATGCCCTCCCTCCCTCCATTTTCCGTTAATGTTTGTCACCCTTGGATCAGCGAGTCACACACGTCCATTGAACCACTTCTTCTCTCAACTCTCTCACACTTATATCTCTTATACCCTTTCAAAACTTCGTCTCCCCCTTTCTTTTCTCCTAGGCAGAGCCTTACAAATACTATCTATACCCATCAAGATCAAGTTGTGCTAGTTTTGGTCCTGCTACGCTCTATTCATTCATCTCCTGATATTGTCTATCATCCATGCCGTCCATGCCATCGCCCACAGGCAAGGAGCAGATCAAGAAGGCTAGTTTGATGCCTTGAGAGCAAATAGTCGACCTTGGGTGTTTCAAGCGCGTGTGCAACAAGAGTAGCCACTTTTACTTCGAAAGAGGACGGGGGAGCGTTTCCCTTGTCATGAGCGTTGGGATTTATACCTTCCCCCATTGGACTTCAAGAACTCTGGAGCCTACGCGTAGGAACCCAAGTTGATTAGACACCGGAAACTCGACATGAAGGCCCTACGGCCGTAGTGGTCAAGACACTGCATATGATATGTACTTGGGAGGGAAAGCGCAGTCTGGTGTTATCGTGGACGAGTCCTTTCGTCCTGTTGCCCAGCATATGTCTCCCAGCCTTATTTTGTTCTTTCTTTTACTGCGCGGTAGGCGACATTGGGAGATCAGGATACCTAAATAAAAGTTCTTTGCTATACCATTAAGTGTCATGGAGAGCGGGGTGTAGTTAAAAAGAGTGACGTGTCGCTGCCTTGATGAACCCATTCCCTTTCCTTCCTCTTGTCTCATTTCTGAGGCAATCAGGATCCAACATCTGCTTCTTCTTCTTCATTTTCAATTTGCCCTCCTGTCCCCATTCGTATGTGAAGACCGAGAATAAGAAAAAGAGTTGGTGTGCACGGTTGACGTGGACGTGGGGTTGACGACCGAGGATTGGGAGTGAGGCTACACACCCTTCTTGCCGCAAAGTAGGGTCATCCCTTGTTTTTTATTATTCTTTCATTCAGCGGCATTTCTTTGTGTTTCCATGCATCTGACAAAAGAGAAGAGAAGAATAAAAAAGAAAGGTGTGCTGAATGGATGCAAGGAAGAGAGGAAAGAGAAAGTGCTAAAAAACAGGGCTGAGGGGGGTGGGGGGTGTTTATCATCGGCAGGCTCCGGCCGAAGCAAAGCGCCAGCGCTGGCGGGCTCTTTTCCCCCACACCCACCACCTCCTGCCGTCTAGATCTTGTCTTTTGTTTTTGCTGTTTCCTTGGATCCATGGGATAGCTCGTCGAACCGTTGGGAGCGAGAAGAGCGCGTGTTGGAGGAACCCCGCTCGCCTCGAGGATAGAAGATGGTGTGGAGGGTTGCGGGGTTAGGCTTGTGGAGGGTCGTTCAAGTCTGCCCGAGAAGAATTTCGGAATTATGCTCGGTTCCGCCATCTCGTGACGTGCAGCGCGACTCCTCGTCGAGCGGCTAGCCGGCGAGGCTAGGACTCCCTGAAGATGTTTTTTTCTTGGCGTCGGCGGATGAGAACCATGTATTCCCTTTACTTTTGTCTCTTCGCTTAAGTGGAAAGTTATAGATAGGTGAGGAAAAAGAAGAGAGAGAGAGAGAGAGTTGGCGGTACTATTCCGCTCTCGTTTTGGATCGGCCCCACTCGTGCCGGAGGACGGCGGACGTGGAAGCCGCTCCGGGGTTGAACCCGGCGAACAGATTCTGGCGTTTGGACCACGTTACATGTTCCTAACTGGAGTCATTCTAATAATACTATCGCCTTTTCTTTTAATTCTGTATCTATATGCTGATATATTTTGAATAACATGACCTTCGACGGTGCACAAAACGAGTCAATATTATTTTTTTCTTCATCATGACAACGTGAAAAACCAAACTCCGCTCGCCAGATATAGCCAAGACCCTCTCCCAAACCCTCTGTGCGCCAATTCTCCGTCATGATAGCGTGATGACCTGATATAGTGTATGTGTAGCCAGTGTTGAAACTGGGCTCGTTATCACTGGTTCCCTCTGACGCCAAATCCACAACCCCCAATTTTGCCAGGTCTACCAGGTTCATTGGATCTGCTGGTCCCATGTTGAATGTTTTCAGCGCCTGACAGCCATCTTCTGACACGCTACACGGGGCTTTTGTTCCGTGCCCATAGGTTGGCCAAATCCAACCCTCTCTCCTGTGGCTCTACCTGTGGCTCTGCCTGTGGCTCTGCCTTTGGCTCTGCCTTTGGCTTCCTTTTGAATGCCATTCCCAGCTGAACCAAAAACAAACGTAAGAAGGGTCAAAGGCACCGCAAAGACCCAGTACATCCAAACCTCCCGAGACACGAAGAGCGTATCCCCGCTCCTGTCTGGGAGCTCGCTAACCTGGAAAAATGGCATGCTGAAGATTGTCTGCGGAGGCCTTACATTAGCGAGCAACTTGTACAACACCAGTCGTAGCTACCATTCAAGAAGAATTGGTGAATTTTGCAAACTGGATGCGGGACTGACCGAAACAAATGTAGCTGGTAGAAAAGTCATAGTGATCACCGCGATAACCTTCATCGCCTCCGCTTCTTTCCCTGCTTGCTCGCCGATTCGAACTTGAACCTTGCTATCCTTCTGAGCGGCGGTATGGAAAGCCTACACGAGACAATATTGTAAGTCCCCTCGACATTCTGCGAGGCTGAAAAAAGAGAAAGCAAACGGGAGAGAGAAAGAGAGAGCCTACAAGCTGCATTTCGTTCTGGATACGCGCTTTATTCGACTCGGCCCGGCACGTGAGTGCCTCGACAAGCTTAAGCGGGAACCGAAACGGACTGTGATGTTTCCGCCAGGCGACAGGCCGGTGATTGGCGGCGCCGTGATCGCCATCACTGTCCTCGTCTCTCTCTCGACTAACCGAGTCCAAGAAATCTTGGTGTTGTTGCTGGATGCTCCGTATGGACTGGGAGGCTACTTCTAGCGTCTCACTAACGTGGACGGCATGTCTCGCCACTTCGTGGAGCACGCCGTAGTTTGGTTCTCGAGGTCTGTTCTAAAGCAAAGCGGAAGCAGAGAAAAACGCGCGGGAAAACCGTCAGCTCACAAAGAGAACCACGGGAGAAAGCCGGGCAAGGATCCGAAACTTACAGACTCCCACTCGCAGACATGATCCCGTATCGACCACACCGAGTCATCGTACAAGCGAAGCACCTGATGTACAAGAAAGACCGTAATCGAGTACGGGTCCTTGAGATCCACCTTGCTCGCGCAGGTATTAAGCGCCTCGCAGAGCCCATCGCGAGCGATATCGGGCAGATTGAGGCAGAGAATCGTAATGGTGTCTTGCGACGGCGTCCAGTGCGCGAAGAAGGTCATCTCGTACCATTTCCACCCGTGCAGGCGCGTGAAGGAGTCGTGCACCGGGTTCGTGTTGTCAAACGTCTTCGTGTACGTGCGCTTTGGTTTCAGCTTTTGGAAGACTTGCTTGACGTTGAAGCGGCACCAATGCGCTGGGGACATCATGGCTCGTCAACAAAAAGCATGCCCACAATTCAGCAAGGCCACTACGTACTGTACTGCTGGAGCCTGCCATCGGTATCAAAGACCGGCTCGGATCCGGCAAACCCGTTAGACTCGTAACACAACCTGGTGCGTAGGAGCGGCGGGATGCTGAACTTTTCCGCGATGTGACCGGGGAGGGCCTCTTTTGATGGCTTTATGGCTTCCTGGGAGGCAAAGCTGCCGAAACCCTCGTTTGTAAACACGTTTGATATCAAAAGACACACAAGATTGCCACGCCTCGTGTATGCTCAACAGGCAGGATGTGACGTACATGAGCCGCGCACGCGGCTGATCCTCCTTCTAAAGAGTGCAAAAGTTAATAAAAACAACCCGCATAGAGAAGAATGTTCAGGACGCATGTGGGACTCACATTCAGTATGTTACCCCATGTTGAGTGTCCATCAGCCCAACGACCATTATTACCTTAAAAGATTGGTGTTAGCGATAACCCTTTGAGATTCCTCCAGGCCCCCAGCAGCTATGGTCACTCACCGAAATCCAGAATTTCCACTTCCACCCCGGCCTCCTCCACGGACAGATCATACACGCGTCTGTCTTTTTCGTTGGAAGAGAGTCGCCCGCCATCATCTGCGAACTCAGTGTCGAGCCTGACAATGAAGGCGGAGAAGAGGTATAATCCGACCCATCTAGATCGTCGGACTCCATCGAGAGAGGACGAACACGGGCTGATAAACAAAAGGTCGTTGATGGACCCTCGCCTTCTTTTTCCGTTTTCTCCGTTTTTCGGTTTGATTTCACTTTCGCAAGGCCGGGGAATGCCTTGTGAGGGCCAGAACCGAAAATCAATCGTCTTTCTTCTTTTTCAGCTCCTCACCAGAGAGTATTTGTATAATTCGCTCGAAACTGTTGTGCCGCTCAGCCTGGTGCTTTAATTTGGTTCATGCATTTCGTGTACCCCCGGTACTGACTGCCTGTAGGGCAAGCTGCGCCCTATACAGAGGATCAGGAAGAGAGACATGGAAGGACTTCAAAGGTCACGCCTCCACCAACATTGAACAAGATATCCCACCACTCTAGGCGGCCCGTATATATGCACAGCTACAGGTTGCCACTTACTCCTCTCTGACTTGCTCCTCGTGGCACCCCCTCGCCACGCCCTCCCCATGGACCTTCCTATAGCTATTCACAATAGGACACTCGGCCTTGCGATGGCGAAGAGCGGCGTCCCCTCTTTCGCCTCAGCCCAGTTTAGGAATCGATATCCGTCCGTTGCGTGATCGAACAGTCCACCGCCTACCTTTATACTTCGAGAGCTGTCTCCTGTCTTGAATCGACACATACATATCACCACTGCTTTTGCATGTAAAGTGCAGACCGGTCTCTCCGCCCGATACATGTCCTGCAAGTGGGCAGCACGACATGTTCAGCCTTCAAAGAACCCGCCTCTCCTCTCCAGTCAACGATTATTTAGTATCTGCGCTATTCGCGGCCGTGCTGCACTTGCCGCCTTCATTTTCCCCCATCACTCGCCCGAGCGGAAAAACAAATAAATAAACAAATAAATATAAAGCCAAGACTCTACCCACTGTCTTCTTAGTGCCGGTCCGGCACCGATCGTCAAAGTGGGTCCTAGTCCGCAAAGTCGGATGAAGCGCCCCGGAAGTGTAAATCACCCTCCCGGAACGGACTCGCGGTGCCCTTCTCTTGCCAACCTCATATGCTTGGCGGATAGGTTCTAGTAGACTTGTAACAGGTGGGAATATCTACATCACCAGAATTTGGAAACGACGCACAAGAGTAAAAATGATGTTGATGACAGAAAAGGCAAAGGGAAAGGGTTAATGAAAGAGGGAGAGAGGAAAAGGAAAGGCGAAAAAAATGTGGGTACGATCGCCTGAGGAAACGGCGAACCCCCAGGGCTTTATACCTCTCCTTGCCGCTCTTTTTACATTTTTATTGGTCGTTGGATGTTCAATGCAAGGCAGAAGTGCTGCGCCTGGGGCTGTGCGTCAGGCGCAGCACTTCTGCCTTGCAGACATCAGTCTTGATCAAGTGCTCAGAGAATTCGAAATCTTCTCCTGCCCACGGGCTGATTCACGCATATTTTAAGTAAGTATAGATTGTTAAAAATATCAGGATTGACAAAAGTTCAATTGATCTCCTAGAAAAAGAAAAAGAAAGATAATGACCCTAATGCCGGGGCGCCAAGTCATGTTACTTCAAATTGGCTTCACAGAGTTTTGTTTCATTGCTTCTGCCCCCGGTCGGTTCCAGAGCTTGAGGAGCAGATTCATGAAAGCATGTCTTCATCTTTTTTTTGTTTGGTCTTTTGTGTAGTTGGGTTCTATAGTCGTTTCCCATCCTGTCACTGTACCCGTTTTTTGCACCACAGGCCTTGTTCTTTTTTCTTTCCCATCAATTGAGATGGCCTGTAGCCCATTCATTAATTCTCCTGCGCTGCAAGCTACCTACAGTACACATAGGCGCCTCGCGTTACAAGAGGGGCGGTTCTGTTTCAAGAGCCGCCGGAAGCCTTGACCTCACAGAGGAAATTTAGGCGTTGCCGTCAGCCTTGGCGACGTAGGCAAGAAGATCGAGGACACGGCGAGAGTATCCCCACTCGTTGTCGTACCAGCTGACGACCTTGACAAAGTTGTCGTTGAGGGCAATACCGGCCTTGGCGTCGAAGATGGACGAGTTAGGGTTGCCAATCATGTCGGTGGAGACAATGTCATCCTCAGTGTAGGCGAGGATTCCCTTGAGCTCGCCCTCGGAAGCGGCCTTGATGGTGGCCTTGATGTCCTCGTACGAGGCGGCCTTCTCGATGCGGACAGTCAAGTCAACAACGGAGACGTTGGCGGTGGGTACACGCATCGACATGCCGGTGAGCTTGCCGTTGAGCGAGGGGATAACCTTGCCGACAGCCTTGGCGGCGCCGGTGCTGCTGGGAATGATGTTCTGAGCAGCGGTACGGCCACCACGCCAGTCCTTAGCGGAGGGACCATCGACGGTCTTCTGGGTGGCGGTGTAGGAGTGGACGGTGGTCATGAGACCCTCGATAATGGTGTACTTGTCGTTGAGGACCTTGGCGAGGGGAGCAAGGCAGTTGGTGGTGCAAGAGGCGTTGGAGATGACATCGGCCTTGCCGTCGTAGGTCTTCTCGTTGACACCCATCACGTACATGGGGGCATCGGAAGAGGGGCAGAGATGATGACCTTCTTGGCACCGCCCTTAAGATGGGCAGAGGCCTTGTCGGTGGTGGTGAAGACACCGGTGGACTCAATGACGTACTGAGCGCCAGTCTCGGCCCAGGGGATGTTGGCGGGGTCGCGCTCCTGGTAGAACTTGATGGTCTTGCCGTTGACAATGAGGTTCTTGCCATCGACCTTGATGTCACCCTTGAAGATGCCGTGGGTGCTGTCGTACTTGAGCATGTACTCCTAGAGTGAGGGAAAAGAGAGTCAATTAGCAACATGTCCACGAGCGAAGAATTCTTTTTCTTTTTTTAAGAAACAAGTGAAAGATTGTGAGAAATAAGTGAAAGAGCTTCGTCAAGTCTCAAGCTCCCTCAGCTGAGTGAATGGGACCCATTGCCATTGATGGAGAGCTTGGACTGGACGTGGCTGCCATAGTATCATGAAGAGCGGGGCAAAAATGTGGTCCAACCAGGATGCGCCTGCCCCCTGCTGCTGCGTGTTGTGGATTTTTTGTTGATGGCGGGGTAGCAAAAGCTTTTTCCCTTCACCTTGTTGGTGGGGCCTGCAGAAGGAGGGGCAAACGCAGCTGGTCTTCCGTGTCCGCGCCTGCCAAAAGTGTCGCGCCACCCGTCCAGTGATATCACTGGAATTGCAACGTGAAGCAGGAGCTCAGATGGAGACAGAGGGAAAGAAAAAGAGTCCTCGTCAAAACAACGAAGGGCTTGTGAAAAAGAAGAAAAAGGGAAACCGAACTACGAGCAGCTGGTTTGTGCTTCACTTCTGGTCGCTTTAAAGGTTTTACTTACAGCGTAGTGGGTCTCAATGAAGGGATCGTTGATGGCAACAATCTCGACCTCGGGGTGCTCAGCAGCATTGCGGAAGACAATGCGGCCGATACGACCGAAACCGTTGATGCCGACCTTGATAGCCATTTTGGTGGTTTATGTGGTTTGGGAGAAAGAAAGGGTATCTATTCGATTGTGATCGTCTTTTCGTTAGTCTGGCCCGAGAGAGATAAGCAGGTCAAGGCGGGGGATGAGTGTGAGGGAGTGAGTGAAGAAAAAGCGAGCTTGGCCAGGGGAAAGGACAACGAGTAGACCCGAAAACGGGAGCTTGAAGCGAATCATCAGGGCGAAACAAGGAGAAAGGGAGGGGCAAGAAGCAGTGGCAGCAGAATTTTCCCGCGCCCGGTCTCTGGCTCTTTCCCAAGCTCCGATTTAGGCGGGGTAGCTGTAAGGACGCGGGAGGGAAGGGTAGCGACCCTCCACGAGCTTCCTGTCCCCTTCTCGCACCACAATGGCGATGAGAAACAGGCCCCCTCAAGCTCCTAGAGCTAGCTAGGTGGACGCGGGGAGGTAAAGCTCTAGGGGATGAACGACAATCAAGTCATGATCCGACGAGTGGAAGGGGATGAAGGCGAGGGCAGAGCTGGAGAAGCTTGGAGCTATGACTAGCTTCGCGCCGAGGATGCTTACCTAGAAGTAGTGGACGAAAGGGTCTGGGGAGCTTTCACTTGGAAAGACGATGCTTGGTTGATGGGTATGGGGAGAGGAGATGGGAAGAAGAGAAGAAGAGAGGAAGAAGGGAAAGAAAAAAATCTAATGGAGCTGGATGAGGTAGTAATAAGGAGGTTTCTTGGGGAGGGGAAACCAAGTCCGGACCAGCCCAGCCCGATGAGATTGGTCTCTTCGATTGTCCCTGTTTTTCTTTTCTTTTCCTTTTCCTTTTCTTTTGGCTCCAGATTGGGTCACGGTTACCCAGTTACGAGCGCAATACTTCATGATTTGTTACTTTTACAGATTACGATTACGGCGACGGCGGTGACGGCGGAACCGCAGAGAGGAGGGATGGGGAGGCGGGGGCGCGGACCCGGCTCGAAAAAAAGCGTGGGTGGCACCATGAGCATTTGGTTTGGTCACTGATCAAGGATGTACAAGTAGCGTATCCATCGTAAAGTGTCTACGTTGTTAAACGGAGATGTGGCGGACGGCGGTACAATCGATCCATGTACAGCTCTCGCCTTTTCCCCGTCCGCACTCTTCAACAACCTGGAGAATCGGAGCACAACTGGTAATCACTCCAAAAAGAGCGTGCTTCCTTTTTGTAATCGCAGTCCTTGGTCCAGAGGAAAAAGAAGGTTTCGATCGGTCTCAATGGGCGAAACATCACGGAATTTCCTCCCGATTTCCCTTTTGTCAGTAGATTCCAGGCACAAACCACGCGCGCACGCGTGTTTTCCCTGTTACGACGTGGGAGAGACAACCCCCACCAACCCGCCTTGCATCCATTGAGGGGAGAACCTCTGCCTCTCTCTCCTCTCTCTCGCCTCGTTGCCAACGTCAAAGGATAAGGTGAGCGAGTGGAAATAAAACGAGACGAGAATCCGAAAATATGGCATGGTTAGGCGTCACAGCAGGGGCGAACAGACCAGGACGGCAGCGAAACGAGCTCGGTCGACTTTCAACGAGTTACACAGCAACAAGCTGCCCACTCATACGATCGAGTACTCGGGCGAGGAAATGGATGTTGGACCTTCATCTGCTGAGGGTGGGGAACTCACGAACCATGTACTTTCGTCAGGGCCTTGAGCTCCGACACGGGTAGCGAGTACATCCATTGGTTCAATCAGTTTCAACTATCCTTTCTAGTCGCCCTCTTTTTTCCCTCCCCCTCCGTCGAGAGCTCGAAAGCGTGCCTGCATGCAACTTTCCTGATCTGGGCTGCGTTTCCATCAGGGTCTCTCTGTATCTTTTTTTTTTTTTTTTTTTTGGCTCGTTTTCTTTTCCCAACCAAAATGTCCGCCGGACTCGTTGACCGAGATGGAAGAGCGTGGGCGACGAGGAAGGATAATATGATATGACATACTCTCTGGAGTTGTCCCACCACCACCATCACTACCCCCATCGTGATAATGATCTATGGATGAGTCTTCTACGCCTTGCACCTCTTTTTGGCCACATCACCAATCAATCCATTTGCAAAACCTTGGCTCTCATTTGTAATAGCAGTAAAAAATTCGGACTGAATGGAAAAGCGGCACATTCGGATTTCGGCCGACTCGGTCATGGGCCCCGAAGCTCTTGGGGGTGCTTGATTACCTGGACTGGCCTTCCCGCCCGTGGCGCGCCCTTTCGCCTCACATCCCATCCCACCCTTTTGACATGCTTGGTGAGCATCAATGTGTGGCCATGAAAACCTGCCACGGGATTGTGGCTTATTTTCATGCCCTCTCTGACTCCATCCATGAAGAGTGTCATTAGCTCCTCGTTTTTCTTTTTCGTTGCCTCCGCGCGCAACTCTCTTCCCAACGCTTACGGAGCACTAGTTGGGTGGGGAGCTCTGTTGCATCGGGCCAAGTCGGGCCTATCTTTCCAGCAAAGTATGACGTGCCAGACCTCAATGGATTCATAGGAAACTGTTCATGTGTGGAATGCCATAAGCATTATTGAATGCAATGAAAGTCGAGACAGCTGAGCTTTCGAGGAGGGGATCCGTTTGTTGATGCCCTCCCCGCCGGCTGGTAACTAATGGCCCCTCACTACAAACTATTACGGACATCCAAGGATCCAGATGGAACAACCTTGTGTTTTGAATCGACCACACAGCTGAAAGAGCAGAGTGGAAGATCCATCAAGCTTGGCTATCGCAATGCGGTCCGTTTCTACCGAGCTCAATTCCTTTCTCTACGACCCTCTCGCTCCAAAAGGTGGCTATGTATTACGAGACGGTTTGGATAACGTAAAAATCGCGCAGCGCGGATACAAACCAAGTGACAAGCGGCACAGGAAAGAATAACAGATTCTTTCCTCTTCTTGTAATCGTTTTCCTTTTTTTCCTGTTCTTTTTCTTTTCTTTTTCGGGTCATTGCTTTCTCCCGCGATCTCGGTTAACGTTTCTGCTAACCATGGGCTTTGACGCACCCTTTTCATCACCTTTGCGCCCCCACCATCAAGCACGAACCCACCCCGCGTCCTAGAATTTCACAATGGACCGTTCCTTATCATGAGATGTCTGTTTTTTATCGCCGCCCATTTGGGGCTGGATGTGACTTGACTTGCGTTGACTGGCGCCAAAGCAGGCGTATTTTACTTTTTTAGTCCGAGGACGGTGATGTATCCAATATATCCATTCATGCCCACTCTTCCTGAGCTAGAGGAAGAGGAGGAGCTTTAGCACGGCCGTGGCTACCGTTTTCTCTCTCAAAGGTTGCAAGCTACCCCTCGGATCCGGGCTTGTAGCTATGTACTGGAGCTTGAGGAGCCGAGTCTCTTTGCGGTAGCGAGCGTGACGCATGGGCAGATCAAAAAATCGCAGAAGCATACAACATTCTGTAGAAACCGATCGATGCAAGAACCCGCGGGACCCCGAATCCGATTCAAGGTACGAAAGCCACCATGCTCCTTCGCCAGAGCCTTGCTTGGGAGACGAGGGGGGAGGCGATCTTCATACGTTCCAATCCCTGCAGCCTGCGAGCGCGAGGCGCTTTCCTATTATCTGCGTCCCCTGATAGGGAGCTCAGCCGTGGACAACCAAAAAAAAGATCTTATGAACGCATATCACCTTCGATAGTATTAGTATTAGCATTCGTAATCGCCCCAAGCGCTCCTTATGAGGCTTTTGTCTCCGTGGATGGATGCACGCACGATAACCCCGGAAACCCAGTTTGGTTGCCCTGCCACATTTTCTCAAGTGACGGTTCGACTCCGAATCTAGCAAACTACGCGGGCATCTGATACATTGATTGCACGATCCCTTGACCCATTCCGTTGTGGATGGGGTCCATTCTCGCCGTCTTCACAAGCCCGCCAAGTGCAGAGGTTGCCAAGGTAGGACTGGTCTGGCAGGGCGACTACTCGAACCTATTGATGGATGGATCCGTTCAATGTTCCGTTTGTTGCCCCGCCTCCCTGACCGCGGGGTCCTTTCTTCCACGTCGAAGGCTCGTTGGAAATTTGAAGAGAAAAAAACCAAGCCCCTCAGTCGGCCCGCTGTTCCTCAGTGTCATTCTCAATTGAAGAGAAATTCACTCAACTGGCAAGATTCTAAACCAATCTGAAAAAGGGCGAAATGGGGAAGGGAATGAATTATCCGAGATGATAATAAAAGGGCCGTTCCCGCCCCCGTCTTCGGGCTCTCCTCCAACAAGATTGAGGCATCGACACCCATGGCCTTGATGGGGAGCTTCAATTGATCAGAGCTGCGCTGGGGGCGGCGCACTACGCGAGAGTACCCATCTATGGCCAATGCAACGACTTACAAAGAAACAAGGATAAGGGAAAACATTAGTTGGGTCAATGCAAGTCATCTCTTTGCCGGAACACAACTATATTCAAGGACCCGGGAGCTTGGGCACCATGTACGCAAGAAAAGCCTGTTTCCATCTTGCCTTTTGATCTTGGTGCACTCGCACCGCCATCAAGGTACGAGACACGACATCAAGGTGGTTGGTTGCGTGTGGTGTTTGATACACCGTGAACGGGTATCTCTTTTCTCGGGCATCCTTCCTCATCGACCAAAATGGTGAAGAAAACGGTGTCAAGGACACTTTATTGCGTACATGTATCCAGGGGACGGACCCATGTGCCTGGGAAGGGGGATGTCTCGCCCAACCAAATTTCCCCCCTTGTCTATTTTTGCCTGCCCGCGTGCCTCCATCGTGAAGCGCACCCTCCAAGCGCCTAAGCCCCGCGAGCGCCGATGCACACCCTCGGCCTCCCTCGGGCCCCCAACTTCCGAACATCGCCAGAACCCGCCGCGCTCCATAGCCGAGTCGGGTCCTCCTATCCGGAGGAGGGAGCGCTTACATCAATTTGCTCCTTTATTTTCAATTTTTACTAGTTCACCGTATCTCCGAACCCCCACCCCTGAAACAATAAAAGAGAAAGCAATCAAAACTTACTGCGTTTCTTTTTTCTTGGATTCCTTCCTGGCCTACAGTCCTCGACACGGCCTTCTTGTTATCCGGGGTAAAAGTAGTGAATACCAAGAAGAAAAAAAAGGGTAGATGGCCACTCCTCCCCGCCCCGCCCCTGCCAATAGCCTCGGATGGAGACTAACAAGTCGGGACGCGCCAACGCCACTAGATCCCGTCTCTACCCGGAGAACCTCTCCAAGCGCGTATCGTGTGCCACCCTTTCCCTCCGTTTTTTTGTTCCCCTTCTCTTATTCGGATTTGGTACGGCTTGCCCTGCCATGGCTCGATCTCCGATCTTTTTCGCCTGCAATCAAAAAGAGAGTCCATCTCCGCTTTCGTCTGCCGTTCGTTCTCCGGAGAGCCCTGGCCTCCCCATCTCTCCCCGTGCCCCGCTTGTTTGTTTCCTCGTTAGCTCAATTCCTTTTTCTTTTCCCCTTTCCGGCGTACCTATTCGGCACTATAAGCTTGAACGATCACGAGCTTGCTAGCCTGGAAAACGCGAAGCTTAGAATAGAAGTCTTCGCGTCGGAGAAGCCGAGGTGCTTTTGGCCTGTAACCTGCCCTTTTCAGGCCATTGCTCTTTTTGTTTCTAGGTTGCTTGTTCGCTCTAGCCCGGTTTCGTCTTCTACTAATACCAGACAGCTTTGATACTATTGCCCATCCGTTCTTGCTGTTCCTCCGCAACGGTGCCTTTCTGTTCTAGGAAGCCACTATCACTTCCGTTTGCGTGCTGAGCCACGCTCCTCGTGCTTCCCGGGCGAGTACGCGGCATCTTTGTTTCCAAGGTACTTGAGCCCGGGAGTTGAAGGAAGAGAGCAGCTAGAGAAACCGCCGGGTCCCCAGTGGAGTGAACGAGGGCGGCTGGACAAGGTGTGAGCGGGGGCATTAACAGGAAGACCATCGTAGTCTCCACTAACACACATACTTGTACCTCTTCCCAAGGCGCTTCCTCCCGTCGTCCTTCTCAAACACCCCCTTGTCCGCGAGGCTTGAACCTGTTAGCACCGAGGGACAAGACAACCATCACGTGCGTAGAACGGGAGAGAGCTGAACGTTAGTGTGGCACTAGAATCTCTTAAAAGGATATCATCATGGTCATTATGATACGGAAAGCAACAGGGTTATAAAAGGGAGAAAGGCGACATTCGAACCTTCCGCGCCTTTCCTCCCCTCCTCCCTTTCTCACTGGTGTACCCAGAAGAAAAACCAAAGAAAGCTACACAAAAAGGTACTTTTTCTCTCCGTCTGGTTTCCTCCGTACCCCCAGTGTTTTCTTTTTCCTGGGGGTTCGATTCCTTGGAATCGATCATTTGCATCCATTGAAGAATGCCGGTGGAGACCCGGGCCACCTGGCACGGGTCCCACCGGGATCAAATCAATGCTCACTTACGCACTTTAGGGTACTGTTTCCTTTGCTGTTGAAAGAACAAGAATGAAGAAGTCAATCCTAGCATTGGCCAAGATCGAGCAGAAACGGGTCAAGGAAATCCGGGAGACGAGAAAAGCAAGAGAGTTTGAAGAGTCTGGATCTGTTTCTTTGCAAGGGAATACCAAGATAAAAAAGCCAAAGGAGATGGAAGAAAAACAAAGAACATATCGGGTATTAGGATATCGTGAATCCATCGCCCACCTTCCTCGCAAAAACCTCTCCATTCCAGTTGGACCGTTCCGAACATTGAAGAAAAGAAAAGGAAAGAAAAAGAAAACAAAAGACCGAAAAGAACAACCAAGATATATCGCACACCAGCTCGGGACCGCTCCCTTCGACTAGCCAGGGACAGGGGTACTCGAGAAGGCCAAGCTCCAAGGGGGTAAGAAGAGGTTGGGTGGGAGAGGGAGAGGGAGAGAGGACATGAGGGTGAAAATCAAGCTGGAATAAAGAGACAGTAGAACCAATCGCCCTTGGTTTTCATTCCCCAACTCCTTCGAAACAAAGAAAAAAAAAAAAAAGGAAAACCCCGTTCCTGCGTAAAGCCGAATAGAATCGAGTAGCCGAGATCATCCAAGGCGAGAGGAGAGGTGGAGGAACGCGTAGTGAAAGATGACAGGGTAAGCGGGCGAAAACGAAGGTCAGGGATGAGGACCAACACCTTCGCCCCTTCTCTTTCACATTGTCTGCCACATCCACAGCTTCTCGCCTCCCTTGCCTCAATCTCGAATCATTCCAGGACGACACTGGTGGAACGAACCAGCCATAAGGAGGGGAAAAATACATGGTGGGCAAAAGCCCGGTCCCCGCAAGCCACCTTTCTTGTCCGAGATTGTAGATTACAGTATACATGTGCCTGAGTTATGGCAACCCCGTCTTAAGATGGATGGGGGTGGGCGATGTGGCAAAGGGGGTGATTCTACATCATCTCTGCAGAGCCATCCCTAGCCTCACCTCGCCGGTTGGTACAGACAACGCAGGCTAGTTCCCCGCAAGGACCTCTTCGCCTGATAGAGTCGCCTGCCAGTCGACGTCCTCGCCGTCGGCCCAGCTTTTCGCAGCCCTGAGGGACTGGTAGACAATCTCCTCGACCGACACGCCTGGGTTTAGCGCCGGCAGCCTGAGGTCGTAGCCGCCCTCCTCTTCCTCCACCTGCCTGTAGAGCGCCGGCAGCTGCCGCCGGTAGCTAACCTGGAGCCCGCCCATACGCTGTACCTCCTGCGCGTTAGCCGGGATGCGCAGGTCCATGAGGTAATAGCACGCCAAGATCTCTTGCAGGATGGTGTCCTGCAGCATCCAGAGCAGCGTGTGGACGAAGTGGTACGCCCGTGCGTGCCGCTGCAGCTCCCCAACCATTGGCAGCAGGCTCTTCCACGGCGTAGGATCTGGCGTTTTACGTTCCGCCCGCCGTATCTCGCAAAGTGCCTTGAACCCTACCATGAAGGCCAAAATCGCCTCAATGCCCGTTACAACAGCGAGCTTCTGGTCCGACTCGGGTATTTGTTGTGCCGCCGCCGCGCTGTTGATGTTGAAGCTCTTGAAGATGCCGTCGCGCGCTCGCTTCAGCTTCTTGCCAAAGCTACCGTAACGGTCAGAGAGGTGCCTCAACTTATTCACTGAGGGTGCTGAAATTGGTGGTGGGTGAGACCCTCCCTGCGAGGATGGCCCCGTGCTTCCCGCCTCCCGGGTGTATTAACGTGCGATATCCCGGCGGACGATCTTGAGGGTGTGGATGGCGCTGGCGGCCTTGTCGAGGTTGCGGTCTCAACCTTCCTGGGCCGTTTGGACGCGGACGGCGAAGGCGTGTCTCGCGGTACCTCGCTCACATGGCTTGTAGGGATCGGTCGCTTCTTCGATGCCTGGGATTGTGAAGGGGGATCCATGCTGCCAGACCTCTCATTCTTGCCAGGTAGTGCCATAAGCCGCTGGATTCCCTTGCCTAGTTTCTTGGAGAACCTAAGCGTGACAATGAACCGATCCCTCTCGGGCTTGCTCGCCGTACTCTTCTTAATCGGTTTTATGGGCTCCTTTACGGGCTCCGGGGACGGGAGATCATACTCCTTGGGCGACGCTTTCTTCCGCCGCAGGAGCTCCGCCTCGATGATTGGTGGTAGCGTGGGGGATAATAACGGTGGTATGGAGTAAGATGGGCTCGTCTTCTTTAGCAGGGGCGGCGGGCGGTCTGCCGATCTACTCTTCGCCATCGCATGGTGGTGGTCAGACTTTTCCTCCCTTCGAGGCGCCTTTTCCGCCTTCTCGCTCCGATCCGTCTTCTCAGCCTTCTCGGTCTTCTTGGACACGGAGGATTGGGAGTCGTTGAATGAGAGGTGAAGGGGCGATAGTAACGGCGGGACGCCCGTTTTCGAAGACGAAGAAGGGGGCGCGAGTTTATTCGCGCTTGTAGAGTGTGAACCGCTGCTGGAACCGGGCCGTACGCCGTTCGTCGATCCTGCCCGGGGTCGTGCATTCGGCGAGCCACCAGAAGGTTGGTTCATGGCAGCTTTTAGCATCCCTCGCCCGTTTACTGTCGACGAACTATTCGCGCTAGATGACGTCGTCGTCGCCTGTCGGTGCTCGGGCCGTGGACTTCGGTCGTTCGTCTGGTTCGGAGGCGCGTCTCGTCTACGCGATATATCATTATTGGTACGCGGCACGTCTTTCGTTAGCCGCGACCGGTCGTGTGTAGATCCATTCAAGTCAGGCTTGCTTCGTTTAAGGGGCCGGGAACCATCGTCTTCGTCTGATCCTCGCTTCCTCGCCCCCGGGGAGGTTGGGCAGTACTGGCGGCGGTTTAGGAGGCAGCGAACTAGGTCTACTTGAGGATGTTAGCGGAATTTTTCTTGTTAAAGGGAGCCCATCGATAAGTGAATGCGGGAGGGCGAAGACCAAAAAAGCGTTTACTTACCTCGCGCTTAGAAGCGAATCCTTGGACCCGGGTATTCTATGCTCTTTCAATACTGGCAAGCTTTCACGTTTTCTGGAATCTGACTGTGAGCTATCATGTCTTCGTTCTGGCAGTGGCCGTGAGTTGTGTTCATCGGTTGCCCTCTTGAGAGTAGGATTAGGTGGTAGTGGTGATTGCGATTGTTGCTTCACTTTGTTCTTGTAGTCGCTTAAAGACATTTTTGTTGAGGGTTTCTTTTCTGACCGCGACGATGGGGTTGCGGCGGCCTGCGCTTCGGGGACAGGAGGTTCTTCGCGCATCTCATAATAGGGTCGCGTGAGGAGGACCCCGCGATCACCGTCGGAAACAAAGGTCATATACTGAAGGCCGCGATGGATTTGTTCCTCAAAGCCTTTAGCATCGGGAACCGCTCGATAGCGCTTGTCGGGGCTATAGGAAAGATGGTGTGGGTGCTCTGGTAAGATGCGCTGCGTGAGGAGTCGGACCTGTTTCGCCGCAGCTTCCATCTTTGTGTGGCGTTTGCATGCCTGTAGCACAAGGTGTGGGAATGTGTCGACTAGCGACCTTTTCAACTATTCGTCGGCGTGGCTGGACGAGAGAGAGTCAAAAGGCGTGCGGGGTTCCCTTTGTGTTCTTGTGCCACCCAAGACAAAGGTCGCTTGATGCGTCACCCTGGTAAGGAAGGGACACGATGGGAGAGACGCGAGGCCAGAGGGGATGGGCGTCTTCGAGACAAGAGACAATGAAGCGCGTCGTTGATGGAAGAGCCGACGACGAGGCAGACAGAGAGAGAGATAGAGAGAGCTAGGAGGGATTCAAAAGAGAATCAACGCTGACCGCGGCCTGGAGCAGAGCACAACGCTCCCTCCGTGGCCAAGCAACTCGCGGTTGTGACCGCCAAATGGGGCTAGCGAAAACACCCGTCGGTGAGACGATAATTAAGCCTGTCGCGCCGTCCTTATAAGAATTTGCCTTCGGTTCGCTCAGCGACAACGATAAGGGTGGTGGTGGATGTTCGTAGGACTCGCGCAATCGCCTCGGTGGAGGGCGATTGTCAACACTAAAATATGGGGGAAAGACTGATTGATGGAAAGCTTGAGTAACCAGCCAAACGGCAGTCTATCAATTCCCGGAGGCGTTAGAATCAATCCACGTGTACCAGCACCCTTCACTGTAGATGTAGAGGGTATGCGACGATGCGAGACCAGCAAGAGGAGGATGGCGACATACCGTGGCACGGCGGGTCGTGTCCTCTTCGTGACCTGGGTGCTCCCCCAAAAGCTCAACCGACGAGACACAAGCACAAAAACAGCTTCAAGTCCACCGTAATTTCAAGCCGAGAGGGTGGAAATCGAGTGAAAAGGGGATGGAATCCGGGGCGCCGATTAATTTAGGGCGATGCCGAGGTGCGCAAAATAGAAAGGGCGGGTAACGTGCGGGTCCGTGGAATGGAGGACGAGGCTTCGCGAATCGAAAGGGAGAGGATCACGACGAGGCTCTGCGCGGATACGGAGGTAAATTCATCGAAGCCGCGGAGGACAAGGGCGTGAGTATGGTGCGATTGTTTTGTCGTCGCGAGGAAAACGAGTGTGGGTTGTGTCTGGGCGAAATTTGGGGGTGAGGTTGTTGTGTTTGGTATGGTGATGTTTCCCCGAGGTGCTGCGATTTTCGACGTCGGGCAGGGGAGGTGCAATGGAGAGGGGTGGGAAAGGGAGACGAGGCGCGATGTGTTGTCGTTCGAGCCGCTAAAAATGTCATCCGCCTCTTTTTTCCCCTTCCCTCAAACATCCCGGTACATCAATACCGGTACCAGTCCCCTGCAGCCGCCAACACTGGGTTTTACCTTGGACCGGTTTATTCGCTCTCGTTTACTGAAAAGGATAAACTCCGTTTCCTTGTCTATTATCTCTACATGTATCTTGTCTTTCTTCTTTGGAGAAAAGAAATAACAAAAATAACAAAGACCTTCGCTTAAAGAAAATACGCGCCAAACTGTACCAAGGCCCGAATGGACCAAAGGTTAATCTGTAGCCTGACTACTTTACAATTGGAATGTTGATTACTACTGGTGTTCGCGCTAGAAATCAGGGGAGGGGGAAACAGAGGGTATCTTGATCTAGGGGTCTCAAGTACAAGCAATGACGGCGTTGGCCAGGGTAATGAACAAACCGACCAAGGTGATGGACATGCGAGACGGATCTGTGGTTGGAAAAGATAAAAAGTGGTGAGGGATCGTCACATCAGTTCGTCCTATGAAGGACGAAACGGCAAGGAGCACGTTGGGGTTCCAGAGTGTGCGACTCATTGGGCCTGTGGCTATCGATCCCAGCCCTTGCTTGACCCAGTCTCAGTGTGCCGATGCCGTGCAAGCGGCTGCCCTGGCGGGACAGATGTGACGGGGATTCCTGCGTGGTGTGCTGGGTGTGTGGCCAGCCAGTCTGCCAGTCTCCAGTCGAGCTGGAGTGGCGGGCGGTGCTGTCCAAGTACTGTATCCATGTACGTCTTTTGGTGTGGCAGTCTGCTCCTTCCTGCAACAAGATGGGGGCGGATTGATGCTCGCCAGGGACGAGGTTAATTGCGCGACATCAGGGACGAAATTGGAGCCTCACCGGCGCTGCATCTCCACGACCATGGGATCAAAAAGTCTGCGTCTGGAAGATTGAATGTTACTTTTCTGTCTCACCATTCTTTGATACGCATGCACAGGCTACATACCAGCCAGCTCTTGGACGGCGCCAGCCAGGCAAAAGTGGGACGACAACAAGCTACGCTAATGCTTGCCAATGCACGAGCTTCTGTCTAACGGCCCGTTATTCTTGGAGGCCTTTTTGTCCTCCTTCTTCTTCTTTCTTCTCGCCAGTTATCCCGCCCTTCTTCGAACCGGCTTTTGGGTAGTTTATTCCGTGCAGATACTTTCTGGAAAGGGCAAAGAAGCAAGGGAAAGGGTATCGGGAAGGGGTGTGAAAAGAAAGCCCCGTCCCTCCCACTCTGCAAGTACCGTCTAAACGTTTCCGAGCTGAAGCAAGCGGCATCGACCAAATCCATCATTCGACCCGCTTGGAAGCTTCCAGTGTTTGCCCAGTGGAACTGACATGGACCCATCAATTGATCCAATTGATTGCGGGACCCCTCAAAATTGCTCCGGAGTGGAGGTGGCTCCTTGTCAAGTACTACGGGTACATCATATCAGCTTATCCACGATGAAACTCTAGACTAAAATGAGGGATGAGCATTTGAGCAGTTGGGTGCATAATAGCCAAACCAACCTTTGAAGAAGAACGCGCTCAACGGGCTGTGGCTGGTGGGGAGTACTAAAACTCTGGGGATCGATTGGAGAGAAAACTTGGCACGAGCTAAAGAGCTGCCACCAAACTTATTATTACGGAGAGGACCTCGATATGAAGGCACACACCTTTCTCCAACAGCTCTGGGCCTGATAGAGAAACTCAAATTGATCTGGTCAATGTCTGTCTTTGCGCGTATGCTCCGCCAGCGGTGTGCATGTGCGGCCGTGTTGCACTGGGAATTTATTAAACCAGATTCGCTTCACTGAGTCCCGAAAAGCTGCCTTGCCTGGGTGACATGAACTGGCCTCTTCTTCGCGTATCGTTCTGTCGTTCGGCACAGAGTTGAGAGGAAGAGAATTATTAAACTCATCGAAAGGGCGGCGCTCCCGCGGTTTGGGACAACCTTGACAGCGGATACGTTAATACGCCTTGAAGCTTTGGGAGCACACCCTCACACATTTACATATGCCCAAACAGCCGCAAACTTCTCGAAGCAATAAGCAGCGACAAGACAGCTTGAATTAACGGCTAGCCACCGATCTAGACGGATGCAACCCCGCTGATCTATCCTGTACCTTGCTAGTAGTATTGAAATCATCCCATTCCCCAACCATAAAAACTCCGGGAATAATGAAATTGGAAGATAGGCGAGGGGAAAAAATACAACGTTCTTGCGGGAATGATCGCCTTGTAGACAGACACCGAGTGTGATTTTTCTTTTCTTTTCCTGTGTTTATCTTGGCTTCCGGCCTGTCCCTGAGGGTTTCGTTCCTTGTCGCTATCCTCGCTACTTCCCTTGGGTTTCGAGGACGCTCCGCGGAGGCTTTGGCCCTGGCCAGCGAATTTCGGCTGGTTTGATGCCTTTTGGTCCTCTTCCTTCTCCTCTAGAGTTTTGAATGGCTTGATCTCGTAGCCAAAGAAGAGCTTGTTGGCCGGTAGCCGAAGTGGCATGGGCCCATTCACATTGCGCCGGATGGGGGATCGCCACGGGCGCCGCAGACGCCGTGCTATCTGGAGTGGAGGCCTTGAGAGGAGTTGAAGTCTTGCTGCCCTTCTTAATAACGAGCCTCTGCCCTTCTCCCGAGAAGTTGGTAGGGCCCGCAGAAAGGGTGGAGGGCGCGAGAGATTGGTAGCCGATGGCTTGCGACATGGTGCCTTGATGATGGAGGATACCACCAGCGGGGGCGCCTCCTCGGTTGCTCATCGGTGTGCTTGTCCCACTCCCTTTGGGCTGCCTCTCTGGCTCGACATATCCTACGGGTGGCGCGAAGTCGACCGAAACGTCCGTCTCGATCATACTGACACCCATTTTGGTTGTCTCTGGCTTCACATCAAGGACCGCCACGTAGTAAATCTCGTCATTGTACTCAAAGTTGAATGTGTCTCCCTTGGTCAGAGTGGCAAAGTTTCTGAACGCCTTCTCCAGCACGGCCTTAGGATCGGTGATCTCGAGGAAGTTGACAGACTGCGGCTGCAGCTTCACTAGTTTCGCGAGCTCTAGGGATGTCGTCTTGACCTGGATGAGGTCTCCGACATCCAGCCCCAGGGTTTCCATCATCCATTGGGGCAGGTATGCCCGACCCTCTTCGGCGACGAACTCCAAAACACCCGCGTGAGAGTGTTTGCCTTTCTCGCCGTTTATGATCTCGAGAAGTAGTGGCCACTGCACGTGAAGCTTGGAGACTTTGTCTAGAGCTGACGGTGGGAGGAAGATCTTGGAGCCGTAATTGAGATCGGGCCGCTCGGGGCCGGGTGCCATGACCATGGGATAGCATCTGTAGTATTCGTCGAATCGCTGCGCCATCGGGCGCCGACCTGCACGGGACATCTGGGAAGAGGTGGTCAGCGTTGTTTAGGCCAAACCGCGTGCCAAACCGAGCGGGTGAGATTGTGGCCATTGGAACGCATCCCTCCCCTTGGCGAAAGGTATGATACATACCATTGTGCCGACCTCTTTTGCGTCACTTGGATGGGTAGCGGGGTTGTCGAGCTCTCCTTTCGAGCTCTCCCTTCAAGCTGTTGTGGCAGAAAAGGGGAGATGCGGTGGTCTTTACAACCAAACAACCGGTATATGTTCTAATACAGGTACTAGAATTTCGTTTTCTGGGCTTCGATCGGGCAACGAATGTGAAGTGCTGTTAAATTGCCAAACGGACATGGAAGCAGCCTGCGTGGGACTGGAGGTGACGTGGGGTTGGTGGGTACCTGGCGATTCACCTCTGTGGCATGCGGATCCATCTGATTCTCTACATGACTAAGCTACATGGAAACCCATGCGAACATGTCGATTCTTCACTCCACTGGGCTAGTCTTGTTCGCCTTCAATCTTTGACCATGAAGGGAGTGGGTAAGTATTATCAACTGTTTTACTGGAGGTTATTGGTACATACGACCATAGCTCGTAGAATATTGAGGGTCCCGTCCGCTCCCCTGTACACAAGCTGCGAAGCGCCGGACTAGTAGTTGGGTCGGTGACGACCAGCGAATCCCCGGTGTTGTATGTTTTTTTTGTTTTTGTTTTTTATCTTCCTTTTTCCTCATCTCGATTCTTTGCCTTGTTTTGTTATATCATTTTCACCCATATGTCTCCTGAAAAACTTGGCTTTTATTTTGGTTTATTTTCCGGCACGGGCGAAGAGCTGTTTGACAGCTCGTCTAGGCTGGTTTGCCTGGATGGACTTGACTGTCGACTGGCAAACTGGGTCCAGAACTGCCCAGCCAAAGCTCTTATCCCAAGCAAAACTTGATATGCCCAAGGATTTCGATCTCGAGCTTCAAAGCAGACTTCTTTTATTTTCTTTATCTCCTTGTATATGTTACCACGTTTTATATAGACAATTAGTAAATTCTTGTAAACTTTTCTGTTGTCAACACCCGCTTTACGGCGCCCATCCGAATCCGACTGACACGGGACTGGAATTGCCCAGTGGGAATTCATCGCGTCTAACTGTGCCACTCCCGCCGCCACGATTTCCCAACGCGGCCAGCCACAAATTTTTAGAGGTAGTCCATGGCAATCCGCATCCCTCCTTCTCGAGAGGCTTCAAAAGTAAGCAACCAGATTCATCAGCTGGAGTGGCAGGAAGACTTTTTCCAACGTAGAGACTCCAACACATATCAAAATGGCTGCAGTACGTATTGATGAAGATTTCGCTTCTGAATCTATTCCCCGCTAACGAATTTGCCTTGTCATGTGCAGCAGGTAATGACAGTTTCCGAGAGCAAGGACCTCAAAGGTCTCGAGCAGCTCATCTCCGCGCATTCCCACATTCGAGGTCTCGGCGTCGATGCCGCCACACTCGAGCCGCGGGCCTCGTCGCAGGGCCTCGTTGGCCAGGAGAAAGCTAGGAGGTCAATGGCAGTTGTGCTTCAGATGATCAAGCAGGGCTCCATCGCGGGTCGCGCAGTGCTTCTTGCCGGTCCTCCCAGGTACGTGCGAGGCTGGAGCTATCTGCTTCCTCCCCATTGGGGGTGGTGAATGTCGCGCCTATCTCGTCCGCACCTTTGCTAACACTAAAAACAGCACAGGAAAGACTGCTCTGGCCATGGGCCTTTCCCAGGCCCTCGGCTCCGACGTGCCCTTTACCAGCCTCGCCTCGACCGAAATTTTCTCCCTCGAAATGTCAAAGACCGAAGCTCTCACACAAGCGTTCCGCAAATCCATCGGCGTCCGGATCAAGGAGGAAACCGAGATTATGGAGGGCGAGGTTGTCGAGATCCAGATCGATCGTTCCGTTACGGGCGGTGCCAAGCAGGGCAAGCTGACTATCAAGACTACGGATATGGAGGCCGTTTACGATATGGGCACAAAGATGATTGACGCCATGACAAAGGAGCGCGTCGTTGCCGGAGACATCATCTCGATTGAGAAGGCTTCGGGCAGGATCGTGAAGCTTGGCCGGTCATATGCCCGCTCGCGCGAGTATGACGCGATGGGTGCGGATACCAAGTTCATGCAGTGCCCTGACGGCGAACTTCAGAAGCGCAAGGAGGTTGTCCACACCGTTACGCTTCACGAGATTGATGTCATCAATTCGCGCACGCAGGGATACCTCGCTCTCTTCTCCGGCGACACTGGCGAGATTCGCAGCGAGATTCGAGACCAGATCAACACCAAGGTTGGCGAGTGGAAGGAAGAGGGCAAGGCCGAAATTGTTCCCGGTGTCTTGTTCATCGACGAGGTCCATATGCTCGATATCGAATGCTTCTCTTACATCAACAGGGCTCTCGAGGACGATCTCGCGCCCGTGGTCATCATGGCCACTAACAGGGGTTTTCCCGCATTCGGGGAACCGACTACAAGAGCCCCCACGGCCTCCCTCTCGATTTCCTCGACAGGACCCAGATCATCCAAACCCACCCCTATGGGGCCGAGGAGATCAAGCAGATCGTCAACATCCGCGCCCAGGAAGAAGAGGTCGACCTCTCCCCGATGCTCTTGCCCTCCTTGCCAAGATGGGCCAGGACACCGGGCTCCGCTACGCCATCAACCTCATCATGACATCCCAACTCATCAGCGCCAAGCGCAAGAACAAGCAGGTTCAGGTCGATGACGTACGGCGAAGCTACCAGCTCTTCTACGACCCCGAGCGAAGCGTCAAGTTCGTCTCCGAGTCCGAGAAGAGGCTGATTGAAACGATGGCGCCGTCGACTTCTCCACCAAGGCGGCGAACGGAGGCGCGGCTTCCGGCAACGGCGAGACGATGGATCTAAGCTAAGGAATGGGTTGGGTTTTTGATACCTTTTTCGGACTGTTGCTGTTTCTGGAGGCGTTTTTGAGGGTTGTCTAAAACAAAAGATTTAACGGGCCCGGCCATGTATAGAAGCGTGCGCGTGTGTGGGTGTGTACAATTTTTTATTATCGAGAATCTATCTTTTTTTCAAACACAATGGACAAATGGTTTCGGCTCAGCAGCAGCATGTTTGCGGTTTTCTCGTCTCACGTCTTTGCTTTTGGAAATACTCTTTGACGGTTCACTTGAGCATCGGGCCAAGGTCGATGGGTATCCGTTTTTATTTTCAATTGTTCCGTCCGTTTGCCTAGCCACCTAGAAGATCCATTCCCCCTTATACTCCTAGGTTCTGTGTTGTTTTTGCCCATTTTTCCCCTCTCGTAGATTTTTTCTTAATGTTTCAAAATAAGAATCAAAAGCCGTGATATCATACAAAATTGGCTATCCTACTCCAGTTGCCCTCGTCGCCAGCCGGGCAAAACTCTACCCCGTCCCCAAAGTAGCCGGCGTCCTGCCACGCCTTCATAGTCGGTCCGTCAAACGGCCCCTGGCGCGAACCGTCTCCTCGGCCGTCAACCCAGCGATACTCCCACAATTTCGGCGCCGTGGGCCCTGGCTGCGATGCGAAGCCGTCCTCGGGCTGCGCGGGAGGGTCGACCCAGTCCTGGCCAGTCTCCCTCTTGTACAGGCGGACGAGGAGCTCCCGCTCCTCGTCGTAAATCTCGGCGTGGTCGCGGCTAAAGAGCTTATCGGCGGCGTCGGTGATGGCGGAGATGGAGGAGCTGATGAGTTCCTGCTCGGGGTCCTGGGCTGGCGCTTCGTCCGTGTCCATGGTGCTCTGTTTCTTGAGCTTCCACTTGGGTACCTTTTTCTCGCGCTTTTGCCGCCGGCCGAGGCGGGCGAGCGCCTCGAGGGCAGTTTCACCCCGCTCGAGATTCTTGATCAAGGTGCCTAGGAGGTCCGAGGTCAGGAGGCTGTCCTCTTCCATGCGCTGCTTCTCGGCCTCGGCCTCGCGCCGCTCGCGGGCGACGGCAGCCAGCTTCATCTGCTTCTTACTGACGCCGTCGAGCCAGCGATCGTGGACGGCATCGGGGTCCACAGCGTTTCGGACATAGTTTTGGTTCTGGTCGAAGCGGCCCTCCTCGAGCTCCTCCCTCAGGTTGAACGCTTCAATCTTGGGGGCATGCTTCTTGCGGCCACCGGCGCCGACCTCTTCATCGATAACGTCGTCCTTCCACGCCTCGTCGTCCTCTTTCATGACCACTTCCTCATCTTCATCGTCATCACTCTCGTCGCCATCGATGTGGATAGCCCCGCCACTGGTACTTCGGGGTCCTGCCCTCGGATCTCCTCTAGGTCAAGGAAGCGCACGTCCTTCTTTTTCTTCCCACTCGCGTAGAACTCCGGGTCATCGTCTCCTGCGCCTTTCCTCTTCTTGTTGTTGGTATCATCATCATCGCTATCCGCAAACATATTCACGTCATCTTCATCCTCATCCTCATCCTCATCCTCCTTTGAGCTCTTGGCTGGCTTGGTCGTTCCATCATCGTTGGGGTCGTATTGAGCAAAAGCTTCATTGATATCCACATTTTTCTTCCTCCTTTGCTGCGCGCGCGCATTGAACTCATCCACATCATCCGAGTCGCTATCGAAGCCGTCAATGTTGACCGCACCGCGCTTCGTAGTAGACGCGGACGATTTTCCGATGACATCCGCGTCGAGGAAAGCGTCCTCTTCGTCCCGCGCTTGCCGCGAGAGCCGATGGGTTTCGCACATCAAATTTGACCTTTTTGTTGGCCGCCGAGGTGGTAGGGTCGTCGTTGTCGTCATTGTCGAGGTGGTGGGTGCGGGCGAAAGCTTCGCCCGCCCTTCGGGGACGGACGGTAGCACGTTTGTGATCCATCCCTTGCTTTGGTTGCGCAGAGGGAGGCGAGGGGAGGGGAGGGAGGGGGAGGAGAGGTGGGGAGGCAGGCAAGCTCTAGCACCGAGTCGGTCTCGCACTCGCCTGCTCTCTTCGCTTCGATCGTGGGTCAAAGACTCTTGGCTTTTCCGGTGGTTGATTTGCTTCCTTACAAACGCAAGAATCGTTGCTGATGGAAAAACGGGACGAAGCGGAGCAAGACACAGGTAATGGTGTCGTCTACCAACGTCTACTCATCTATAGATTTGGTGACGTTGGTGTCTGACAGCTGGCAGAGGCGGAGGAGATTTGGTCCATAGTGGGGTCATGATTCACACAACCACAAAACTCTTCCCAGCACTGAGGTGTGAAGGGAGCACAACCTCTGGAGCGAACTTGACAGCTACAGTGGGTGAAGGCTGGGCCGGCCCGGGCGTAAGTCGCTTTCACGACTAGCTTAATTCATTGATGCAGCACGATTCATTGATGGCAATGATTGAATGGAATTGATTGATGTCTGAAGCGACGCTTCGCCAAGCGCGCTTCTTCCCCTTCATGTGCCGCTTTCAGGTCTCGCAAGTTTTTAACAATAAAACACCGCAAAGTATTTATTACATTGATATTGCACCGACCTCCAAGTTGGCTGTCCGCTATTATCATCTTGCAGTTTGACTCTGGAGTGGGGGTACCTCAGGAACTTTATCCACTTTGGTGTGAGGCCGTTTTGAGCTGGCCAGCCGCCTTTATCATGATTATTATTCGCTGATTTCAAGGCCCAAATCACCGGGGCGCATCCGGAACGGTCTGCAGTTGGCACATGGAGGAATCGCTAGACTTGGTTTAGGGAGGGGAATTCCGTGGTGTCATCGAGTGCGCCGGTGAGTTGCCCCTGCTACTACTTTGGCACAATCGTAACTTCCTGAAACTCCTTGATGGTTGAAGCTCGGAAGGATAGGCTACAAGGGTGTCAGTCAGTGTAATTTTACTAGAGCTAGGCCCATCTTGTTTCTCTAGCGCCGCCGTTTAAATTCTTTAGACCTTCTCGCTAGGAGTATTTGAAGTGATAGATGTCCTCGCTAAAAGGCACTTGTTTGCTTTCGCTCGCCCTTGCCCCTTATTAGCGGCAATCTTCGTCCAGGACCAAGGCAGCAAACGAGTTGCTTGATCTAGTGCATCACGTCACACGAAACCCCTTACTTCAAAGTTGCTCCTTCCGGTCCATAATAATCAGCCCCTTGGCTAGGATTTTTTGTTATCATCAAGTGGACGACCTGACGTTTGCAACACCTTGATGGCAAAGTTGAGCGCGTGTCTTACAAGCATTATCACACGTGGTGATCGTTTTACGAAGTATCTTCATCCCAAATCCTCGAGAGCCCGTGAAACCTGCCGGGTGTCGGAGCTTCCTGTGGGGCAAATTCCTTGCGGCGCACCGTTTTGAAAGATTGCCTCTTCAAGTGGCAAAGGGTTATTGTTCTGTGAAGGCGCCCATTGCATTGGAATGAGTGGCGCTGTTTGTGGTTTTTTCGCATGCCTCATGCCAGGCACTTTCGATATGGTAAATTTCAGAGGACGGGGGCGCGGATCCTCGCCGATCGGAAGAGGCGCTCCTATGCGTCGTGCTTCATTCCAGCCCCGTTCCCCCGATTACGAGCGTTCTTGGTCCAGACCCCGCCCCAGCAGTAGGGACAGAGGTCCATATCGGTCTCCCAGTCGCGATCGCGGCCGGCCGGGCTTCAGCAACGACTGGCCTAAGAGGAGTCGATTCTCGGAGCCAGCTAACGATATGCCGCGACCTTTGAACCGTGATGATGATCGGGGACGAAGAGAGTCCCGGGCTTCGACTCAAGGGCCCGGCACACTACCCCCGATGGAAAAGCCCGAAATCCTTCTTCTCAAGCCCCCGGGCCAAGCAAGACAGGTAGGTTCTCTGACAATCCCCCAATTGTGCTTCGTAGGCCAGTTTCTCACTTGGCGGCTGCTAGCAACCCGAGTTTCACCACCGGAAGCCCCTTCCGCTGCATCTACATCTCGAGATTCGGGTCCCCGAATCGCCAAACCTTTGGGGGCTCCGGTAGACGTCGGCTCCATGGATAAGTTGACAGACATCATGACCGCAAGGATCGGCATCAAACTCCGGCTCCAAAACTTGGAGAAGAGTCTTGTTGGGAAAAAGATGAGCTCGCCAAATATCAAACCATCGGGCCAGTTCTAAACGGCCCCATGGAAATGACTCAGAAAGAAATTGCCAGGATCGATACTGAGCACCGTGATCAAAGCAAGGCCTACAAACGAGTGACAATACAGCAGCAGGACGCTTTGCGAGACTTTTTGAAAACGCTCGTAGGAGAGGTGAAGGAGGCTGGTGCTTCCATCCAAGCCGCGTCTAGCCCGGACAATCCAACTCCTTCCCCTTGGCGCCAGGACATCTCTGAGCTTCAAAGCCAGCTCAAGACTTTACAAGACGCCATGAAGGAACGTGAGAAAACCGCTCAAGACAGCATTCAGCAGCTAAACGCGAACATTGGTCTGCTTTCGACCCAGTGCCAGGCCCTCGAGGGGAAAAATGATGCTCTTCAGGATGAACAAAAGATTCTGCAGCAGAAGTACGAGAACGTCATCAAAATCAATGCAGAACTACAAGAGGAGCAGAAAACTACCAAGGCGGAATGGGCAAAAGTTCAGAATACCATCACCGAACAACGGACACTGACCAGCGCTCCAGGCGTGCACCAAGAACAGCAAGAACTACGACAGAAGGTGCGCGAATCTGAATCCTCAATTGCGAAAATGGGCATTGAATTTGGTGCAGCGGTGGCTTCCTGGCAAAGGCTCGAAGCTCGTGTCGCAAAACTGGAAGCCAAGGATAATTATGATACGATCTCCATGGGCAACCTCATCGATAGCAAGCTCAACAAGGCAGAACGTAGGTTTTGAACAACGCAGCATCGAAAGCGATTGTAAAAGAGCTCGCGGGCTCAGTTGAAAACTTCGTCGCCAAAGTAGACGAAACTAGGGAGCGGCTCGAAGCAAGGTATGCTGCTTTGAAAAAGGAGGTCTCAACGCTCCCCACCGCACTAGACGAGCTCTCTTCGAAGCTAGACACTACCAAAAAAGGCTCGAAAGCCAGCACACGACAACCCAAGAGCGTCTCACTAAAACAACCACCGCCTTGCACACGTTGGAAGCAAAGGCTACCAAAGAGAGGGCCGAATTGGAATCCAAATATAGCCTTGTACAGCAGAGCTATCTTCAAGCAGAAACCAAGTTAGGCGAGCTTAACTCACGGCTCCCACCTGCAGCCGAGCTAGCCAATCCAGAGGGCTCCGGACTGCCAGATGACGCCGTGCAATCTCTACACGAGGTGATGGCCAAAGTCCAGGAGCATGAGACCAAGCTTAGCGATTTTAATCCTCAAGAGTTTGATACCATATTTTGGGCCTATCAGCAAATTGTCAAAGAGGTCAAGGGGAAGCTAACGGGTCTCGAGAATGCGGATCAAAACTTGGACAACCGTATAGCACAGCTAGAAAATGCCCGCAAAAATCAACATCGAATCTCGAAGAGGCAGCGGTTGAGCATACTGAGCAGCCTCGGAACCACGCTGTAACTGCCACCGCGGACGAGGCTTCAAGGGTCGCAAGCAACGTGAATGGCACCGATCTGTTAACAGTGGTTAAGAACCTCCAAACACAAACTGTTCGTCGCGTCGGGGACTGGGTCGACGAGCTTAGAGGTTCTGTATCACAGGTGGAGAACAGAGTCGGCAAACTGGAGCAGCAGTCTTGCTCAAATACAGCCAAAGAGAGCACCGAAGCGCCCAGTGCCGAGTCTATCCAGAGCCCAGTCCCAAAGAGCCGACCGCAGCCTAGCCTTGACGACACCGAGGCTCGGCAACGTGGTGCCACTGAAGATAAGCTCTCGCAGTTGGCAGCACTCATTACCCAGTCGGATGTGCAAATTAGGGAGATTCAGGCGGCCATGGCAGTCAGGGACGACTCTCAGCTTGGCGAGCGAACCGCGGTGACAACCGCTATAGGTGAAATGGCCATGGATTTCAAGACTGAGTTAATGAAGGTGGTGAAGGAAGTTCATGAACTGAAAGCCTCGATTGGGCGCCTGGATACCGGACTCTCTGGGCTCGAGGCCAGGATAGCTGAGCTTGACCCAGAACAGGTAGAAGACACGAGGAAACTGGCCAATGAGCTTTTCAGCCAGGCTCGTACGACTGACGGGCAGCTTCAGAGTATTAACGGTAGGATCGCCGGTCTTCAACAGTTCTCGTCCACGCTCCAAAGCCAGTACCATAACATCAATACCGAAGCCCTGTGCGAACGGATGATGCAGCATCTTCGTCGTGAACTACCCAACGACAGTGTCGCCACGCTTCGTCAGCATGGCGCCCAGATCAGCCAGATCCTTAGCCGCTTGAGCGAGGAGTCTGAGCCCAAGAGAAAGCGAATCATTTCAACATCCACTGGACCGCCAACCCCGAATGCGCAGCAGCCCCTCAACACACAATCTCCGCAAGTGCAGGGTCACGCCTTGCCAAGCTTACGGGGTTCCGTCGTGCCGATGCCTAGCGCACAAGCGAGCTACGCGCAAACTGTACCTCCCCATTCTTTGGCTGTACAAGCTCGAAACACCCAGGGCGTTGTCGTGCAAGCCCCTAACGCGCAAGGCCAAGGGGACACCCCCAGCACGTCAACCGCGCCACCTGATATGACGGGGTATCTCTCTAGGCTTGATAATAACCCTTGTGCTGTGTACTGTATCCTAGAATACCTGCGCGCTACTTTCCCTTTTACTCTATTTTAGTTGGGCGTTGGCGAGAATAGACACCGGCGAGATCTGGTATTTCGGGCAATGGATGCGGCCTCTGCCGCCTTTCTATCACATGTATTTTATGGTGGAATGGAAACCAAGGCTTGATATTTTACTGGTTATTGCTTTATTGGAGTTTTGGTGGCTGGCAATGCTTGGGGCGATATCCAGGGACTACCTAAGTTTTTTAATGCCACAATACGTGCACGATGGGCGCTTCTTCGATCCATGTCACAGCACAGTACGTAGTGAGCTTGTGGCTTTTAATCATTTTATTATTTCTTTTAATTGTTGCCTCGCTAAAATTAGCAAACGCCAGGCCGCGTGCGACTATTATCTCTCTTTGCTATTCTTTTATCCCTCTGCTTTCTCACCGGAAGAGACTAGTTATCAAATATCAAAGGCCTCAATGTACCATGCATTCACGCTCCTAAATCGATGTTGCAAACTCGATTCTCCGTCCTAATGTGTTGGGGTCAGCATACCATCTCAAATCCCCAAGGCTAGGTCTGGGGCGAGGGAGCAGAAGGGCCAGGGAAGTGCCGAGGGGCCCGCAAAGAAAAGGAAAGACGAACGAGGAATACACTCACTGTTCTGTGCCATATGCTTATTTGTGCTCGGGCCAAATCCTCAAATAGTCGCATTCTCGTTCTTAGCGACGGCGTCGGCGTCGGCATCGGCGTCGGCGGCCTCTCCCTGGGGTACTTCGTCCCAAGGCTCCTTTCCGGGATCCTTCTCGTCGCCATCCTCCTCCTCATCCAAGGCCTGATCCTGGCCCTTGCCCTCATCCATATCCTCGTCGGTCTCCTCCTTGCTCTTAGCCTTGGCCTTGACCTTGGGCTTATCCTTGCTCTTGTCGACGGCCTTGGTCTTCTTGACCGGGGTGAGCGTGGGCTCGGCATCATCATCCTCGGCGGGGGCGCGGTAGCCGCGCGGCGCTTGGTGGCCGAGGAGCCAGGGTTAGCGGGTGTCTTCCGCTTGCGGCCGGCGGACGAAGGGGCCTTTTCTTGCCGGTGGCGGGGGTGGTGGGGCTGCTGGGGGCAGCGGCGGCGGCGGTGGCCGAGGGGGAGGCGGGGGATCCTCGGTGGCGGCGGCGTTGCGGCGCTCCGTGAATGGAGTCCAGAGTCTCTTGTTGAAGTACTGCCTGTCGCGGTCGAAGAAGCGCGGAAGGGAGTCAGCCCTCGTAGATACAACGGGAATTTTCCATTCCCCAAAGGAGGAGGGGCTAACTTACTGGGCGGCGCTGGCTGTTAAGACGTGGTCGAGCTCCTTCATGATCTCGACGACCTTGTTCCAGTTGGGGGATGGTTTACCCTCGGACGCGAGGATGCAGGCGAGGAGGTCGCTGGCGGCTGCGGGGGTCCAAGCTGGTGCCATGGTTGCGTGATGGGGGTCGTTGATACTCTTGTAAAAAAAAGTGATGGTGGTAGCGTGTTGCGTTTCTTTTTCTTTTGTTAGAGCTGGTCTGGAGAGAGTAAGTGGGTGTATCTCGAGGGTCAACGGGAAGGGAACTTACAAAAGGAGGTTGGTGGCAAGGTGTTGGTGGTGATGGGAGAAGTTTTGTAGTTTGGAGCGACTTGAGAAAGGGGTTTTCAAGAGGTTGAAGAAGGGCTAGAAGAGGCTCAAGGTGGTAAGTGAATTGGCAAGAGAAGGTGGGAGAAGGAAATCATAGAACTCGGAAGCCCTGAGTGGTACGAGACGAGGAAAGAAGGGACCAGATTTTGGGGCATTTCAGTTCCTTCTCAAGGGGTCTGAGGTCTTCCTTCTCATGAGAGGTTCATGATGTTTCTTCGTGAGTCAAGAAATGCTCCTTCTTCCGTGTTTGGGGTCCTGTATGGCCTCGCATACCGGGCGTGACAACCGAGGAGAGCTGAATCAGGCCCAAGCAGATCACATCTTGAAAAAGAAGCTCCATGTAATTGGTGTATAGAATGGTAAGGAAAAGTGAGAGGGAAACGACGGTTACCTATAATTGAATCTCGGGGAATTTCATCTAATTCATACATATCTCGCTCGTGCAACAGGCTCCCTAAGATGATTCCTTCCATCCAAGTCCACACATCCAATTCCATGAGCCAACACGTTCCCATTCCATGCTCCGAACCCCCAATCTCCCTCGCTCGCAAGAACTCCACGCAGAAACGGCAAAAAGTAAAAACAAAGAAGAAAGAACGAGAACAAGAGAGTGGTCGAGAAGAGAAGAGACAATAAGAGAATCCGGGTAAAGAAATGATTCCTTGGCATCCATAAATCGTATCAGGGCTAGTCGTACACGGTGGAAGAGAAGGGAAAAGAGTCTGAGAAAGACAAAAGACAACAAAGAATAGGTAGCAAAGGCGCCAATGTAAGAGAGACCCAGGTGGAAGGGAGTCGCCAAGTGAGGCCTGACTCCGTATCAAAGTATTTGTTAAGCCTCGGCGTAGTTGAAGCTGAGGAGTGCAAGATTAGCAAAGGACAGGCAGATCAAAAGGCAGCAGGGGGTGGGGCTTACGTAGGCGAAGGGTAGCTATCAGGCGCGGTCCCATGCGTCAGTTGGCCAAGCACATCATTTTCGTCAAGGGTTTGCTCTGTTGGCGAGTCATCAAGTCTCTGCCGCTTGACGATGTGATCGTCCGGCTCATCATCCTCGTCATTATCGGGGAGCGTGAGGGCTTCGGAGGGATCCAGGGAGACGGGAACGGGGACAGAGACAGACAAGGCGGCGGGCAGGGTGTTCTCAACACTGACGGGAGGCGACAAAGTCGGCGACTCGCTCGGCTGTATCGAGTCCATGGGAACATGAAGCTGGGTGGGTAATATCTGGGACGGCTGTTGATGTTGCAGCTGCTGCAGCTGCTGCGGTTCCTGAGGTTGTGCCTGCTGGACCTGGTGTTGGTCTTGCAGCGGCACCTGCACCAGCGGCTGTTGCGTGGGAACATGGTGAAGCTGGGCCTGGGGGAGCGAAACTACTGGGCCTGGTTGCGTCTGGGGCTGCTTTCTAGGCCGGCCGCGGCCGGGACCCGGGCGCCTGGTGATGGGGTTCAAGGTTGGGTCGACAGGCCGCCTAGTCCCATCAGGCATGAGTGTGCCACCAGCATCCGACTTGTTCTGGGCTCGGCGAAGGCCTTGGAAGTGTTGGCTAGGGCCGAGATATTAGCGAGCTTGACTCATGGCCGAAAACGGATGAAAAGGCCCGAGTAGGGGAGCATTGTCGATCAAATCAAAGCAGCTGGCACTGGAAGGGAAGAGACAGGTTTGAACCATATAAAGTGGCTGCATACAAAAAAAAAAGAAAAAAAGAAAAAGAAGAAAAACGCAGTTGATGTATAAGTCGTGATATGGTGCCTGAAAAGAAGTGCAACGGGTTGCGGATGCACAAGAGACAGGTTCAAGACTTACCGGCAGCCTTCATTGGTGAAGCCATAGCCCAGGGCTCTCATGTGGTTACCGATTGTAGTCCATTCCGCTCCGCTAATGACGCCGATGTTCTTGACCGACAAGATGGTAAAGAATAGGTCTTTGTCGGCCCGGTCGTTCCAATTCTTATTCATTGCTCAGAGATATAGTGGATTAACACTAATTCCTTAACAAATAAATCGCCACTCCGGCAGACACCGCAGCTCGCCGCTTCTACTACAGGGTGGGGGAAGGAGTCGATCTTTCGTTTCTTTCTTATTGTCACAAGTCTTGTCTCTTCTCTTCTTGCTTGCTGCTCTTCCTCCCCTTCAGTTCCGCTACTCTCTTTTGGGGGCTTTCACCTGCCCGGACCCAAAAGTCTTAGGGCCCTTTTCATAAACCTCTTTCGGAGGATTAATACGTGGGGTATTCTGAGATGAGAGTGAGTGGTTCAGTCTCGTTTGGTTGGGCTGGGTGAGCTGGTAGTATCGATCAACCTTGGGGAGAGGGCGAAGGGTTCAAGCTGGAAGTAGCGGAAAAAGAAGATGATATGGGAGTATCTTGGAGACAGAGAATGGATAGTGAGAAATTGGTAGAGCATGGACAGACGAGGAGACAATGGGACAAATCAATTGATGGGAGACACTCAAGAGTACTTGTACCTTGGCTGGCCCATGCTTTTTTCTAGCACTTCCTCCCCATGGATTGGGCGGGCGCACACAGTGCGGGAAGATACAAGGGCGCAGCTGGTGGTTCTTGAGCAGCCCGCAATGCTGAGCTCCTTGACAAACAAATCCATTGACCACTTCCACTCTGAATCAAATTGCGGCAAATGCTGCTCGCAAGCAGGTGGGTGTGCTCAAAAATCGAGGGGTTGGGGACAGGATACGAAACACAGTGTATACTTTGCTCGACGTCGTACCTCTAGTCACAGACCCCTGCACTGTGCTGATGCAAAGAGACAGATGCGACCTTGTAATCAAGGCAGGAAGGGACGAGGGGAGAGAGGAAGAGGGGGCCAAGGGGCGCCGCTGTTGGGGACAGAGTGTCTGTCCAGGCCGTCAGGCAACAGGCAGCAGCGTCCCCACTTGCCCCAATTTAGGAAAGAGCAGAGGCGGAGGGAACTTCAGAAGAGGAGCTGGCCCAGCTCACGTGGTTTCGTGGAATATTGGCACCAGCACCGAACCCCCTACCCCCGCCTCGATTCGCGGCAACGCGTCGCTTCGACGACCTCCCTTGAACCCACCATCAATCGTCGGCATCGGCGCAACGAGCAATTGGCCCCATAGAGCAAGGAAAAAGGCGTGGATTTGATTTCTATATTATAGCTACGACTCCCCCGTATTTTTCTCATCAAAAACCGATGTCTGGGCGTCGAGAACTAGAAAAAAGACGAAGCTCTCATGGCACAGAAAAGCTGTTGGGAAGATCAAGTCCCCCAGACCGTCTTTTTTTCAGGGTGGTGCATCAAAACGATGTACTCCTCATCCACCCGAAAACCCAGCAGGACGTCTCCTTTTTTCCCTTTCGTTCCTTTTCGCCTCCTTGCCAAGGCAACAGAGACCACACACCCCCAGAAGTTGTGCGCCATGTCATCCTTGGGCTGAGGGGTGGGCCAAGTTCACCATCGACACTCGGTTCGCTTCCATTCTCTCATGAGACACGAGGTCAATCTCATGTTCCTGGATGCAGCGTTCGTTTTGGTATTTTCAGGGGTATTAATAATGGCAAAGGATCTAGTGCTTAGAGATACCAGTCATTTTGGCTTGCGGAACAATTTTAAAGCCGTTTTGTTGTCGTTAAAGGCTCATCATTTGAAGCCAAACGTCATCCAAAGGCACGGCGAAGCTACCCGCTTCGCAGCCCATTTTTTCACTCTTTTGAACGGGGCCGTCTTCCCCGAACGCTGCATCCTTCCTACACTAACCTCAACCAAATTTAATCTTGCATTTCCGTGACTCACTTTGGTCGAATCGCTGGCATCGGAATTTTTTTCTTTGGGCTTTACCCCTTCCTTCTCCATCCGTTTTTTTCTGTTGCGGGAAATGCTTCATGTCTCGAATGCTGGGCAGTCGATCGCCACATTCGGGACCGTCGTATTGTCGCAAAGCCGCTCAACACCATTAACATCCCTGCATCTCCTGACCAAAGTACTTGCGCAGTTCCTGATCGGCTTAATTACCCCCACACTTCTTTTTCTTCTCACTTCAGTCATAATAATCTCTACATTGACAGCCCTTTCTGCTGCGCCAGTTCCTCGCAGACAAGAGAGAGAGGATCATCCGTTATCAATGGTGAATTGAATAGCCATCGAGCTAGGCATTTCGAGTGCTCAATAGATTCAAGAGCACCGGCTTAAAAGTGAAATATCGTAGCGTCGAAATTTCGTCGAGGGAATCCGGAGCACTGCATCGCTATCTGCAATGTAGGCCTCGCTCGATTCCTTTGACGTATTATTGGAAACGGAGGGTATCAATCAAACCCTTCTGGGATAGGCGCATTTTGACTTTTTTGAAACCCAGCCCGATCCGCCGGCCATCTTCGTCATTTGGCTTATTTCAATCGGACTCGGGCCCAGATTTCATTGTGCGTGTACCCCCCTCCACATTTTAGTCGGTCGCCGGATCTTTTGAGCCTGCGCCCTCTTGATATCTCGTTCCTTGCCGCTCACACTCCAATACGACTTGTAGGCACTCACGCACACACGCACTCTGCCTGCATCGTCCACCCCCATTCACTTTTTTATCGCTCGACTTTGTACTTCGTACCCATGATATTTATTCAATCAACTCCCCATCCTGCATGCGCCTCCCATGTCCCTGGCTTCGTCTCTCTTTCCGTCCCTTGTCCGTCTACTTCGAATGCAAGAGCCTCTCCGAAATAATAATTTACATCGCGGGGAATCTTGTTTCTCAGGTTGCTCGTTGACTTCAATGTTGAGTTGATAGACAGAGCTGCTGCACCAAGACGCTCACCTTCGTCGTCCCCGCTTATCCTTACTTCTTTTCGGGAAGATCAGCTTGGCCCGGCTTCCAACGCCCCAGCCCTGCATCTCGTCGAATCGCCTATCGCTCTTTTTTCAAAAGGAAAGAGAAGATAAGAAGAGTGACAATCATAGAAACGGGCATCGCCCTCACAGTGATCTAGGAAGAAGAAGAGAAAAAATACTTCCCGTCTCTTTCGGCATTCAAGACAGCCCACTCCCTTCTCCCCATCTCGTCTTATCGACGAGGTCCCCTCAAGCTCCGTCCCTGTCACTTTTTTCCTTCGTTTTTTTCCGTTGCCCTCTCACCTCTGCCGTGCATCATTCGCGCTCGGCAAGGTACAGTTTTCGGCTCCCGTTTAGCTCGCACCCCATCCCTGTCCCTCATCATCATCATCTTCCAGACTTATACACACACCCTCACCCCCTCCAAGAACTCTTAAATATCCCCAATCCCCCATTTCCTCTTCTTTGGCTCTCTTTTACAACTTTCCAACCTTCCTGCCTAAGGCGAGCGATATTCCACCGCCCCAAGGAAAGAATCCCTTCAACTCTCTTACTCTTTCTTCGTTGTCAAAGGCTTCATTCATCCTTTCTCCATCACCAGCCTTTTTGTATCCTAACCTTCTTGTTCTCCATTCCTCCTACCTTCCTCTCCATCATCATAGCCACATCAGCTACTTTGCCATCATCAGAGCAACTCGAAAAGAATAGACTCTCCATCTTACAAGCACTGCTCAAGGTTGTATAGAGAGAAGAGATCTGATCAGCCATTCAGCAAAGTCTTTGATTTCCAACAACTTCCTAGTCTCGTCTCACTGAATGTAACAACTACTCTCTAGCCAGGTAAGAAACCCGAATATTTCTGTAAATCATATCTGGGTTTTCTAGCTCCTAACAAGATGGTAAACTCATTCTAGCTATCGCCGCTCTGTATTTCATTTGATCTCTTCAGTCTCCCTCCTGCACTTGAGGAAACATACCGCATCCTCTGATAGAATTTTTCTCTCCTTTTCGACGTCGTGGCGGCACTTCTCCCATCGTTCACTTGAACCCTCTCTTACCGTTGGAGAACAATCCCCGCTTCCAGTACCTCGTAATTTTTAATCGAGCTTTGCCTGGAGCTGCTCCTTTCCTCGGGACATATTCCCCTCGTTCATCATGGCCAACAACGACAATCAAATGACGCGGTTTCTTTTTGCCATTCTTCGGCAAAAGTGCCTCAAAGATGTGAGTGCTCAACCAACGTACTCACTACAGGGACATGCATCCCATCGTATCTATTTGTTGGTCCTGAGAGATCGGAAGCTGACTTGCGGATCTTCCCGCCGCCCAGATTGACTGGAACGAAGTTGCCAAGGATCCCATCCTCTCTCAACCCATCACAAATGGCCATGCCGCGCGGATGAGATACTCCCGTTTCCGGTCGGCCATGCTCGGCCTCGAACCCCAGAAGCGATCCAAGGGTGGCGTGACCAAGAACAAGTCTACCAAGTCTAAAAAGGATTCCAAGACGAAGTCGGATGATACCATCAAGGTGGAAACCAGCGATAATAAAAAGTCCAAGAAGCGGAGCGATTCATCGCCTGTGATCAAGCAAGAGAAACAGGCGCCTACGCCCTTCTCTGTGCAGTTCTCACCCGCCTCCTTGGCATCCCCGCTGACCGATGCGTCGCTGATGACGCCTTGTAGTGAGGATCTCCTCACTACAAGCCCGAACCTCTTGATGAGCCCGGCGCAGGATCTCCTTAGCCAGGGCCCGTTTGCGCTCGGCCACTGCGGCCACGGTGTAGATCACATTGGCGATGGCAGCCAGAGCCAGGATCCCTGGGCCGATGCCCCCTATATTCAGCGTTTGATGCCGCTTATAGCATGAGCGCCTATGGCAGCTTGTGCGAGCCCCATCATTCAATTCACGACCATACTCACGACCTTATGGACCATGCTCACGACCTCTCTCATGACTTTTCCGGGGCGGAAGCCCTGCTGGCGGCTTCGTCGGATTCTCTCCCCGTCAAGGCTGAATCTTGGGATCCTCACTTTTAGGCATAGAAGTTTCTCATTATCACAGCCTCGGCAGCGAGAAGGGGGCTGCTCTCCGCAGCACTCCCATCATCTTGGGTGCGCTGCACGTTGCAGCTGCCCATCATGGTTGAATCTACCGAAGTCTTATTTTCTTTTCCTCTCTTTTACTTAGACGGATACCCATTCCCAGGGTTGGAAATACGCCTGTGTTCTTGTATCAATCCTCACATACATTCAGAGGAGGCAAGCTTGCGTCTTCTTTTGGAGACGGCATCTCTATCTCCCTCTCCCCTACCGAACTCTTCACTCTTGACAGAATACGAAACGGATTATGACCCAAAGAGAAAAAAACAGTGTATTTAATGAATGACAGACGAGAGAAAAAAAAAAGAAAAAGCAGGGAAAAAAAGGCGGGACAACATTCAAGGGGACCACACAAAAATATCGGGGATTATGGTTTTCTTTCACCATCTTGTTTATTAGGGAGTATCACTTTTGCAAGGTTTTTGGGGATGGGAATTGTAACCTGGAAACACCTTGAACGTTTTAGCTTTTTTGTATCGGGGCGCTGGAGGCGTTGACTCTTGGACTTTACGGATCCAAGTATGGGAAACCCAATATATCGATCTTGTCCTTTGTTTTTTTAACCTGCTTTCCAACTTGGTTGAACGTGCATATACTCGTAGATTTTGAGTTGTCGATTCAACGTCGTTGTCCTGACAGCATCACCTTTCACTTGGAGGCAACGCGAGTAGTCCGGCTCGAATATCTCCTTTGTTTATGTGGACATCTCGCTGGCGAAGATGCGAAGTACCCTCATTTCCTTCGGCTAATGTTCAGTATTTGACGTAGCCCTTCTCCCTTGTATATGTGAAGCATAATTCAGCTGGCCTTCATGGCTGTATCCGATCTAGTTTATAATTACATGTATGATATATTTGATTCATCTCAGGTTCACCAATACATCCACCATCTCCTGCAGATGCGTGCACGCCTTCGTATCATCAGCTCTTGAATCCAGCATCCTTTAAAGCACAGTTATCAAGAGCGTAGATACCTCTAACCCCATGCAATCTCCACTCACTCTTCTCTGCTGACTTGGGGCATCATACCGAGGCCATTGGAAATAGCCTGCCCATTCTGAATGTGTCTTCTCTACTCGTTCTTTCGCTGCGTAATTTCCAACCACCATGATGTAGAATGCTCTCGAACGACACGGTGCGCCAGGCTTGCCAGGGACGATGCTTCGCATGGGGCCTCGAGAACCTTCTTTCTTGGTCAAGTCCGTTGTCCTCCATGAAGAGTGATCCATTGATCCGTTCAAAACATCCATGTTTCCATCTTCTATAAAAACATGGCCAGAAGCCCGATCGAGCTGTGTAAGAACCCAACACCTACCTCTAGTTTTCAAATACAAGATTTTTGTCTGACACGACGAGAGATACTAGATCAATCACCAACCACATCGTCCCAGATACGCTCACCACAACCGATCTTCCAGACCTTGAGAGAGATAGACTCGGTCTGTCCTCAAGCTCCTTCACCCCAAAGCAAAAGAGTGATTCCAGAGAACCCGTCTCGAGCTCCTCACTCGACACCATATCCAACATCAAACCGACCCCTCATCGAAAAAGAAAAGAAAAAGCCCGCAGTGTTGTCCAATCCTCCCCTCCCATATCTAGCGCCGAGTCCTCTATGCTAACCTGGTCCCTCTTTCATCCATAGTCTACAAAATGGCCGGCCCCCAGGCAAAGTCCTTCCAGACCATCGACGCCGCAGAAGTCGTCGCCATGTTGAGCCCCGCCGATCTGCGCCTGGTCGTGAGCGTGTTTTTCCACTTGCCTTCCGCGGTCAGCGTCGACTGGGCTAGTGTCGCCCAGGCCGCAGGCATTGAGGACCTCTCGGATGCACAGTACCACTACCACCAGCTCGGGGCCGAACACGCGCCCAGGACAACATCAACTCTACGACAGCCCGTGCCTCAACAGTGCCCCAAGCCTCCACAATACCCCGAGCCTCGACGATACGGCGTGTGTTCAGGATACGGCGTGTCTCTACGATACACCGAGTCCTCAGGATACGCCGCGTCTCCACGATACACCGTGTCTTCAGGATATGCCGAGCCTCCACGATACACCGTGCCTCCACCACTCCCACCGCCCCCTGGCTCCTAGTGGCCGCAACCCGACTTCACTTCATTCCACAGGGCCCTCGAGTCATGACACCAAGCTGCATGGCGGGTTCGCGGCTCCTGGTGCGCCTCAGGTCAAGGTAGTCGAGACAGTCAAGCAAGAAAGTGGGAGTGGGGAGTGCAAGGTGAAGGTGAAGACGGAGCCAGGTACGCATGGGTGATAGTCGAAGTATGGCTTAGGGACATGGCATCACGGCAGTTTTTTCGAGTTGTTTGAAGCCTTTTCTGGGCCTACGTTAGAGGTTAGAGGTTCATGTTGGGACGTGCGAGAGTGCTGTAGGCCAACGCCGGTGTTATTATGATTCCATGTAGTCGCTTGTCAAGTAGACGAAGAGAATTCAATTTTTGTCTAGCTACACTACCATATCCTGCTACCGAGCTTTGTCTTAATATGACCGGAGCTCCAACTCGAAACTTGACGTGACTTGTCCAAAAGCTTTCAAAGGGCTACACCAGTCCACACACTCACCTCGAGGTCTAGATCTGTCCGATACTATACACATTCACACCCATCTAGCCTACTGGATAGTTTTGCCCATTATGTCTACCTCGCACCATGTGTTAAACCCAGCCACCCCGGAAGTAAAGTTTCCATTTCTCGCTCTTCGATCTTGCCATTCAGGCACTTTGTGGACCCCGTTATTGAGATGTGCACGGCGGTCTAGCTCCAGTTGGAATGAATCTACCTATGTTTCCTTGGACATTTGGACCAGTCGCTGTACACGCCTCCGAACGACATGCTTTCCTTAGATTTTATGGGAGATGGGAAAGATCTATATCACTTTTGATGAGAAACCCTCTTAGATGTACTGTAGTATTATCTCGTGTATGAATCCTCTAATGAAGCCTTTGCATTGTATGTCCAAAGCGTCAGCTCAGTGTAAAAGTGCCTAGCAACCACAACGGTCGTGCTCTACCAATCCTAGCAAGACAGTATGCCTGTGGATTTAGCGACTGAGCGCTTGTCTTTAGGAGGCCCAATCCATTGCAGAACACCATTCTGAGTTCGGCCCGCTACCCCGGGCTCAGAGGCTGTGGTGCGGGTTCAGTTACTGGGACAAGGAAACCGATCTCCGGCTTCCGAGTGCCGCTGCTGGGACCCACCCTTGATTCCGGGGTTTGCTAAGATGAAGGATCGGAAGTCTTTGGACGAGCATTAGAGTTAGTACTTTGAATAGGCGAGTAGAGGGTGTTTTATTGAGACGAGAAGCACAAACTTGTCACTAGCTTGTTCCAGCACATAGCCGCGTGTCCGAAGAGCTTATGTTGATGCCGCTGCTCCCAAAATCGACTCTGGAGCAGCAATCTTCAACTCTTGCCTCCGCATCAATGGCGATTCTGGCTTCCGGTGCCGTCCGTGCTGAATCCCCAGAGCCCGCCAACTCCACTTTTCAATACACTCTTCTCGCATACCGTTGCCACGATCACCAAACACCGGCCTCGTCGAGGAAGGAGCCACCGAGTCCTCACTTATACACGCACCCAACCACCCAAAAGTTGTAGTGTCACGTTACTCGGCTGTTGCGAATCTCTTCTCGACCCTCTTGGCTATATATACTGGTGTTCCCTCCTCTATGAACCTTTCCTCCTTTTCTCTCCATCGACCGATCATCTCTTTTGAGACTCTGCTCGCTCGATATCCTCGATCCCAACCCAGCTTTTACATCACCAGTCTTTCGAGACTATCATTCTTCTCTTCACACTTTTACATCCTTCGATTCTTTATTGCGTCTCTCAGGTAAATAGAATTTCGTTTCCTCTCCTTGATCTCGGTTGCGAATTTCCGCGGAAAACCCACTTCGCGACCTCTTACCCTCGGCTCTTCCTACTGCCTCTGCTTCTGTTCTCTTCTTTTTTTCAAAGCACTTCCCTGACCTCAGTATGCAATCCAGACGACTCTGACCTGAAAACCACCATCCTGCCCTCACAGGAGTTACCCATCCTTCTCGCTGGTAAGTTCGCTCACCGACCGTTGTCTGAATTACATCGCTAACCTTCCCTCTTAAGATTAAGACGGCGGCTTTCAGACTGTTTCCACCGTTTGAATTCCGGTGTCAACTCCCTGAATATTCGGTAAGAAAGTTTGTTGATCTCGTTTCTCTTCTCTCCGTTCCTTCCTTCATTCCCCCGGACGCGACCCTTAGCACCTCATACTTGGTCGTCAAGGTGACCATCGCCCTCACGTTATGATTTTGCACTTCCAAATTTCTTGCTCAAACACACTGGGAAGTCCCTCCGGCGTTTCGTTTAATTCTCTTGCCCTTCTTCCTTGAGCTTTAGTTTGGCCTTGGCATTGTACTTCGAACAAGATTCCTCCAGGTATATCGTGAATTCCTTCTATTTTGCGTTGTTTTATTTTCCGTCTCCTTGACCAGTTTCCTCCGCGAGTGATTATCCACTCCCGTAATCTTCTTATTGCCATCTGACCTTCGCGCGTGTTATTCTATCCAACCTCACTTCATCTCGGCTAACCCTCATATTTGGCTAGACAGTCTTGGCTTTCTGGCTTGATCCGTACCCAATATCTCATCATAATCATTTCATCATCGTGAGTTTACTGCCTTAAGACCCTCCCGACTTTCCTCTTAACTTCGACTGGGCCTGTGACTAATTTATTTTCGGGCACAGGCACTCGGTCACCTCACTGAGCCTGAAATTCGAGAAACATGGCTACTGCTCAACTCCCAGTTTCTCTTACCAACACCTCCGAGGTTGGGGAAGCTGTGAGCCAGCGCGACTCTGCCTCAACAATTCGCTCCTTTGACGCTGAGAGCGAGGTCCTCTCGCCTTCTTCTTCTAGGGCCACTACTATCGCGGATGAGGCTGTCAATGATCAGGCAATCTATGCCCATATGTCTGGTATCCAGCTTGCCGCCGCCCCTCAGGCTTCCGTGGTTGTCAATGGGGTTCAGTATGCCACTGGTGAGATCCGTACCATGATGGACACGGTCGTCCGGGCTCGTAGCACTCACGAGCTCCCGCCCACCAAGGCAATGACTCTTGATGCTAGCGTCATTGTTCAGGATTATGGGTTCCTCAATCAACTCCGTGCCGCTCGAGGCGACCCTGCGGTTCCGCCCTCTCAGGAGTACATCAACCTCCGAGTCGAGGTTGCTCGACAGGTTAAGGAGCGCGATGACAGCCTCAACGATGCCAATAATCTTCGTGCTGCCCGTGAGCGTGTTGACAACTATCTTCATGTTGCCAACATTGAGCGTCGTTATTTCCAGGCTGCTCAAGGCCTTGCTCAGCGCCGTGGCGTCCAGCTCTCGTCCCAGGCTGACATGGATGCTATCACAGACGAGATCATCGGCGTTGTTGAAAACGCTGTTGAGACTTCTGTTGTTGATGCGACTGGCCCAATTCGTATCAATGCTAATCGGTTGGCCACTACCGCCAACAATCTTGATTCGACCGCTGGGTCTCTCGATTCGACCGCTGGGTCTCTCGATTCGACCGCTGGGTCTCTCGATTCGACCGCTGGGTCTCTTAATTCGGCCGCCGGGTCCCTTGACTCAACTGCTCGATCTGTTGAATCCATTGCCAAGCTCCTTATCACGGCTATCGGGCTCCTTGCTGCCCAGACCAACACCACTTCGGCTCAGATTCAGGGCCTCTCGAACCTGACCGTCGCTCACCAAATGGGCGGACCTGCTTCTAACAACCAAGCTCGCGGAGCAGTCGACCCCGCGCTCGCTCAGGCTTTGTACAATGCCCTGAACGCTCTCCACCGAGAGAACAACCGCAAGAGGGGCATCCGCGGCTTCTTCCGTTCCATCTTCAAGTTCTAAGCTTGCTCGGATGACCCTAACTAGTTGGTACGCCGGGTTCGAATTTCAATGTTTTCAAAGACGTGGATGAGTGTTTAAACGCGCCGCGCACATCAAGTTTTTCTCACAATTGTTTGTTTGTTTTTCTTTTCTTTTACGTTGGGCAACACAAGGCCTATTTGTTTTTAATGGAGGGGAAGGAGGATCGGATCTGAGGATGGCGAAAAAAGGGAACATGGTACGGGTACGAGTTTGATGAGTTTATGATTTCGACGACGCGTTTCTTTGATTTTACGGAAGGGTATGGTTGAGCAAGGAGGACGGTACTGAACATGGCGTACGGAATTGATACCAAGGGAACCCGGTTAAGCTAGTTAGGTAGTTCAGTACGATACATAAAAAAATAAATAAAAAAGTTGACCTTTGGTCGACCAAAAAAACTTAGCGAGTTCTGTAGAGGTGTTGTCATGGGTAATCGTAGTCTAGGGTAATCGTAACCTAGGGTGATTGAAGAAAAGAGTGGTGATGCCGGATGAAGCCTCACGGCACCTTCGATCTGGGTAACGGGGGATAGCAAAACCGACGATCTGGGAAGCACTGAGAACAGGTTAGACTAAGATGATAGAGCATAATACGTAGAATCGTTTACCAGAGTGGGAGACTAGATAGTTGTAGTATTTTATCAACATTTATGATGCTATCCTACTTCTCATCATCAACCTCAAAGTTCATCATCAGATTCTGTCTCGCTCCCCGCAGGTTCTGGTTCCTTCGTCTTGGCAGCAGGTGTCTTCTTCTTCGACGCAAAGGGTAGCTCCCTCTTAGGCGGCTCTTTTCCATCGTCTACCTTACTACTGCTTGCCTCCTCAGGCTGTGCAGTCTGCCGCGCACCTCTCGCACTCGCCCGCGCACCCTTTGCGGGCTTAGCGGCTGCTTTCCTCGTCGACCGCGAGGGAGGAGGCGGGGCCTCGTCCTCATCGGCCTCGCTGGCCGTGGGGTCATCATCTGAGCCGGGGTCAGTGGTACGATCATCCTCAGAGTCGCGGGCGACAGTCTCGCCGCCGCCGCCCGGCCCTTCGGTATCCATCTTCTCAAACTCGTCCGAGTCATCGTCCTCCTCCTCGGGCGGAGGGGACGCCTGCTTCCGTTTACCTCTCCTCGAAGGACCGGGCGCGCGGGCCTGCGAATCCTTGGGCTCCTTCTTGGGCTTGGGACTGAGGGGCACGACGGCCTCGGGCGTGCCCTCGGCGGTCGGGGGCGCGCCCTGGGAGGTGGTGGCGAGCAGGCGCTGCTGCTCGCGGATCTTGACCTTTTTCTCGTTGAGGAGGTCGCGGAACTTCTCCATGAGGCCGGCCTCGTCGACCTTTTTCGCCTCGATCAGCTCGTTGAGCTGGGTGTGGAGGAGTCTACCTCATTCTCGAGCTTGTATATACGGTCTGCCTCCTTCTCGAGGGCTTGACTCGCCTCCTCGTAGGCTAGTACGGATGTGTTGCACCAGTCGACGACGTCGATTGGTTCTTCTGGCTTGTAGCGGAGGGTAATATCACCCATGTGTTTCTGGTGGAGCACAGTCTGAGCATGGGATGCGGGCCAGAGTCGGAAGAGGGGCTCGAGGGGCTTACCGTTATCCCTTGAACGCTTCTCCTAACCTCGATGGTAAGGTGGGATGGGGGTCCTCCGCATCCCGGCCTTCCTCCAGCTTTGCGGTGGCCTGGATCCCATCGGGAGTCTTTTGCGAGAACAGGGCGGTTAGGATTTCTTCCCACTCATTGTCTGGGCACGAGTGCTTCAGACTGAGGACGCGATCCTGTCGTACTACACAGTCAAAGAAAAAAAAAAGGAATCCGCGTTAGTGGTCTAGGATGTTCATTCTGATACATATGCAATATGATGCATAAACGTGGCTAACAAGGGCACCCTGGGCCTCGACCCAACGTCGGAGACGAAACGAAACAAGAGTGGGCCGGACGGGTGGGATTGGGGGCAAGAGGGAATATGGTGTGGGCGCAATGACGAGGGCCTTCTAGACTTACACGTCACGACAAAGGGGAGAAACCATCCGTGCCAATAAGCTTGAGATCCAACGGGTGGCGTCCGGTAGAAGCGGCTTGAACGAGGACAAATGCCGATTTCTTCCTCGTTTGGGCAAACCGAAGAATCCTTGGGCTTGGAGCCATTGGAAAGAAAAACTTGGGGTATAAGAGACGAGCGGAATCTGGGGCGGATTATTCAGGAGAAAAGGGGTGCGAAAGGAGGGTGTAGTTAGGTCAAAAGTTAATCCAGTGCGCGGCCGAGGGACCACTTTGCCTCTTTTAGGATGTTTAATATGGGAAACTATGAGATGTCGTCGAATTAGATGGCGCGCATTGAGTAAGGGAGCGGGCGCGCGGTGCGGGCTTTCGGGGTACAAGTCAAGTGGCTCTTTGGGGTAGACGCGATAGACAGGCGAGCCAGGATGACTGATCCTAGGATCAAAACGGGAACGGACCGAGAAAGGGGGATAGATGAGACAAGCAAGGAGCACTCTAAAAGTTCGAGGTGCCATGCTATCCATTGTGCGGAGGTTTGCCCTTGATGGAGCCCAGCGACACTAGCCTGGGCTGGGCCGGGTAGAGAGCCAAAGCGGCGCAATAAGGCAGGGATAATCATAAAATGAATCAAGATCCGCCGGCGAAGACATGCTGGTGCGGGGGAGGGGAGGGCGCGAAAGGGGGAAGGAAAGGGTCCTGACGGGGATGACCGAGGTGGATGGATTCTTGACCGGATGACTTACATGACGGAAGCCGGGGATGCAAGACAATCGCAAAGGAAGGAAAAGGGCCTGCGCGACGCCAGCGATGTGCAAGCAAGGCGAGAGACACTGCGACGAGATGTAAAGGATCTTTTGTTTGCTGCCTCGGTCTGCTGTCGTCTGAGGGGATACCGGATCCAGTGCGCCCGGTGGCAATTGGAGATGGGAGGGGTAGCACTTTAAAAATGTAGGGCGAGAAAAAAAAAGAGAGAGGAATATCAAAGATGTCGCCCAGATATTATAACATGCCGGGGTTGGGATATAGGCAGACAGTCTGGTCTTAGCCGTCTGTTGGACGGAATGGAGGGGTGAGGCAGCAGTTCACTTCTTCCTATTCTGGGAAGATGCGACGGCGACGCGTCGAGACGCGGCAGAGTCTGTGGAATGGAAATTGGAGGGGCACTTTGAACGAGGGGTCGACAATTTTTCTTTCTTTCTTCTGCTCGGATATTCTGTGTGATCTTCGTCAGCCCATCGATCTTTGAGGATGCGGATGAATCAATCGGCCTCTTCAATTTGATTGATGCCTAGCATGAGAAGCAACATGGATACATTGGATGATGGATTGATCATTGACGTTGGATGGCCCAATGGAGCCCACCCGTGGGACTAGGATGAAAGTTAGTCGCACTATTCTACTTTTGCGATGGGCTCCATTGATTCATCCTGCTTGTTGGCGGGGCCATCGAGTGGGCAGCCTCAAAGTCGAACTCAATGGGAGGTTTTGTCTTGAGGATACCGCGCACGTTTCAAGTCAGGAATAATGCAAACGACGGACCATGTCTACTTGACGACGCAATGGGCCAGTCTTTTTAGTCGTGGTGAACACCAGCCTTGCTATTACTTGGTAGGTTGGCGGTCTTGCGCCTGGCCGTTCCTGCAGGGCTTAGCAGGGGATCGCAAGCTAGAATCGAAAACCAACGACCTGCTTCATCCAACTGGTTCAATGGATTGATCTCTCCACATTTGGAAATAAGACTGGCCTCTCTCGAGGGCCCCGTTACGTCGGTTTCGACCTGGGACTTGATCCACCCTCTTCGAAAATTCCAGAAGAGATCGCCCACAAAACAAAACTTGGAAGTGTCGAGTACACCTACATAACATACCCTCCAGCTCCATCCAACGTGGTCCTTTATCGAAATGATTTCGTTTCAGATCGAACACCTTGCAATTTTTCATTTTTTATTTTCCCCCAAGGACAAGATCCCACCGGTGCCACACCGACACACAAAACCGCATTACAAAAAAATAGATGATGTTCCCACCCTCCATGAGAAAAGCCGACAGAGAGAGTTGGCACCTGCTCTGCCCTGTTCGGCCGCCCGCCCCAAAGAATTTCCACGCGTTCTGCACGCGTGTCGGACGTGCACCTCGACGCGACGCTCCGTCCGTTTAGCCAATGGGAAACACCCCAATGTGTCTGTGCTCACACGTGACCAAACTTGGGGAAAATCTCTGCTTCCTTGTCCGCCCGCCTCTCCCGCTGTTGCTCTCGGCCGGCCACCCCCTGCGACCTGTCCTTCTCCCCTTGCACAGTGCGGCTCTTTCACCCTGGGAAGGCTCACCAGCTGCAGACCATCAATTGACCCATCCGCCAGGCGCTGAGGCCATGACCAGGCGATGCTGCCTCCCAACCACCTCGTAAAATCCTACATCATCGGCCCAGGAAGAGCTCACAATCCTAAGCTTCCCAGCCATCCGTATTACGATGCAAAGCCATTTTAACCTTAAGAGTTAATACCGCAATAAAAAGAATTGTAAAAGAGGAGGCGCATCATTTTCTCCCATCTTGCCCTCAGCTCTTCATCATACTTGCGTACCTTACTTTCTCATTCTGTCGTTCAGCCATTGTACCTGCATCCACCCTTTTTCTCTTCCTCTTTGCTCCTCGCCCCATCACCACCCACACCTACATTTCTTCCAACGACTCTCACTGCGTTGTTTCAATTTATCCTCTTGTGCCGTTTCTTTTCTTACGACCTCCTTTGCAATTACGGAACATCCTATTCTCTTCTGGATATTACAGCCTTAATAAGATTGGGCTCCTCATCAAATTCCTCCCTTGCCTTTCCAACACATTCGCACTTGCTCTTCTTACACCCTGTCTTCCTTCCGTTGAGGCACACCTGCTAGCGTGCACACTACGCTAGTACCTCCAAATATTGGCCAAGCTTTCCCCGTGTCTGGGTCAAGGTCTCGACACAGTTACTCGTACGGTGCCGCTTCCACCTTCCGCCCAAAGCAGTCAAACAGCCCCCAGTTCCTTCCCGTTCTTGTTCCGGTTCCAGTCCAACCAACCTCCACTGCTTCTTTCCTTTCCCACCTTTTCCACCAACCTTCCAACGAACCTTCCTCAAACTCGTTTGACCAAACGATCACCGCACCTTCCAACTTGCCCTCGGCCTACCGACTTTTCGATTTTCGCCGTGAACAACCTCTCACCTTTCCGAAAAGGACGATATTCGACATTGCGGCTCTTGGTTTTATTATTCCTCGCTAGCAATCATCTCGTGATTTTCGCCCAAAACCTACAGGCTCGCTTTCGACATTCCGACACTACCGTACTGCCGATTCGACATTGCGCTTGCCTAGTCTTCCAACCTGCTCGACCCAAAGGAAATGCCACGAAGTTTAGGGGCATTCTGGTGTTGAATATGAGTTCTCACCGTTGATCCTAGATTTCCTTTCCATATTTGTGCGCAATTCCGGATCTTGCGCCCTGCAAACAAACCCAAATTCACCTGGATCCTTTTGCACCTACCGACTGCTCAGTGATCCCAGAGTCCGACCACGGCGACTCTGTTAAAAACCTCAATATAAAATTTATTCCTCCTCCGTGCCGTATCACATATCGACAGCGCCATGGAGGCCTTAAGATTAAAACCTCGACAGCCCGTCGAGCATGAACCCGAGTTTGAAAACTGGGACGACGATGATTTTATGATCGATGATGGCGATGATCTCACCTTCCGGAGTTCCACCAACACCAACAACCAGCCCGCCCGCCGTGACTCCATCTCTTCGCACCGGTCTCTCCGCTCCGAGTTCGAGTCCATACACGGTGACGAGGAGCGACAGATTCATATCGCTGACGACGATGAGAAGTCCACCCTAAGCGCCATCGCCGCTGCCGCGAATGTCGGCATTCCCATTCCTAAAAATGTACCACCTTCTGCCCTCATGGGCGGGACCATTAAGCGCCTGGGTGGCCGCAAAATCAAGAAGATCATCGAGGACGATTGGGAGGCCGACCTCGAACTACCTGGCGCCGGGGAGGCTTTGATGATCAAGACCCAGGATGCCTCTCAATTCCCCGATGCTATCCGTCAAGTGAGCGGTGGTTCCGTTCACTCAAGTCCCGTAAAAACAGCGAGGCTTCCACCCGCCATTATCCATGACGACCGCCGTGACTCTAACCAGTCTCGGTCAAGCGTGCTCGGCGCCGCAATCAACTTGGACAGGTTCCGCGATAACGACGACGACGACGATTTCTTCGGAGACGGCTCAGCCACCATCAAGGTGTCCAAGACGAGACTCTCCAAGCCTATCTCTCTTATTACCCCACCGACACCCCAGAAGATCGCGAAACCTCAATCATTCGGCGAAGATGACTTCGAGCTTGACCTCGAGCTTCCATCCGATGGCAAGCTCAAGTTGTCCACTAGGAAGGACATCCCTAAGACGCCGTCGCTAGCTATGGACGATCTAGATTGGGGTGAGGGAAGCCTCGGTACCCGTTACGGTGGGACTCGCCGGGACGGCCGCTCTGCGCGTAGCTCTTCTGCTTCGGCACTGAGCCCTAGCATCTCTAGCTCTATCACGGCCGAGAGCGAGGACGAGACGTTCGACGGCCTTGTGCTGCCCTCTGGCCCTGTCAATTTTGAGCAGAGGCTGAAGCTCCGTCGGAAGAGCAGATCTCCTGAACGCATTGAAGAGGAGCCGCCGCTGTCTGCTAGGACACCCCTAGAGGCCGATGCGGATAAGGAGGACTTCCTCTCCGGCCTTGACCTCGGCGATGGTGCCGTCTTTGACTCCAAGAAGCGCACATTGCACCGCAATGTCAAGGTGAAGGAGTCTAGACCAGAGAGCCCCTCCCGCCCCAAAACCGCGGCGTGTATCACCTTTACGAACAAAACTATTTCACAGCTACCCTCACGCCTTCCTCGGCTAAGCCATGACCGAGCTCCCTCTAACCTAGAGCCCGTATCCGAGAGCGGCGGGCCCATTCTTCCTCGAGTGCGCCGCTCTCAGTCCCGTCTCGGGCACTCGGCCCAGTCCTCCGTTTCCAGCCTCCCAACACCCACGACACCATCCTCGACGTCTTCCTTGACACCCTCTACACCCCGACGAACAGTCCGCGAAGTCACGACCAAGACTTCAGCCGTCTCGCTTCGTCCCGAGCCTACCACCACGAGCGCGCAATTGCTGAGATTGAAGCGGTCGCTGCCTGCTATGAGAGCACCCCAATCTCCGGCAAAGCCCACCGTCTCTGGTCGGTACGATCGGCCTCCATCGCGAACTGATGGACGTCCAGGCTCGGCCATGCGGCCCAAGACGCCAGTTGACCGCATCCGACCTGACTCTAGCACTTCCATGGCACCTCCCAGCCGCCGAAACCCACCGCCATTCCTGGCTGGAGGTTCCACCGGTGCCTCGTCTCATCATGTGATTCACAAGGGGAGTCGAGTATTCCGCAGGCACGATTCCGAGAACTCGATTGATTTCCGCCCTAGCTCGCGCACTGTTTCTCGGTCCACGATGCGCTCGCCTAGTCCGCGACGCCAAAGACCTGCCAACGAGAAGATCTCGGAAACGCACTACCGCTTACTCAACCGTCCTCGCCACCAACGAACCTTTGGAAATGGCTCCGAGCTTGATGGCTTTGACGACTTGCCTGTCTCGAGAGATGCCGAGGATCGATATGTGAAGCAGCCTATCGGCAGGGAGTCGAGAAATGGTCTGCGCAACAAGATTTACCAAAACGTTCTTCCCGACCGAAGCACGACTGCATCACCCGTGTCACCCTATCCCTACTCTCCCATGCGCTCTGATTACACTCCTAGCTTCGCCCGAGACACTGCCGCGAGCAGAATCGCGCGAGAAACCTCTTTGGCCCAACGCGTTCCCTCTTCCGGGCCGCTGGCGCCTTTGACGACGCAGCGAGTCGCTCAGCTTTCCGCCCGCAGCAACCTCAATCCCATGGCTCCTCCTTCGCCCCTAGTCCGCTCTAAGAAGAAGCGGTCCCAGCAGCAATTGAAGCCCCATCTGATTGCGAACCTCAACCCCGCAAAAGAAGTGAAGAGTATGTTCAGGCCCTGGCTAATTTTTCTTTCTTTCCCTAGCTTGACGCTTACTAACTGTTGTGCCCTTGCAGCTATCAACGGAATGGTGTACAACCCCGCTACCTTCCGGTGGGAGGGCAACGAGAACGTCCTCAGCGCCTTTGACCCACCAGCATCTTCGCCTTCGACGACCTCGCTCCCGCCTTACATGATCCGAGAGAAGGAGAACGCCACTCCGCGCCCCGCGTTGATCACTAACATCAGCTCCACTAAGGGTGTGCAGGTTGTTGGTGGAATGGTGTTTGACCCGCAGAACATGTGCTGGCTCAAGATTGGCAACAACACCAAGCCCATCTCAGAAGCGGGTGATCCCTTGGATGGCTTCAATGGCCTCGAGGACGAGGACGATGATGACCCATTCAAAGATATTCCGGATCTCGAGGACAACGTGGCCGACTCTAACGATGGAGTCCAGGGCCGTGTCAGCGACGTCAGAGACGATTGGCTCGTTGGCGAGGAGTTCGATGTCGGACCCGAGTTTGTCCGGCGCCAGCGCGAAGAAGAAGACCGCTGGAGGAAGAAGTGCGAGTCCTGGCTCTCGGGAGGCACCCGGAACCACGACGAATGGCGGTGGACGATCCGGGAACTCATTTCCGGAGACGCCCTTTTCTAAAACGAACATCGTCACCTACTTTATTTATCTCATGGCCGACCCGACGCCTTACCGACTGGCCAGCCTTTTGGGGCAATGGACATGTTTACGACTTTTATGCCTTTGATACCCTCCAAGGAATTCTATTGTTTTTTTCCCTCTCCTCTACCTTTTACCAAAACATTTTTAACTCAACCCTTACTCTCACCTCCCCTTCCCGATCATAACGACCATTATACCGAGCCCTAATATACCATTCGACACTTTCTTACCCTCATTTTTACACCTACGACGAACCCGGACTCCCGCTCTACGAAAGAAGTAGAGCTGTGTACCAATAGTTGAAACGAAGCGGCGATCAGCGCTCAAAAAGTTATGATGATGACGGCACCACCCGGAACGGGAGAGAAACACAATTTCCATCAAGATGTGGAACAAAAGACGTCCAGCAAATGGACACAACCAGACGCTCGGCCAGTGCCGAAGCAGTGCGCAGATGGGCAGAGAGCCCAAAGGGGAAGGGAAAAAATAGATGGCCGAGTGCTACTGCAAGGGTTGGAGGGGAAACAAGAAGGCAGAGACACTTTTGTTTTGCTTTTCCTTTTGTGAGAAACGAGCTTCAGCCAGTTTGGCTGGAGGCTGCGTGGACCACTGGCGTTTTCGAGGATTGATGACTACTACATGATTTCTTAGTTTTGGAAGGCAAACATTGCATCTGGCAGCGTTTTGGAATTTTCTCTCTGGTTTGTTAGCAAGGAGTCTCAACGCTTAGCCCCTATGGGGAAAGCAAGACCCTGACTCATTTGCTGTCCTTTTTTTCATTACTTTTCTTGCTCTGCCTCGAGGACCCTGCAGCCTGTACGCACGCACCTTTTCCTCTCCCTTTTCAAAACAAAAGAGGAAACTGGTGAAGGAGCAGGTTGTGTATAGTTATGATTGTTGTTTCTTTGCGGAAACGGAAAGGGCGAGGGTGTCTCATGTTTTATTTCAGTTGCTCATAGACTTAAAAAGTAACGAAGCGGAAGTTGAACGCAGTTGATTTCCTATGCCATTTTGAGACTCTTGAGGTTTCTGAAGCCTCTGTGCTGATGTGGGTGCTAGCTGAGGATGTTTGTGTCTCATTGAATAAGGGGAGACAAAATCACCATCAGCTAGTAGCCTTGCTTTCGAAGTTGTCTCTGTCAGCGTGTGGAAAGACAAGACACCACAGGGAGATATTGACGGGTGTCAAAGACTGAGTCTTGGATCTAGTGGTTTTCCGGCATCTTGGCCTTCCCTTTTCTTATTTCCTATTCCGTGTTTCGTCGCAGCAGTCTTTCGATCGTTGACGCCGACTCAGTTCGGCCGAGATGAAGGTGAGAGCGCTCTCTGCCTAGTTATGAGCTGAAGCTTGCTACTGTATCATGTCCTACTTGTTTTATTGCCTCTTCATTCTCTCTTCGGTTAGCTCGAGTCTAGATGCGGAATCCAAGGACATGGTGAGGGACTCTAAAAGGCAAAGATTCTAGTTGCATATTGGCGTTGGGGCTGCTTGTGTGGCATGTGATGGGCGCGGGTGGCATTGGGCAGATGGACGGGATCTTGTTTGGGCATTGGATCAATGTACGATTACGTAGATTTTTTGAAGTGCTTGTTCGCTCGCATGTCTAGATGGTTGCATATAGAATTAGGTATCCCGGAGATGTCGGGCAGCTAGCTACATTTACGGGGAGGAGACCATGCGGAAACGCATCCATGATAGATCAATGCACCTACATGTGCGTTGCGCTTTACATTTAGGCAAGGGAAATCCGCATCTTCAGAACCTGTGTGTAAACATGACGAGTGGGTACATGCAATGTCGAAAAGGAGACCATCGGGTAGCTTCCAGGTCTCCGAGAATGCGGGCGAAGGAGGTTGTATGGAACCCGAGCTTCCGGAGCCGTGTTGGACGGCCGGGCAGAAATGTGGCTGCCTTGCCCGGGTGATGTGCGCTTCGGCCTTTTTTTTTTTTTTTTTTTTTCTTTTCCTTTCGAGGCGAAGCTATCCGAGTTTTAGGTGGAGCTTGCCCGAAACAACTACGATTCTTTTCTTTCTTTCTTACTTCAGGAAACAGTGTCAAGGGGACCTTGCTTGGCGGGGTGCGCGTAGCAGCTGCAGGGTCAGATGTCAACATGCTTGACAATCGCAGCTCGCAAGCACCAAGGGTCGTTGACTAACATGAACACGACATCCGGGTGGGTCACATGGAGCTAGTCACGTGGAGTTCGGTGAACCCGGCGCCACGCGGGCCTCTCATGGCTACGAAAGAGAAGAAAAAAGCAGTCATCGAGAATCAAAATCATGGTGGCCGAGGCCGAGGTGGGCTGAGAGAGAGAGCTGCGCGGGGCCCAGGTTGGCTCCAAGGCTAGGCTTCAGCATTTTGGAGGTGCACGTTTGAGGGTGCCTAATAATAGGCGCAGGGGAGGGTCGCTTTTGGCGTGGACGGATTGGCGATGGTATTGTTTAGGATTTGCCGCCCACACGTTTGTCGCTTGTGCTCTCTGATCGGTGTTGATCCAACTTAGGCGGCAGCAAAAGAATTTTGATGCTTGGAGCTAGCTACGGAGGCACCCGTTTAGCTAGGCCAAGAATTCAATGTTGGGAACCGGAAATGGATAGAGAAGAGGCGGACCGACCGAGAATGAGAGCTTCCGTGCTAGTGGTATCTCCTTCTCCAGCGACAATGCTCCCCTCTGCCCCCACCTTTTCCTCTTGCGACGTACGAAAGTGGCGGGGAGGCAGCTCCATTGATGGATGGGTCTGCTCAAGCAAGTCAAGCCTAGTAGTGAATGGTACTGCCGTCGATGTCTATTGAGTATGTGACTTGAGGTGGTCTGTTCAATGCTGGACCTGGACGGACCCGAAGCTGGGACTCAGGCTTCCACTTCCTGGTTTTTCACATACGTCGTTGCCCCCTCACCCCTCCAATTTCCCCGCCAATTGATCCATCACACAACAGGATCCAGTCGCTCTGCCTCTCTCTCTGTGTGCGTCTTGGTGCATCCACCCTCGTCCCCCCTTTGTAAAGAAAACAAATCCTCCAGGAGGTTGATTCCCCTTTTCTCCCAACTACCTCTCCTCTTTTTCTTTTTCTCTTCATACCCTTCCCTCCCCTCCATCAAGCGTGCTTTGGATCCTTGAATTTCATGTAAGTGGTTGTCTCTTTTTCCTTTTTTTTTCTTTTCGTTATCTCGTCCATGGTTTTAAGTGGTGCCTGTTATGTGCCGCTTTCCTTGAACGCTTTCCTATTGTGTTTGGTGGCTCCATTTTACCCCGCCATCAGAGCGAGCGAGGACTGGGAAGCTTTTCGTTCCTCCTTCTCTCCCACCCGCCCGCCGTCTTCTTTGCGCTTTCAACCTCTTTCATCCCATCCTCCATCCCGCAACCCTTCCAAGGCTGACGAGCTAGCGACAACACAGCGTCTCGACATCTCATCGTGCGATTCTATCCTCCTTGAACTCCTCTACTTTCCTCTTTTCTCAGCTTCCTTCCTAGCTCTTCCAACCGTCATAATGGTGAGTTTGGATCAACCCCTCCTTCCTGGATGGAATGGTTTTGCAAACGTGCATGCGAAGGGTTTTTTGTTTGGTATGGGGGTTGTGTCTTAATTATTAACTCTCCGCTTCTTTTATGTAGTCTCAATCCGGGTTCGTCTAGTTCCTCATCTCGTCTGTTCGCGTGACCTCTTTCTGCCTCACCTCTCTCTCTTTCTCTCTCTCTTGTATTCTTCTTCTTCCTCATCCCGCCTTTCCCCATCCTGCAAAAGGTCAACCTAGGTCGTCTTTTGTCTTCGAATCGGATGGAACCGCGCCCATTCGGCTGGTTTTCTCGACTGGGAAACCGAGCAACATTTCTAGGCCGATGTCGCGGGGAAGAACAGAGGGAGAGATAGAGATAGAGAGAGAGAGAACTGGAGAGCGATTGCTTCGTTTGTGCTCTAGCTAACCAGCGACCCTCAGTGCGACCGTTTCCCAGGAGTGCATATCCGCCTACAATGACTTGAAGCTCAATAAGAAGTACAAGTACATCGTCTTCAAGCTCTCCGACGATAACAAGCAGATCGTCGTCGAAGAGGCTTCCGATAACTCCGACTGGGAGGTCTTCCGCGAGAAGCTCATCAACGCCACCACCAAGTCCAAGACTGTATGTGTGCTGACACCCCTCACCCCACTTCCGCAAATGGCCCCTCGCATCGCCTTGTCTCATCCCGCGCATCCCCGCCTTCTTGCTTTCTCCCAATCTGAGCTATATCTACACTCGGTGCTCAAATGTAAAGCAATTTTTTTGGCATCGGATCTTCTTGCTAATACCGTTGTTTTTTTCTTTGCGCTAGGGTGCCGTTGGCAAGGGACCCCGCTACGCCGTCTACGATTTCCAGTACAGCCTTGCCTCTGGCGAGGGTGACCGGTAAGCTTCGCCTACACGATAACGCTTTTTTCTTCCTCATTTTAGACGAAGACGTGCGGAGTTCTGACAGCTCTGGATTATAGCAACAAGATCACCTTCGTCGCCTGGTCTCCCGATGATGCCGGCATCCAGGTCCGTACCACTCCTAGTACTCCATTAGTGGTGGATTCTAACACTACTTCTCCCATGTATAGGCTAAGATGATCTACGCTTCCTCCAAGGAGGCCCTCAAGCGCAGCCTTACCGGTATCGCCACCGAGCTCCAGGCCAACGATTCTGACGACATCGAGTACGACACCGTCCTCAAGACCGTCTCCAAGGGCCTCGCCTAAACATGCATGATTGCTCGAGCGTCGAATCCATCAGATCAAACCGAAAAAAAAATTCGAGGGAACTATGGGGAAGGGGATGAGAAAAATCGAGGGGCAGGTTACATGGCATGGGGCTAAACGCCTTGTTGTATGCGTAACTCGTGGCTGCTAGATGATCGAGAGCCATTATACGGGAGGCAGCAAGCGGTGTCGACATATCCTTTTCTTCTCTTATCCTTCTTCTCTCCCGTCTCCTTGCCCTTTTTTTTTTTTCCTTTTTCTTCCTCGTCTTCCTCCAAACAGCCCTGTTGAGCTTTTGACGATGTGACTCTCTTGTTCTCTCCCCATCCTAGCTTCTCTCTTTCGACTAGGAGCTATCGAGCTTGCTCCTTTTCTTTTCCGTATCCCACTCATGATTCGCCGTGTAGACGTGTTGGCAGTAGATCCACGAGGAATGGTCAGCCCTATGTGGGTGGGAAAATTGTTCATTGGCCGATGATAGTGATGATAATGATGACTGGTGGCAGAGACACATATTCAAGTCTCTCAGTTTCTCTACTTTCTTTCTCCTTGAGCGTGTACACGCACGTACGCGCGGATACCATGTAGTGCACATCATGATGTACACTGGATGCCCAGTCCCAAGCGCTAAGCTTAACTAGAGATGTCTCTTATTGCAAGGCCAAGAAGAATTGTAAGATTATGGCCGTGCTAACCATCAGTATTATACGAGAACTGTGAAGTTAGACCTCTAAAGGCGCGCATGCTCATATGTTCCAAACCCAAAGATTCTTTGCCAACGTCTTGGGCAAGGCTCGAACAGCATGCTTTGAGTTGTGAGAAGAAAAAGAAAAGAGAAAAAAGGTAGGTACGTGAAGCTAGATCATGCCTGGTCATCATCATCATCTATTTATCTTTTCCTTCTTTGAAATTATGGATAATACACAAGAGAACACCTCCTCTACTCATTTGCCCTTGGTCTCCCAGCTCTTCTTGAACAGTGTCGCAAGCTCCTCGCCCGTCTTCTCGTCCTTGACCCTCTGTATCAAGAAGCCCCTCAGATCCTCCCAGAACTGGGGCGACGCGACGACAGCCGCCGCACCGGCATTGGTGCCATCCGGCCCCGGCACGGGCGCGGGAGCCTCGGTAGCAGCGCCAACAGCGCCGGTTACAGGTTTGAGGAGGCGGCGCCGCCCATGACCATGACGGCGAGCTCGAGGGTGGTATCGGCGTCGGCATCATCATCGGCGGCGTCGACGAGGTCCTTGAGGATCTTGGAGTCCGGGACGGGTTTCTTGCGGTGGAGGATGCGGGCCTTGTCGGCGGGGACGCCGGCCTGGGCTTCGAGGGCGTGCTTGAGGTCGAGGACCGAGGTGGAGAGGGGGAGGTCGGGGAGGGCGAGGTCGATGGGGGTTGCGGAGGGATTTGAGGGAGACGGTGAGGGTGCGTTGGGGGCCGGGGGCGGTGGTGGATGAGGAGTGGTGGGAGGTGGGTTTGGACATGGGTTTGGGGAGACGGGGAGGATGATCTGGGATTGGAGATTGGGGGTTAGCGAAACATGGAACGGTCTGTCTTCTCTTACACGGCGGCTGGGGCAAGGGGGTTTTGGGCTCTTACGGCTGGCCGGTTGGGGGAAGGATCGGGGGTCCTCGACGTGGTCGGCGGAGATCTTGATGGGGCGGGAGTCGAGGGCCGTGAGGAAGGCCCGGGCGAAGGTGAGTTCGGTCATTGTGGCGAGCTGGGGGAAGGTGGGGGTTAAGGTTGTTCTTCTTCTTTGTCTCGCAAAGGCTGGTTAGCGCAATGGGGAGATGAATGCGAAAAGGATGCAAGATAGGTCGGGAAGCCTTGGTTGAAATAAGAGGGAGCTGGCTTTCAACGGAGGGGTCGTTTTGTTGGTGTTGAAGAGCTTCCGTAGCTTGCTTGGGAAACGTGGTGTTGGAGGCGCAAAAGGGCGAGGAACCCCACAATGTGCTCTGAGCCAGGGAATGGAGGGGAAGTGAAAAGTGACTTTGCAAAGTGACATGCGACCGCGCAGTGGGGACCGCTTTGATTTCCCTGGTTTGCGCGCACCCGCTGTACATGGAAGTGAGAGCTCCGGCCGACAATCACGTGCGATAAGGAATCTCTTATCGGCCGCCCGGCAGAAATTTTGGCGGGGAACTTTTTTTTTTTTTTTGTATGGACCAGCCTCCAAGAGAGAGAGAGCAGGAGGGAAGCATCTTGCAGTCGACTAGCACTGCACCTTTACCGTTTTTATTCAACGGTGTAATTCCCAATTTTTCCTGTCTCCCTTTTGACTAGGGAATAGGAACTTCTTCTTCTTTTTTTTTCTCTCTTTTTCTGTTTTTGAAAACTACGATATCCAGATACCCAATTCTGCTACCGCAGATTCTTCGAACTCGAAAAAAAAGTCTACAGAGCGAGACCCTCTCCCACACCGACAGACACAAAAATGGGTGTAGGAAGGAGAATTGGCAAGAAGCAGGGCGTGCCCGAGCCCCTGACCAACGCACAGTTCGCCAGGCTCAAGCGGAAAGCTGGCCTACCCGTCGACGACACCCCAGCCGAAGACGATACCCCCAAGAAGAAGCGGAGACGGAGCGCCGGCAAGCAAGCGGACCAGAAGGAGGCAAAGAATGGTGTAACGAAGAAGGGAGCTGCGGCGGCGGCGGTGAGCAATGGCGCCGCGAAGAAGCTCAAGGGAAAAAGGGCGCCGCGGTACCTGTGGTCGAGGAGGAGGAGGATGACTTTTCCGACTTGAGCGGAGATGATGCGTCAGATATGTCTGTTGATGCTCTGCCCGACGATTTCCTAGGATCCGACGACGAGGGATCGTCCGTGTACGATTCCGCAGAAGAGGAACTTGGTGGCGGTACCACCGGCAAGGGCGGCAAGCACGTCTTTTCCGAGGACGAGGATTCCGATTTTGAAGAGACGCTGACGGCGGCCAACATTGAGGGTCTGTCGAGGAAGCTCGACGAGCAGGCGGCCCAGGAGGAGGCGGACGCACAGGCGGATCTCCAAGAGTCTGCGCTGCAGACCAACATAACGGGCGAGGGCGTGTTGGCGGACGAGGACGAGGACGAGGAGGGCGGCGCTGCCAAGCCCAAGGTGTTGCTGGCGCCGGATCTACAGCTCCTGCGGACGCGCATGACGGACAGCATCCGCATCCTGGAAAACTTTGGCGAGCTGTGCGAGGAAGGCCGCTCGCGCGCCGACTACACGGCGCAGCTGCTCAAGGACATCTGCGACTACTACGGGTACTCCGAGTACCTGGCCGAGAAGCTCTTCAACCTCTTCACGCCGCGCGAGGCATTCGAGTTCTTCGAGGCCAACGAAAAGGCCCGCCCCGTGGTCATCCGCACCAACACGCTGCGCACCCAGCGCCGCGACCTCGCCCAGGCCCTCATCAACCGCGGCGTCACCCTCGAGCCCGTGGGCAAGTGGTCCAAGGTCGGCCTGCAAATCTTTGACAGCAACGTGCCCATCGGCGCGACGCCCGAGTACGTGGCGGGCCAGTATATCTTGCAGGCGGCCTCTTCTTTCCTGCCCGTCATGGCGCTGTCCCCGCGAGGGCGAGCGCGTGCTCGACATGGCCGCCGCCCCGGCGGCAAGTCGACGTACATCGCCGCCATCATGAAGAACACGGGGCTCGTCGTCGCCAACGACCCCAACAAGGACCGCGCCAAGGCCCTCGTCGCCAACGTCTACCGCCTCGGCTGCCAAAACGTCGTCGTCAGCAACCACGACGCCCGCGAGTTCCCCAAGGCCCTCGGCATCTCCTTTGACCGCATCCTCCTCGACGCCCCCTGCTCCGGCACCGGCGTCATCGCCAAGGACCCCAACGTCAAGACCAACAAGACCCAGCGCGATTTCCTGCTCCTGCCCCACATGCAGAAACAGCTCCTCCTCGCCGCCATCGACTCGGTCCGCTTCGACGGGAAAGGCGAGGCCGGCGTCGTCGTCTACTCCACCTGCTCCGTCACCGTCGAGGAAAACGAGCAAGTCGTCCAGTACGCCCTCAACAAGCGGCCCAACGTCCGCCTCGTCGACACCGGCCTCACGTTTGGCCGCGAAGGGTTCACCAGCTACCGCGGCAAGCGTTTCGATCCCACCATGACCCTCACCCGCCGCTACTACCCCCACACCTACAACGTCGACGGCTTCTTCGTTGCCAAGCTCAAGAAGATTGGCCCCGACGGCTCCGTTTCCAAGAAATCGTCCGCCGCCGACGGCGAGCCCATGGAGGTCGACAGGACCCCCATCACCGACGACGAGGCTGGCAAGAGCAGCGCCGACGACTTTGGCGGCTTCGACGACGACGCTGATAAGGCGTACATGGACAAGGGTCAGAAGAACGCTATGCGCAGGAGGGGCCTCAACCCCAAGGCGCGCAAGGCCAAGGAGGCCAAGGAGGGTAAAGAGACTAAGGAGACTAAGGAGACTAAGGAGACCAAGCAGACCAAGGCGACCAAGGCAACCAAGGCGAAGAAATGAGGCGGGCCGGGGACCAAAGGGACTGGGCTGCAAGTGGCTGGATCCGATTTTATGGAGTATCGTGTACTACGGTTCGAAAAAAGTGATGTTTCATTCTAGTATCGTATATCATGGGCACTCTGTTTTTCTTCGTTTTTCTCTTTATCCTTTCCAACCTTTTCCAGTATCACGTTTTCCTCGCCCTTTTTCCTTTCTAGTTCTCTTGTCATCTCGGCGTTTTTTTATAGATTCAAAAAATGATTTGGTTGTTCAAAAGGTTTCTTCATCGTGAACTCATCCATCACCAAGTCAAGTTACACTTCCCCGACGACTGTGATGTAACTCTATACACCGCTTCCTGCCATGACTTGAACCGTTCAAACGCAGTCCCATCCGCTGGCATTCAACAGACTAGTGGGACTCATCCATATCATACAACCTAGATGCAAGTTGATTTTTCGGAGTTTCTTTGATTCACATCAACTCTTTTCATAGCAACATGCACACGCACAACATAGGGAACCAAAACTGCTTAGACAAATCACCAGCTTTTCTTTTTGCTTGCTAATCTGCGGGAGAAAAAAAGAAAATCTAAAATGGTACACTACATACAGTACATTGAGATCTAATCGTACACGATTGCGTACAAATAAACCTCCTTCTTGCTTTTTGCTTCATCCTCCTACCAAGTTCCGCCAGGTGACTCGGTAAAAAGAAAAAGGAAACCCGCCTTCGTTCCCTCCCGACTTGACCTCGCCGCCCTCGTCTCCAGCAAAGGATCAAGGTTTGCATGCGTGGCCAGTTGCGAGGGAGGAAAAGGGTGTGTTTGATATAAAAAAGGGGGAATCGAGGATTAGAAAAAGGGAGAGCGGAGATTGGTCCAGCTAGTGGGGAAAAAAAAAAGACAAGAGAAGATAGCCAGGTGAAGACAGAGGCAAAAGAGTATACAGATTGTAATAACAAAGCGCACGAAAATCAAAAGTTTCCCAACCTTGTATAGTAGAAACACCAAAGCCCATGCTCCTCTCTCCTAGATATTTTGGTATTCCTTAGCCCACTCTCTCCTCTTCTTTCTTTCCTCTTCCGTGATTGTGTTGTGTTGTGGTACAGATGCGACATAAGTCATGGGGGTTCGTTGTTTCGAGATGCAGAGAGCCCGCTCTTGAGCGGGTGGTTGAGGGGATGGGGGAAATGGCTCACGAGTGAATGATGCTACATTTACATCATGCCACCCATTCCGCCCATGCCTCCCATGCCGCCCATACCACCCATGGGGCCGCTAGGGCCCTTCTCGGGGGCGTCGACGATGGCGACCTCGGTGGTGCCGAGAAGAGAAGCAACACCACTGGCATCACGGAGACCGGTCCTGACGACCTTGAGGGGGTCGAGAATACCGGCAGCGATCATGTCGACGTACTCGCCCTTAGCGCTGTCGAAGCCCTTGTTGAAATCGCCAGCATACTCATCCATGAGCTTGCCGACAACGACGGCACCCTCAAGGCCGGCGTTCTTGACAATGGACTTGGCGGGCTGGGTGATGGCGTTCCTGACAATGCTGACACCGAGCTGCTGGTCAAAGTTATCGGGCTTGATGCTGAGCTGGGCAGCGGCCTTGAGGAGGGCGGTACCACCACCGGGGAGGATACCCTCCTCAACGGCAGCACGGGTGGCATTAAGGGCATCGACGAAGCGGTCCTTCTTCTCGCCGACCTCAACCTCAGAGGAGCCACCGACCCTGATGACGGCGACACCACCGGAAAGCTTAGCGAGACGCTCCTGGAGCTTCTCCTTCTCGTACTCAGAGGTGCTAGGGTCAGCCATGACACCACGGATCTGCTCGCAGCGCTGGGTAAGGGCATCCTTGCTACCCTCGCCGTTGAGGATGATGGTGTCCTCCTTGGTGATGGTGATGGAGCCGGTGGAGCCGAGCATGTCGGGGTGGCCTTCTCGAGCTTGATATCAAGCTCTTCGCTGAAGACGGTACCGTTGGTAAGGACGGCAAGATCGCCGAGGATAGACTTGCGGTTGTCACCGAAGCCAGGGGCCTTGACGGCGGCGACCTGGAGCTGGCCACGGAGCTTGTTGAGAATGCAGACGGCAAGAGCCTCGCCGTCAATGTCCTCGGCAATGATGACGAGGGGGCGGCGGAGCTGAGTGGAGGCCTCAAGGGCAGGGATGATGTCCTGGACGGCAGAGATCTTCTTCTCGGAGAGGAGAATCAAGGGCTTCTCGAACTCAACCTTCTGGGACTTGGTGTCGGTGATGAAGTAGGGGAGACGAAGCCACGGTCGAAGCGCATGCCCTCGGTAACCTCCATCTCGTCCTGGAGAGTCTTGCCCTCCTTGACGGTGATGACACCCTCCTTGCCAACCTTCTCCATGGCGTTGGCAATGAGCTTGCCAATGTGCTCGTCACCGTTGGCGGAGATGGTGGCGACCTGAGCGACCTCCTCGCTGGTGGTAATGTCACGCTTGTGCTTCTGGAGGAACTCGACAACGTCATCGACGGCGGCCTGGATACCGCGGCGGAGATCCATGGGGTTGCAGCCGGCGGCAACGTTCTTGACGGTCTCGGAGAAGATGGCGCGGGCGAGGACGGTGGCGGTGGTGGTACCATCACCGGCAACCTCGTTGGTCTTGCCAGCGACCTCAGCTATTAACTTGGCACCGAGGTTCTCGAACTTGTCCTCAAGGGTAATGGCCTTGGCAACGGTTACACCATCTGGGAAAAAGATATCGTTAGTCAATGCATATGATGGATTGGGATTGTATGGATGGGGGCTTGATGCTTACCCTTGGTGATCTTGGGGGAGCCGAAGCTGGACTCGATCAAGACATTCCTGCCCTTGGGACCGAGGGTGCTGGAGACGGCGTTGGCGAGTGTCGACACCGGCAAGGAGAGAGGCACGAGCCTCAACACCGAACTTGAGCTCCTATAATGAAGAAAAAGCAGGCTGGTTAGTTCCGGTTGTGCCGTTTCATCAATCATCCCATCTCCAATGCGATGGATGGTTCGTAAGCATCATCTCTCATCTTACCTTGTGAGCGAAGCGGAGCTGTTGACCGAGGCCAGCACCGGATCGGAACTTGGCGGCGGCGCCCGAAGAGGACGGCCGCCCTGGTTCGCGAGGAAGTGAGCGCGCGCTGCATTGTGATGTGTTGTGTGTAGATGATCTCGGAGAACGAGAGATTAGGGGAAGAAAGAAAATAAAGAGAGTACGGAGAAAAAGGTAGACGATTCGATTAGATGCTTTTAGAAAAACAAATGGTACACAAAGCGGGTATTGTACGGCAGCTCTGGCGAAGCTATCGTGTCAATGAGATATGGAAGGGGAGGGGAGGAAAGAAGAGAGGACTTGAAGAGATGGGAAGGGGAAGAAGTTGATGAGAGTGCGCTTTTGGAAAAGCAATGGTAAAAAAATAATCCGGCCAAATTGGAGAAGCTTCTATGGAGCATCTGCTTCCCAAACCAGGCGCGCGAAAAAAATTGTTAAGGCCAAAAAAATTACTACCCCTGTACCCGAGTGTTCTCATTGGTCGAAATGTCTGGTAGATCCTCGGCATTACCGGACCCAGCAACACGCCCCCGGTCGCCCATTCCGACGACTGCAATGTACAATGGTACTCGGCCAGAGCTCTTCAGATTATGTAACTGCGAGCTTCGGGCGAGGAGCTCTGTTCCTCGCCTTTTTCCCGAGCTTGATGAAGATGAATGATTCGGGAATGTCCTGGTTTGCCTCATCCCAATTCACTTCTAAAGCTTACGAGTGCGTAATCAACCCATCTCAAGACTCACGACTTCGCTCTAAATTAGAAAACCCATAAAATCGTATTAATTCTGTATAGCAAGCTCCGTAAGAGAAGCTGGAGCAGGCACTTCAATATCGCCCTTCAAAACGAAGCGTGAGAGTCTCAATTTCAATTATTCGAGTTGCGTATTTCATCCTCTATAACCTCTCAAAAAAGGAGGAAAGCATCTATAGGCGTGTTGATAACATGGAAACAATTAAAATAAAAATAAAAAGAGGACGGGTTAGCCAACCATTGACCAGTAGCAAATCCCTATTTCTCTTGAAAACCACCCTCATTCCCATTCAAGAGCTGCAACTACACTGCAAAGCCCTCACAAACTCCGGCACATCCCCCGTCCACCTAGCCTCCTCCTCCGCGTCTCCCTCGTACAAGACGCCCTCAAACTCCTTACCGGCCCAGCTATCCTCAAAGGGATTCAGCGCCATGTGCATCACCCGGCGCAGCACCTCCCTCTCGCCCTCCTTCTCCACCCGACGAATCACCTCGTCGAGGACCCAGCCGCGTGGGGTGAAGTTGGGGTTGACGGCCTTCATGGCTTTGGTGCGCTGTGCGTCCCGGTCTTCCGGCAGGGCAGCCTCGGCGTTGCCGGCACCCCAATCCTCGATGATGCGCTTGCGCCAACGGTCGAGCCACTCGCTAATCTTGACGCGCGCGTCATCCTCCCTGCACATCGTGCGGCCCCCTTGTAGAAGAAGACGGACGCCTTGTCCCGGCGCGCCTCGGGAGTCTCGAGTTCGCTTAGAGGGAGTGCGCTGAGCCTCCGGAAGAACTGGTTGAAGTCGAGCTCGAACTCGTGCATGAGGTCGAGCAGCGGGCTAAAGAGCTGGTCAAAGTCGGCGTCGCGATAATTCTTTAGGCCCAGCCGCGCGCTCATCAGGCGCTTGTATTCGCGTAAAAATGTAGCCTTGTACTCCTCTCCCGTTTGCGTAATGATCTTTTCGGCGCGGGAGATGAGCTCCGCCTCTTGCTCAGACTTGACACCCTCCTTCACATATACGGGGTCATCGACGCCGGCACCGGCACCTATAAGCTCGCCCAGCGCCTCACCAAAGCGCACCAAGTTCCACCAGATAATGGTGGGTTGGTTCTTGTAACTGTACCGTAGGAGGCTGTCGTCGTGGTTGGGGGTGTAGGAAGGGTCAAAGTTGTCCATAAAGGCGAATGGGCCAAAATCAACCGATAGGCCCATGACGGATGTGTTGTCCGTGTTGAGGACGCCATTCATGAAACCGTAGGCTTGCCACTTGGCAACGGTCTCGGCATTAAGACGGGCGACTTCGCGGTACAATCTCGCGAAGCGGTTCTCTTCCGCGCCAGGCTCACCCTCAATCTCGGAGGCGTCGAGACCGCGGCTAGCCGACTCGTTCTCCGAGGGCTTCTCCGGGGTCGAAAGCATTCCCGGCAACGACTCCCACCCACCAAGGACCTCTTCGGCAAGATACGTAGCCAGCTGCCTGGTCAGCGGCCTATCACCCGCGCGCGCAAGATATCAAAGTTGCCCAACCTCAACCACGACTGCGCGAAGCGCAGCACAATGGCGCCGGGCTCTATCCTCTCCCTCACCACCCGCGACCCTTTGCACAGCGTCAGCGAAAGCGCCCTCGTCGTAGGGATGCCGAGCGCGTGCAGGGCCTCCGAGACGACAAACTCTCGGATGCTGGACCGGAGGACGGCCCTGCCGTCCGCGAACCTCGAGTAGGGCGTCAAGCCGGCACCCTTGAGCTGCAGCTCGTACCGGGTCCCGGTCGCCGGGTTCGTGGTCTCGAAGAGCGAGATGGCGCGCCCGTCACCGAGCTGACCGGCCCATGCGCCGAACTGGAATCCACCATAACACTGGGCCCACGAGTACCCGCCCTCCTTGGCCTCCTCATCCCAGCCGAGGAGCTTGTTGCCAGACACGACCTGGAGAAATTCGCCCGTCTTTTCCTCGCCAGCGACGATGCCGAGGTCGCGCATAGCGGCGGGACTCACGCCGAGGAGCTCCGGACTCTCGACGGTTTCGGGACGGACCCAGGTGAAGAGGGCGCCGGTGACTTGGCGGGGTAGAATCTGGTCACGCGGGGTGGCGTGGGAGGCTGCGGGGTGGGGTAGAACGCATCATGGGGGAGGGACGAGGTAAAAGTCCACGACTTGGGAATGTCTTGGAGCGTTGCGCCGGGGTAGGAGTTGGACGAGCCGCCAGGGTCGCCGTCGGAAGCCATCTTAGTGAAGGGAGCGGCGGAGCGAAAGCTAGCACGGGAGCCGGAAACTCTGAAAGGGTGAGGAATCAACGACCGATGTCGTGCGGCGCTAGTAATGGGAGAGAAAGAGCTCAGTCGGAGAGCGCGGAAGAAAGGCATAGGGAAGGGCGTGTGTGGCCTGGTTTCGTTGTTGCTCAATGTGTCATCAAATAGAGTCTACTTGATTATGCCGCTCAAGCGGGCTTCGAACCAAACATGATAGGTGCCCCCAAGTTTCTTAGTGCTCGTGCCCTGCTCGCTTCTCTCTCTTTTTTTATTCGCTCGAGACGGCAAGTTTAGCGGGGAAGAATGGGAAAAAAGGAAGGTGTCGAATCAGCGCATCTGCACAATGGTGTATCTAGTACGAACCGGAAGCCACAACGGCACGAGACACGGAAAAAATAAGTAATCAACAGGGCGAGTGTCTAGCGGGGCAAGTAGGACCAGCGACGGGTCCCATGCGCTGGAATTGGTCTTTTGCCTGTCATCGGCAGCCTTAGCCTCCACTTGCACGGTGCTGGCAGGCAGTTTTGACGTCATGGTTTGCGTTCAATGCCCTTTTCTTTACATTCCTTTCTCGCATTCCTTTCTCGTCTTTCGACAGCTGATGGTTTCGGGCCTAACGAGGTACACTTTGCAGCACAATGGGGTACTGGTACTGATCTGCAGCCCACAAATGCAGAGACGTTGTTTCCGGCCTGCAAAGAGGCGCCGAGATGCCTGGTCCCTCCTTTCCCATGCTTTTCTCTATCAGGCAGCGCAGATCATTAAGGAGCCGTCCATTGTGCAATTGGGGGTAGGAAGGGTCGATATGCGCTAAATGCTCAAAAGACGTTGGTGTAATAAGCTTGGCTTCATTGAGCACACTGCGCCTTTACATTCAGCTCGGGGACTATCTATCCAGCTCGGGATCAATCAATGCACTCTTCACCTGCTAGCTTGGGGTCTGACTTCACAGCATTTGATTGAATTTCTTCCGTCGATAGATCTATGGTAGATGCATCTAAATTTGTTGCGCGTTGCTTCACGCAGTCGGTTTCCGGTTATAGAGTGTCTGGGCTTCAGTACCGGCATCCGGAAATACAAGTAGAAGCGGCTGCCTGCCTTCTGGCACGTGGCATAGTTGATGTGATCAATTCCAGTCAGTTTGGATCGAGTTATGCTCGTCCACTCTCTGCAAACTACCCTGCCGGCTTTCTAAATGCACGAACTCGGAGCTACCAGCCACTGAGACGACGCGACTGACATCGATCCATCCGATGTTTCCAAAAATCCACTCCTTCTAATCCACTCCTTCCATACGCCTTTGACGCATACTGAGCCCAGTGTGAAAAATCAACCCGACACGTCTCGAAGACTCAAAACTCGAGCACCAAGGCACAAGTGCAAGCGCAAAGTGCTCGAGCTTCCATAATTTTTTTTTAACAACTCTAGCCACCCCACTCACACACGCGTGTAGGTCGGACATCGCGCCGGTTCAAGTCCCGTGTGGTCCCTTGTGCTTTAGGATGACGAAGCGACTGCATAATGAATTATCTGATGAGCATGTCGGGCACACCGAGGGCCAGTCGAAGCGTATGAGGTCGGTGGCTAGCTTGGATTCGACTAAAGATGCCGTTGCTCTTGTAAGGCAGCACTCGAGTGCCCTGATCAAGTGTTTGCAAGCGCTCGATGGATCGTCGAGCGGCGGGGCTGAGGGCGATCTCGCTGCATTAAGCAGGACACTTCTTCCAGCAATGCAAGTACTTGCCGGTGCTTCGGCGGGGACGACGAGTACCCATGATCAAGTGAGCATAGATCGTTCTTGACAAATTAATACTTGACACCCCAAGCTAACGTGTTGGGCAGGACATTCTTAAGGCTGAGGATGCTAGGGAACAGCGGGGGCAGAGCACTTCGGGTGAACAGTCATCAAGAGGACTAGAGTTCTTCAATCCAGCTCTCGTTACGCCATGGACTTCTCGAGACATTCCCTCATCACTCCCCCTTTACCCCCGGCCGACCCCGAGCTTGCGGAAGCGGCCTTTCGCTCACCAGCCGTAACGAAGCCTGGCGAGATGGGCTACGACCGGCTCGAGTGGGTCGGTGATGCAAACCTTTATCTTTTATCTTCCTACCTCATTTTCTTCACTTTTGGTGGCCTCGATTCGGGCAAGGGCTCTCAACTACGGGAGCGACTAGTACGCAACCAGACACTGGCGTCCTACTTTCGCGAATATAACTTGATCCAGCGCGCCAAACTACCGGCCAACATTGACCTCAAGTCGAAAGAAGGGCAGAAGATCCAGGGCGACATGGTTGAAGCATACGTAGGTGCCGTGGTTCTCTCGGACAAGCGGCAAGGCGCCGCCAAGGCAGCTGCATGGCTCAAGGCCTTATGGGCGCGAACCATTGCCGACGAAATCAGAAAAGCCGAAAAGAAGCCCGAGACGCAACGAGTACAAGAGCTCGGGCAGGCAAGGGAGGTCGATGAAGCGGCGACGGCGAAGCAAAGACTGAACCTCGCCCTCAAAGTGCCCGGGGTAGACTTGATCTTCCAAGATGTGCCCACGAAACAGAAGAACAAACACAACGGGTTGCCAATGTTCACGGTAAATCTATTCCTGAAAGGATGGGGTGAACAGAATAAGTTGCTAGGCTGGGGAACGGCCGGTTCAAAGAAGGAGGCGGGCCAGAAGGCTGCGCTAATGGCACTTGCCAATAAGAAGGTGATTTCCGTCTACGAGGCGAGGAAGAAGGCATACGTCGAGCAAATGGCCGAAAATGCTGCCTCGGGAGGCGGCGGTGGCTTGAAGAAACCGTGAACACGCCAGAGCCCACGACGTGTCGTATTTAAATCCTGCAATATACCCCTAAGAAACAATGCAAGCTGGGGGTCTCCTTCCCCCAAAAGTTCCATGTACTGTCACTTGTACCTAGAGTATTACTTGAGTGAGCGTATCGGACAGGCATCAATTCGATGGGAATGAGTGCCTGATCTGGAAAGCCGCATGTTTTTTGCGCCGAGGTCGTTTGGAGACACTCGCCATGCCCATTGTGCCCATTGACATTGAATAGTGACCGTGCGGCGGGTGCAATTGGGGCAACATGCCGAGAGCCAGGACCGAGAAGAACTTTATTAGAGAGTGTGGCTTTGGGGAGGCCCTGTTTCCGTGAGGCGAGCCGTCATCCAGGTCGCCTCCCAGCTAAAATCGGTTTCTTGTCAGGGTCGAGCAGCGAGTCTCCAGTATGGGCCGATGCTATGAGTGGTCGAGACTCTGGGGGTGTGTGTTGTGGATCAATTTGATTGAATGATGTGACACTAGGAATTGGGAACCCACGGGCTCAGGTGCCGAGCTTGCAAGAGCGTTGTCTCCGAGCAGTTGGGAGCCGTCCGCTTGCGCCGAGGCAAAAACTCTCGACCCGCTATTTTGGAAACGCCGCCCTCAGACTCGCCCTTCTGTACATCTGATTGAGTCCTCCTCCACTACGGGCACCATTGGAACCCCGTCGCTCCCCGCCTCCAGTTGCCCGCGGGATGATGGGTCGGAACGTCACTGGAGCTTCTTGATCTTGCTTCCTCACTTCTTACTCCTTCTCCCATTCATTCTTTCGTGGTTTTTGTGGTGAAGCTGTGCATTTCTCTCTCTCTCTCTCCCTCCCCTTTTGGAAGTGTGGCTCGCATCATCGTCACACTGCAAGGGTCCTTATCAGCCTCTCTTCTTCTGATATTGGCGTTTTTGTTAGCCTCGTCTTTTCCCTTTCAAGTTGCCACGCCTCAAATCGAGCCGCGGTTCGTCAGATGCGCGAGCAGACACGCGATATGTCGACTTCTCCCTAAGACTCAAACACCACATCTCGAATCCTTTTTTCCCCCAGATTTGGCCCAAGCCAGGGCAAAATCAATTTGATTGTTTGGCGACCGGCGCCTTCATTTCCCGTTTCCGACGCGCACCCTTTTCTTTTTTTTTCCAACAATGGCGGACTCCGTAGGTTAGTTTTGACAGCCCCAATTCCGCTCCTTCCCTCCACCCGCCCCCTCTATCGCCGACACCGCCGCCCAACCTCGGCCCCCATCAACCCGCTAACCCAACACCTTTGAATTTCCATGTCTCTAGATCGCGTCTTCGTCCATGCCCTCAGCACAGTAAAGCGCATCCCCAAGACGGGGGCCATGCGCCCCCGCCCGCCGACCGGTTACGTCTCTATGGGCTCTACAAGCAAGCGATGGAGGGAGACGTCGACGGTGTCATGGAAAGGCCATCCCCGCCACCGTGGGCATGCGCAGCGAGGACCTCAAGCGGGAGATGGACAAGTGGGACGCGTGGGATGCGCAAAAGGGTCTTACCAAGACGGAGGCGAAGCGACGGTATATCGAGACGCTTATCTCCACAATGCACCGATACGCGACAACAGGGTTCGTTTTTGTTCATTCCTTCCCCCCTTTCTTTTGTGGTGTTCCCTCCTCGGTTTCATTATCGTGACCAAAGGTCCCAGCCGCTTTCCGTGTGTGACCATTGGTGATACCTACTTGATACTAACGACGCATGTCACCCTACAGGGACGCGAAGGAGCTCGTTGCCGAACTCGAGTTTGTGTGGAACCAAGTTAAGATCAACACCCCGAGCATATCCGACTCGCCCCGAAGCCCCGCGACAACGGAAAACCGAGCAGACCGCCGAAGGCGGGCCCATGAAGATCCTCAGCCCCATGAGCGAACAGGACGAGGCCGAGTTAGAGTCCCAGCGGATATCGGCCATATTAGATGACGAGGAGGAGAACGAGATCAACGGCAGCGTACCCGTCGCGGGAAACAAGTGGGCGAGAAAGGTCGAGAGGGCGCTGCAGAAGCTGTCGACCGAGGTGGCGGCGCTGCGGGAACAAATCACGACGGGCCGGGAGTGGAAGTTCAAGAAGGAGATGAGCTGGAAGGCGTGGTTCACGTGGCTCTTTTGGGCGGCCTTGCAACACCTCGTCATGGATTTTGTCGTGCTGAGCATCGTCCTGATATGGCTGCGGAAGAAGAAGGATAGGAGATTAGAGGACCTCGTTAGGGCTGCTCTGAAGCTTGTGAGGGAGTACGTCCGGAAAATCGTACCCTCAAGGTGACGATTTGGACTAATCTAATCCTCCATCCTTCTCTTCGTCTCTTTCCACTCCATCAAGGACAGATGACGCCTAACCCCCTTGCAAGAGTCTTGGCTAGGCCGTCCAGCATCTATCGCCCCGATCGATTCGACTTGGCATATTCTACTCGCCTACCCGTTTGGGCAGACAGAGCCTAAATCCAGCGATATCACACACAGCGCAAACCCTCATTACCTACTCTTCAGCCTCTCCATAATGAGTCTTTGCCGGCACCCTACCACCTTACCTCCACCCCGTTACCTCCCCCACTGCCGGCCAAGGAAATATGGGAACCTACAGCAAGGTAGACTTTCTTGGTCAGGCCTATTTTGAACCTCGACGGAACCCCTTATAACCCTCCCTACCTCGGCGCACATATAGATCATAGACGGATCCTATAGACCGCTTAACCTCTCCCTCCTCCCTAACGCTTCAACCTCTCTGCATCTAGATGTATGAATAGATGATTACATGTGTCTTATTAGTAATTTTAAAATATTGCTTCCACTTTGTCTCCCTGCCAGCTCGTGATGCCATCCGCTACCTCGTGGATACATGGTAGTGCTCTTGATCTCGCGTAGTCTTGGCCTAAGCTCCATGGTTAACGTCGACTCTCGCTTGCGCAAGCCATGTAATTATTCGAGATATCCCGAGCCCTTTTTCCCATGTGGCCGCCCCCTTTGAGGCGATATCAGCTTGCCAGTGCCGACGTTTTTAAGTTTATCCAAGGTATTTTCGTTCGAATGCTATATTTTCACCGACAGTTGGTCTTCGGTCCCGTAATGGGTTGAATTCCCGCACACGCCCCTCCAGTCTTCCATGTTCTTGCCTAGCACCGCCTCAAAACCCGTGCCAGATGCGATTGTTTGGAGATATTGAATATCACCAGGTTCCTGCACTCACCCACTTCCTAGGGAGACTCTCAACCCAGACAGCAAACACCACAAAGCAGCCTTTGCCGAATAACTACCAGGCGGCTCTTTCCTTGAATGAGGCATGAGGGGCCGAATAGCCCATGAGCACTTCCCTCAACGTGCAGGTTAGCACAAAATCCATTTGACGTTGTTGTTTGCCTTTCAAGTCGCATTTCAAATTTATCCGCCACCCCTTGGCCGCCCAGATATCTCAACTTTCTACGAGTGGCGTCTTTTTCCAAAGACAAAAAGAGAGAGCAAAAGAAACAGAAGGGCACCGTTTTGAAGATAGGACGAAGACTGCAGGGACCATGGCGGCACCCCCACGAATCCCCAGGTTGACGGACGTGGCGTGCAGCATATTCGTCCCCATTGAAGAAGATCTGCTCGCCCTGCCCGCCGAGTCCGAGGCAGACACGAGCCTCCAGGCCAGCGTCGACGCCATCTACGCCCACGCCGAAAAAGTCAAGGCCAACATCATCATGTACATGAACCGCGAAAAGGAAGCCCTCTCCGCCGAGTACCACGCGAAGCGGGCCGCGGACCCCAAGAAGGGCGAGACGACCGCGCGGCCCTACGCGCCCGCAGACGAGGCTCTCATGGTGGAAGCCATGTGCAAGACTGCGGATCCGTCCGTCGACTACGAGATCAAGACGGCGGCCAACATCCCGCGCCCGCGTGGGACGGTGCCCCGCAAGCCTGGGGATGCCCTTAGGGAGCACTACATAGTGCGGGTGATGCAGTTGGCGGAGGCGGCGGTTCAGGAGCTAGAGGCGTATGGGAGACATGTAGATTTGGTTGTGGACAGGTTCAAGGCGCGGACGAAGGAGGTTGAGGACAAGGCTTCGAGGGAGAGGGCTGCTGCGGAGGTTGGCGCGGAAGCGATGGATATAGACTGAGAGGCGTAGGGTGCTCATACTGATAGCTAAGGGGCATCTTTAGTCAACCCGTGGCTATTTGAATGCCTCCCCGTCTTCCTCAATATCACACATCCAATCCGTCCCCTGAAGAGCGAGCCCAGATACGGAGTGGCACTCGAGTGCTGGGTATCCGTCACTAGGGTCACGAGCCATCTAGTCACGGGCATCTACGACTTGTCTCTTTGAGACTGGAAATGGGTTCATTCTTCTTCATGCGTTTCAATAGAGGCCCCAGAGATGAGATGTGACAAAAACCGGCGGTAAGAAGCAACGGTCATCGAGTTTTGAGGCTCTGCGATGCATCCATAAACGGCGTCTATAATAATTTATCTTGGGCACAAGATAGAGGAAGGCTCGATTGAAAACATCAAAAACCCTGCCGAATGGCCGAGTTTTGAGTCCAAAGCTCACCTACAATAAAATGTGTCCGTGTACAATTGATGAGAAAAAGAAGAAGAAAAAAGGCTTCGACAAATTCGGCGCTGCAAATTTGCTTCAAATAATAAATTTGGCGTGGGAGCAGGAAAGTGGGTAAAGTTTATGCCTGAGGCGGTCAATAATTGACCAATCACGGCTGTGGTAATCACTTCCGTCAAGTTCTCGTCGAAATGCTCTCAAACCACATCACGACAACGACCTGTCCAACAGAAGCAACCCCTTCAACAACTACCCACCCTCTCCCCTCTCGGAAAGAGTACGCCCTCCCCCGATCGTCTTTCCTTGCATCCATACGGGGCGATACGATGTTGCGGCAGTCTTTGGCTCGATCGGCCTGGCGGACGGGCAGGCGTGTCGCCAGCGCCCCGAGGGCTTTCTCGGCAACCACCCAGCGTCCGGCCGAGGTGGAACTCACAATTGGTAGGGAAACACGCTTAATACTGCTCAATTGACCTTAATGGAGTTGCTAACGCTGTTTTAGATGGCAAGAAGGTGTCGATAGAAGGTAGAGAGCCCACTATGGTTGAATGAAAGGGTTTTGTTGCTAACCTCTCCACAGCTGGTTCTGCCTTGATCCAGGCGTGTGAAAAGGCCGGAGCTACTGTACCAAGGTATGTCCACCATCTCGAATTGATGACCCCAATCGGTCTCGATGCTAATTATTGCCTTTACAGATATTGTTACCATGAGTATGCCTTGTTTTTTTCTTCCCCTTCGCCCGTCGCTCCTCTGACCCGAAACCCCGATACAATATTCGTTCGCACGAGCCAATTTCTAACCGCAGCCTTTTTCTCAAAACAGGAAACTCATGATTGCCGGAAACTGTCGTATGTGTTTGGTCGAAGTCGAGAGGGCGCCGAAGCCCGTCGCCTCCTGCGCGTGGCCCGTACAACCCGGCATGGTCGTCAAGACCAACTCGCCTCTCGTGCACAAGGCCCGCGAGGGTGTGATGGAGTTCCTCCTCGCCAACCATCCTCTGGATTGCCCCATTTGCGACCAGGGTGGCGAGTGCGATCTCCAGGATCAATCCATGCGATATGGTGCCGACCGTGGTCGATTCCACGAGGTTGGCGGCAAGCGTGCCGTCGAGGACAAGAACATTGGCCCCCTTATCAAGACGTCGATGAACCGATGCATCCACTGCACGCGTTGTATCCGATTCGCCAACGACATCGCCGGTGCCCACGAGCTTGGCTCTAGCGGCCGTGGTAACGACTTGCAAATCGGCACATACCTCGAGCAGTCTCTCGACTCTGAGATGTCCGCCAACGTCATCGACCTCTGCCCCGTCGGTGCCCTGACTTCCAAGCCTTATGCCTTCCGCGCTAGGCCTTGGGAGCTCAAGCACACCGAGTCTGTCGATGTCCTTGACGGTATCGGTTCCAACATCCGTGTCGATTCCCGAGGTCTCGAAGTTATGAGGATTCTCCCCAGGCTCAACGACGACGTTAACGAGGAGTGGATCAATGACAAGACCCGATTCGCCTGCGACGGCCTCAAGACCCAGCGCCTAACCATGCCCCTTGTCAAGAGGCAAGGCAAGTTCGAGCCCGCCGACTGGGAACAGGCCCTCACCGAGGTCGCTGCTGCCTTTGCCCAGATCAAGCCCCAGGCCAACGAGTTCAAGGTCGTCGCCGGTGAGCTCACCGACGTCGAGACCATGGTCGCCATGAAGGACCTCGCCAACAGGCTAGGATCTGACAACCTCGCCCTGGATATGCCCGCTGGAAGCCTGCCTATCGCCCACGGCATCGACGTCCGGTCCAACTACCGCTTCAACTCCACCATCTGGGGTGTCGAGGATGTCGACGCCATGCTCATCGTCGGCACCAACCCCCGCCACGAAGCCGCTGTCCTCAACGCCCGTATTCGCAAGCAGTGGCTCCGCTCCGATCTCGAGATCGCCGTAGTTGGCGAGAGCTGGAAGTCGACCTTTGAGTTCGAGCATCTCGGCACCGACCACGCCGCTCTGAAGAAGGCCCTTGTCGGTCCCTTTGGCAAGAAGCTCCAGGCTGCCAAGCGCCCCATGATCGTCGTGGGCTCTGGTGTCACCGACCACCCCGACGCCAAGGCCTTCTACGAGACCATTGGTGCCTTCGTCGATAAGAACGCTGCCAACTTCATTACCCCCGAGTGGAACGGCTTCAACATCCTCCAAAGGGCTGCCTCTCGCGCCGGCGCCTACGAGGTCGGCTTCGTCACCCCTCCCCCGAGGTTGCCCAGACCAAGCCCAAGATCGTCTGGCTCCTCGGCGCTGACGAGATTGATCCCGCCTCCATTCCCCGCGATGCCTTTGTCGTTTACCAGGGCCACCACGGTGACAAGGGCGCTGAGCTCGCCGACGTCATCCTTCCTGGTGCCGCCTACACCGAGAAGGCTGGCACCTACGTCAACACTGAAGGTCGCGTCCAGTCCACTCGTGCCGCCACCTCTCTCCCCGGTGCTTCCCGGCCCGACTGGAAGATTATCCGTGCGGCTAGCGAGTTCCTTGGTGCCGCCCTTCCCTACGACGACCTCGCCGCTCTTCGCGAGAGGATGGTATCGATCAGCCCCGCCCTCGCTGCCTACGACGTCATCGAGCCCACCGCTCTCCCCCAGCTCAGCAAGGTGCAACTAGTAGACCACAACAAGGGATCTAAGCCCACTGGTCAGCCTCTCAAGCACGTTATTGAGAACTTCTACTTTACCGATGTCATCTCCCGAAGGTATGTACAGACGGACGTCTTTTAGTGGCCCCACGGCCTTTTTGTGTGTATCTATTTGAACTTGACTAACGAACCGTTTCTCTCTCTCTCTAGCTCCCCACGATGGCTCGCTGCTCCGCCGCTAAGGCGACGGGCAACCCCCAAACGAATTTCATGGCGCCCGGTGTAGAGGAGGACAGGCCAATGGGCCAGATCGCTTACGGCGCGTGAAGATCGTGAAGGAGGAAGGAGAAGGAAGAGCTGATGGCCTCGGGGAAATAGACTGTTCATTACTGTGTCGCTCGGGCTGATTGCATTTTTTCCATCCAATGTACATAATGTTTCTCTCGGATTCCGGGAACGGGTAGAGATGGCGAGGTGAAGAAAGTAAAAAGAACTTTTTTTCCAAAACCCAGATGGTATTATCTTTGACCGTGAATAAGTTAACCGCTGCAAACTACGAGGAAATAGGTTTCATTCTTCGGATCAGCTTTTTTTTAATGGCCTCAGTTATGTTTATTATTATTTAGCTTTCAACTACACTCGTCATATTTCACAAAAGATTACTGCCTAGCTCCTATCGTCCTCGGTATAGCGGTTGAGGAAAAAGGCGCGATAATGCTTCTGACGACCAGCCTCAGCAATCCCCTTGACTTCCTCATCCGTAAGCTTGAAGGAGGGGACCTTTTCAATGTAGTTCCTAAGCCTCTCCTCCTTGGAGCTGGTGGTGATGGCCACGACGCCCGAGTCAATGACCCACCTCAAGCCCACCTCGGACTCGGAGACGCCATACTTCTTGGCAAGCTTCTCGTAAAGGGGACCACGGGGCCATCGACATTGCGAACGATGGGGGTGAGGGGTCCGTACGCAGAGGTGGTGATGCTATGCTGGCGGTGGAAGTCGAGGAGGTCGCCGTGCTGGAGGTACGGGTGAAACTCGATCTGGTTGACGGCGGGGATGACGCCACCGGCGGCGACGAGGACCTCGAGGTGTTCGCGGAGGAAGTTGGAGACGCCAATGGAGCGGGCCTTGCCGTCTGCTTTCAGGGACTGGAGGTCGGCCCAGGTGGCGCGGAGCTTGGCGGGGTCGTAGGGGCGAGCTTGGTGCCGGAGTCGCCGCCGGAGAAGGGGTGGTGGATGAGGTAGAGGTCGACGTAGTCGAGGCCGAGCTTGGCGAGGGACTCGGAAAAAGTCTGGGAGGCTGGGTTGGCGTAGGAGGAGTATTTGGTTGTGACGAAGAGGGAGGAGCGGGGACGCCGGATTCGCGAATGGCTTCGCCGAGTTCTGCTTCGTTGCCGTACACTGTAAAGGGGAGAGAGAGAAGGGGGTTGGTGTTAGTGCGTAGGTTGCGCGTGAAGGTGGAAAGATGGGGAATTTTGGACGTACTTTGAGCTCCGTCGAGGTGGAGGAAACCGGTCGCGATGGCCTTTTGGTGAGCTCGATTAGGGACTCATCGCGGGGGCCGCCGCGAGTAGCGCGCGCGGTTCCGAGGCCGTAGGCAAGCTATGCGTCGTGTTAGTCTCTTTATCGTCTTTGCGTCTAGCTCTGTGCGCTTCTGCTTCCGTTGTCATGGCTTGATGGTGGAGGGGTTTGGGAGAGGGGCAAGGTACCGCGGGAATCTCGTGGCCGTCATTGAGCTTGACGGTGGGGATCTTGCTTGCAGACATCTTGAGATCAAGTCCAAAAATATATTGTAATATTCAAGGTCAGGTGTGTGTGGTTAGAAGTTTGAAAGAATCGAGTATTAAAGCTGGTGGCGTTGTTGGGGAATTTTATCTCGAACTCTCGTTGACACACGTCACAACAGCCGACGAGGGACTTATAATGACTACAGCTAACATCTTAGTTTAGACTAGAACTACGAAAGAGCCTTTTACAATTACTAAGAAACACCCCTCCTCAATTTCAACTCGGAAAGTGGGCAAGAGGAAGACACGATGGAGAGAGAGAAAAGAAAAACCGGGGCATCTGGTTTTGTGACGGCGCTTTCTAGTCCGGTTATCCGGGGTGTCTTTGCCAATCAGACACCATTCCATGGAGAAATCGCGTATCTGGTTTGCATGATACAAGGGGGAAATGGATCACCAGGTTCCCGTTTTTGGTCTTTTCTTCTTGGTTTTCCCAAGATGGAACCTGCAGGACAGGAACTGACTAATTCTCAAGCCGGCACCGGAGAGGCCATCGTCGATGTCGAGGTAGAAGAAAAAAATTAGGGGACGTGTTACCAAATGCTCTTGTTCTATTCGCGTGCTGGATAAACCCTCTTCCGTCATCGAGCTTTCGTGGTGGGGGAAGTCGTAGCTAGTGTCGGTTCGAGGCCATTTCAAGGTGAAAAGAGGAGTAGCGCGCCATCGACCAGGGAAACACGACAGCGGAGGCTCGAGGCAGACAACCCGCTCCTTGTCGCTCGTGGTAACGGGCGAAGATGAGAAGCTAGCTGCCGGAATGGCTCTGCGTGATTTCGTGCAAACGCTGTCAGTTATGGCGCATTTTGCTCCCGCTTCCACGTGTGTTTGGCGTGACGTGGGGAAGAGGGGAAAACCTGTACGGTTCTAGTCATACAGTTCAACCCGGACGTGTAGAGATGGCCATTGGCCTAACATAGGGACCCTTTTACTGGTCTGCTATGAGTCGCGATTCAATGAGACGCCGTATTCGGGAGTGTGTGCCTTTTGGACTGATTGCGGGGTTGAGAATCTTGGGAACCTTTTTGATTTGGAGAGTGGCATTCCGTCCGGGCAAAGTACACGAGGGGGAAAGGGTCACTACAACACATCCAAGAAAGATATTAGATCATCTACACCTCAATTCTGCTGCTCTTTAAACCAAGAATATGTGAACGGATGTTAGTCTGAGGAGCAAGTCGACTTTTCGTGAGAACTCAAAATCCTGCGCGCAGGACTCAAGCCAATCAGGGATGGCCCCGGCCCGGTGCCGTTGCTCTTGGGTTCAAATAGAAAGATCGCTTTCACCAGCCACATTCCTTGTGTGGCTTCTCTCCTCAGCCCCTAAAACTCTCCAGACCCACATTAAACCTCACCAGCCTGGAACTTTTTCGCCGACCGCGTTCGACTCCCAAGAGCTGTAGGGGAGATCTCGAAAAGCGACAATTTCAATTCCCCAGCAACGCCAAATTTTCCCACCATGAGCGTTCCGAGAGCGAGGCTCCTTGAGCTTATGAAGGTATGTGTTTGCACGAACCTCAGCTCCTAACCATCCCGAGCCCGTCCAGAGAAGCTAATCGACACCCTCTTGTGGTCTGACTGCAGGCGCAATGCCAGGTCTTCGCGACAGTGTACAACCCCGAGGGTCTCCGACTCGGCAACAAGGTGCTCCGACAAAGGCTTCGAGGCCCAGCGCTTGCGGCGTACTACCCGAAGAGGACTGTATCGGTTAGGGATATCAACAACTCGTTTGGCCCCCACATCGAGACGTGGGATGAGGCTGAGCAGGAGCGACTGGAGCACATTGAAGAGTTCGTGAACCACGCGCTGTGCTAGTTTTTCCATTGAATGTTTACTAACACGCTTGATCAGGGTACACGCCAGAGGCAAGCGCGCTCCTAAGAAGAAGTCGGAACCTCCTGGTAAGTTCAGGTCCCAGCAACGCCCTTTCGTACTGGGGCGGGCCGTTAGCTAATGCGCAATCTTTCATAGCGGCGCCGACGAGGAGAAAGTAATTTGGACCATCGGTCTCGCACGAAAACCACCAAAAATTGTACAATAGTCCACGCCGGGTTCGATAGACAGTCTTCGGATATGATGTATACATAGATGTTCCAATGCAGATGAAAACTGCGTGTCGCAGCATTTCCAGACCAGCAGTGCTTGCGGCATTGACGTGACTCTTTGATGGCTCTTCCAATCCTCGAATGCTTAGATACCCGGTTCCCCACTGTCGAGATCTCTTCATCTGGGTCCTTGCAGTGTAAATCTATCTTCTGCCAGCCTGTTGAAGCCAACCACTACGACTCCATACGGAAGGAGCAATAAGTGTTTGGAATTGCAGAGGCTTCACCCTTTCCTGGTCGCGGAAGTTGCCCTTCACACTGCTCCAGTCCGCCATCATCGTTCCTTCTTTATGAAAAATGCACTCTTTCAACCCTCCTTCTACCCTTTCTTGCTCCACTAGTAAGAAATAAAAGTATCCTCTGCTTTCTCTCCTTTGCCTCCCACCTCTCTCCTTTTCTCACTTCATCTACTCATCTTCTTTGTTGTGGATTCTATCTTGTTTTTCCCAAGATCTTGTCTTGTCGTAAGACCTCTTTGCCCAGACAAACAATCATCTTCTTTTCACAGCTTCCCACCCATCCTCCTCCTAGGTGGCATCTAGCCTATCGACTAGAGTTTAAATCCTGTGGATCTCTATTGACTACAATTTATAGCCCTTATTTGTTTGGCAGGCTAAGATGGCCGACCAAGGTCTCCCAAGTCCCTCTTTGGGCGGCCCTATGTTTCTAGGCCCAGCTTCCGAGAAACATACGAAGCGACAATTCTCGGCCACTATGAACACCAAGGTATGTACCAAGGCACAGGCTCCAGCTGGGGCATGCATTCACTCCCTCTACCAATGGAGCCTCTACTTGGACTTAGCTTAAGCTATTTGTTCCCACCTAGTATTGGATAGAAAGCTCACTCATCTTGTCGCAGGATAATGGGCAGGCCAAGTTAATTGACAATTCTGCTGCTACACGTATGAATATTAGGGCCCCTAACCAAGGCGGAGTCAAGGTATTTTTGTTTTCCATTTGATAAATCACGTCTTGAGATTTGGGTCTAACTCGAATGAAGATTACGAACAATCAGGAAAACATTCCACTGTTTGAGCCAACCCCGATGGATCTCCTCATGGCTAAACTTGACCAGCATCGAGAGACCATTGCGCAGCAGCACGATGCTGTCAGCAACCGTAACGCTAAAAGCCCTGATAAACTCTTGGTTCATGGTCCCTTGAGTAGTTCTGTCCCGGTCACTCCGGCCACCGAGCTCCCCATCGACTAGTCCCGCAATGATTCCCCGGCCTTCGAGCGCTGCCACAATTCGCACTGCTAATGAGGAGGTCCTCAAGCTCAAGCTGCAATTGGCTGAGGCTGAGGCCAAAATTGACGTTCTCCAGAATCGCACAGGAGTGTCTCCCCTGCCCATGCCGTCTGAGCAGATGCACATCTCAAAGCCTCTGGCTGGTGTGGCGGCTCCGTTTTTGAAGGATAAGTTAGCCGTTTGGAGTCAAGCCCCGGCTGTCACTGAACGGTTCCCTAGCATGCAGCGGGAACGTCTCACCCCCGGTGCCCCCTGGGTGAACCCTTTTTGCCCTCTGCCCGAGGTGGTGTAGCCCCTATGGCTCCTGTCCCGGACATGCCCATGGTCCCTTCCTGGCTTCAGCAGGCTGGAAGTGTCCCTGACCCAGCCGCAAACCAATACGGGTTGATGGACCCTTACCGCGGTCCTGAGAGGCTTACCCCCGATCCTGAGATGACGATGCGTCCCCCTTCGAACCGTCGTGGTGGTCGCTATGGAGGCAATCGAAACTTTACTGCCAATCCCTTCATTGGCGGGTATAATAATTCAGATATTGGGCACCACGGTCCACCTCTCGGTCAATTTGGCGGTGCTGGAGCGCTCATCCCAAGCCCGAGCCCTCTTGGTACCCGCCTATTTCCAACTAGCTTTTCGAATAATCAGAGTCCGGTGCCGCTCTCGCCCCATGCGGTTGAATTTACCTCTGACCGCAACTGGAAGAACGAGGTAGGTCAAAGGAGACCCCTTGAGATTACCACCGGCTTTTTCTCCTTGATCCGCTTCAATGCTAACGCGCAATATAGGGTAACTGTTCCGATGGCACAACCTACCTCCCACCCACGGAGCCTCTGAATTATCGACGGCTTCTTGATAAGAATGTTAGCTGCAACTGGCAGTACATTGTCGATAAGATTGTCTGCAGCAACGACCAACAGGCTTCCATATTTTTGCAGCAGAAGCTAAAGGTTGGCACCTCGGAGCAGAAATACGCCATCATTGATGCTATTGCCTCTCAGGCATACCCCTTGATTGTAAATCGCTTTGGAAATTTCCTCATTCAGCGATGCTTTGAGCACGGGACACCTGACCAAGTGGCTCGGATTGCGGAAGCAATTCGAGGCAACACGGTCAAGCTTTCTATGGACCCTTTTGGTTGTCATGTCGTTCAAAAGGCATTTGATGCCGTCACGGAGGATTATAAAACGGTCATGGTACATGAGCTCCTGCAGCAAATCCCAGAGACGGTTATCCATCGTTATGCCTGCCACGTCTGGCAGAAGCTATTTGAGCTTCGCTGGGTCGAATCCCCGCCCCAAATTATGGCGTACGTCAACGAAGCCCTTATCGGAATGTGGCACGAGGTTGCGCTTGGGGAAACGGGCAGTCTGGTTGTTCAAAACATCTTTGAGAATTGCCGCGAGGAAGACAAGGTATGGTTTTTCTTTTTTCTTCTTTTTTTCTTTTTGCGCTTTCCTCCTTGGTGACGGGAACACCATGCGAACCGATTCTAACGCTCTTTTGTCTCTGTGTAGCGCCCTTGCGTTGAAGAGGTCCTCGCTAATATTGACTTGGTTGCCCACGGCCAATTTGGCAACTGGTGCATTCAACACATTTGCGAGCATGGTGCACCAGCCGATCGCGGACGGGCTGTCGACCACGTTATTCGCTATGCCATGGAGTATAGCCTCGACCAGTTTGCCTCGAAGGTTGTGGAAAAGTGCCTCAAGGTTGGAGGCAACCAGTTTTGTCAGCGATATCTGGACCAGATTACCAAGCGAGACGATGACCGGCCCCGCCTGCCCATTATTGACATCTCGGCGGATCAATACGGCAACTACCTGATTCAGTGGATCATTAACAATTCCCAGGATCCGCAGCACGTAGAAACCGTTGTTGCCCATATTAGAAAGCACATGGTCTCGCTGCGTGGATCCAAGTTTGGCTCCCGAGTGGGCATGCTGTGCACAAACCCAGCCAGCGCAACCCGACCCGGCCCGGGTGCTGGACCGGGTATGGGAGGAGGCCGTCACGGCAGTAGATTCGGAAACGGTCCCAACTACCGTTAGGGAAGGAGGCGCTAGGAAGGGCGACAGTTTAAACACGCGCCCCTTCCTCAGTTAGCAAGCGATTGGGGCTGATCATCTATCCGTTTCTTTTTCTTGTTCTTTTTCATCTTGCTTTTAACCACCATTTTACATTTTCGACAAGTAATGTTCAGGTTCGGAGTCATCCTACGCTCGGCTACCCTTTACATCTTTTTTTCTGAGGGGCCACCAAGAGTGCGTTGGACACACTCGATGATTGTTTCGTTTTTGCGATACAGTTGAGAATGGTGTTTGGGGCGTGGCGGATGCTCCCTGCTCCCGGAAAAGTGGGCAACGAGTGAAAGGCATCGCGGTACGTCGTTTCCTTTTTCTCCTGAGCTTTGACATTTGTTTCTTTTATTGTTTTACTATGAAAGAGTTGATTCTAACGGGTTAGGAGCAGTCGAGATATCAAATCTCTTTCTCACGATAGTATCGTAGCAGATATATCTTAGGTCGCGCGGCAGATAGGGTGTATGGCGTTGGCAGCTGCCTCCTGGTCACTCCCTGGAAGATTGACAACAGCTTCTATCACTTTGTTTTTTTCTTTTCTTTTCTCTTCTTACACACCTAGTACACGAACCTTTGCAAAGATTAAGAGACGTCATGGTATAAGTTTCATAGGCAACAAGAGGTAGCGGCATGGAGATGGAAAGGGCGACGTGTCTTGCATGATGGTGGACTAGTTGGCGAGCACGTAACCTTTAAGGGAGTCTTGATGCCGTTATGGCTGTTGAAGTGCCAGAGATTGTCTTAAGTCGAGTCAATAATACATTTGATTTACTCACGTGCTCGGATACTGTGAGGAAAAGGTCTGAGAAAGAGTAAAATTACAAGGGCGCGCATCTACGTGTGTAGACAGCACTCGCTACGTGGAGTTATCTGATGTTATATCTAGTTTTCTCACGTCGGGCAGTTCTGGATTCTCCTGATCCTTTGCACCCGTTTCCGTAGTATCTCCGGCTGGCGATGGCTGCTCCTTTTCTAGTGGAGGAAACTCTTGATCGATAGCGGGAGTGGCGAAGGGCGAGGCGGATTCCTCGGGGTGGGCTGGGGGTGAGGCGAATTCGGACTGTGCGTTTCCGGCCTTTTCCCAAGGTTTCCTCGGGGCGGGCCCCTGGCGCCAAAAGGTTTTGCGGACTACTCAAGATGTGAGAAGGGTGGATCGAATTTTGGCGTAGAATACAAGTGGGCAGGCTGAGAAGAAGGGGAACAAGGGGGTTCATGGGTGCGGATAGACTGGAGAGAGACTTACGGGATCGCGAATGACTGTTTCGGGGATTTCACGGACACCAGGCACGGGAGGCCTTCTTTGATGCAGCGAATCAACTCAGCAAAGCGGGAGGGATAGGCAGGGCCATCGGAGGAGGAAAGGTCGACCTGGTCGGCGGTCTGCTTTGAGCGGTCGATGAAGAGCTCGGCCTTGGGGGCGGCGGATTGCCAGGCGGGGCGGGAGGAGTCGGGCAGGTCTTCCGCGGCGGGTTGGTTGGAAGGGGCGGCAGCAGCACTGGCGGCGTCGGGTTGCGGTTGGCGAAGGGAGGCGAGGATGAAGGGGTCCGGGGAAGGGTGGTCCGGGTGGGCGGCGAGCCAGGTGGCGTACTGGTCGGCGGAGACGGGGATGCCGATGATGCGGGTGAAGTAGGCGGAGCGGACGAAGCGGATTCTGTTTTGGTCGGGGGTGTGGGGGAGGTGGAGATGCTGGCGAGGAGGGTCTGTATACCGAGGTATGTACTTTGTTGTTAGCGACTAGGGTGTTGTTTCAATTTTTGGGACTTTATGGTTGAAAGAACAAAGCCTCGAGGGGAGAAAAAGGGAAACTTGCGAGAAACTTTTCGTCTTTGGTCCAGGGATATGTGTCGAAGGCGATGAAGGTTCGGTCGTCTGGTTGTTGGGGCTCTGGAGCTTGGGATGCCGAGGTTGGAGGGGTAGGAGCGTCCATGGTGGGGTGTGTAGGGCGGAATCGTGGACTGGGCGGCGGGTTGTTGATATGGTTATGCGCCTTACTTTTTGAATTCTATCGTGTATTGGAAATGGGAGAATAAAGGACGAGTTCTTGCGGGCGAAGTTTGAGACGTTGGAGGATATGGAAGGGATGCGAAGGGGAGGGTAGGTAAGAGTGAGTGAGAGGTGAAATGAACTTCGGAGGTTTGAAGTGGGGACCGAGGAGCTTCGCGCGGCCAGCACTCGAAGCGTAGTCGTGCGCCGTTTAGCGGATGCGAAGTGTGGAGCTATCTGGGCAAAGGAATGGGGAAAAAGCAGAGGTTTACGAATAATACTATGCTAACTAGGCGAGTTTGAACAAAGTTTTTTCTTCATTCTTCCCAGGGTCAGGTTGGGCAAGCATCGGCCTGGCGGTTTCGCACGTGGGGAGGAGAAGCCAGGACGTGCGATGGGGCATCAACGTCGACGTCAACGTGTACCTTGAAAAACTACACGCAAGGTCTTGTGGGTGATTTCGGATCTCATTTACCGCTTCGGGGGAAGGGAGCATCACCTGAAAGATGAGTTTGGTATTGGCACGAGCAAGAGGGAGAAAAACACCACAAGCAAAGATGGACGTTTTGTCCCTCGGCATCTTTTTCCATTACTTTTGAAGAGTCTCAACAACACGGACCGTATGTAACCTAGATTAGTGTCCGATTCGTGAGAAACTATCAAAGAGTTGCCCCAAGCTAGTCGTTGAGTGCCGGCTTGAATAGACATGATATATCCTTGGACCTATCTAGACGTTGCTGCCGGGGCATTAAATCTCAAAGAGGTCGCCGCAGGTCGCTGCGGGATTCGGTCGGGGCCGGCCACGCCATCGTGGAGGCGGCCCGCCTTCGCACGCTCTGTTTCAGGATGACTTGGTCATCGTAAGCTCCCCGATGATGGGAATTCCCAGAGACAGAAACCTCGGGAATGGGGGTTTGGGGGTTTGGGGGTCCAAGTCTTTCGGCAGGCAAATGGAAAAACGGCCAGCTGGAGCCTGGGGCGGCACATGGGCGAGAGAGCCAGACCCAGTGGCCACATCCCCGCCTCGCCTCAACCTCTGCGCCTGGCAGCACGCCAACCTCCGCTTCCCCATCAAGGCAGGCCCCAGCCACAGGGCCTTGGTTGTACATGTAGTGACTGTGTAGTGACATTATGCGCTGTCTCGGAAGCTGCTGCCAATCGTGGGGATTGCTTTTGGGGGTGCAGCGCCCCAAATTCATTCTGTTTGGTGGAAACCAGCCCCATTTCCTGTCGGAGGGCCGAGCCGTCGCCTCAAGTTTTTCTCTGGACAAACGCACACTCTCAACCTCTCCCAAGCCACTGGAGCAGTCTCTCTTCGACACTACCTGGGTCGCACTCAAATCGATACATTGTGCCGCCGTAGATTAAACTCTCCCAAACATTCAAATCCCCCCCGGTTTCCTCTTTTCGAACCTCGTTAATACAAACTATCCTCTTGGCCCGCCCGCTCCCAGCCCGCCGTCTCACTAGCGATTATTACTCCCTTTTTTTAATTTATTATTGGGCTACGAGAAAAGGCAACGTCTACGTTCTAACCAACAAAAAATACCACATCGCCTCCAACGCTCTCCTCTCCCCCAAATTCCTTCTCCAACCCCATCCCCCACCACACACCAACAATCCAGCCCCCAATGCATCGCGTCGCGGTCCGGGCTCTGCGACGAAAACCCTTGCTTCAGCCCACTACCGCCCTCCTCCGCACCTCTTTTATCCGCTCGTCTCTCGTGCGCTCCGCCGCCCGTCGACCCTTTACCTCCCAAGGGCCTCTCCTCGCCCTCCGCCCTTCGGGCCCCTCGACCTCTGCCTCCGCCTCGTCCCCCTTCGAACCTCGCGGACCCGACCCGAGCATGCCATCGAGCCTCTAAGGTCCTCAATGTACATCCGCCGCTTCTCCGTCGCCCTCGTCTCCACCCTCGTCGGCTACGGCGCCTGGTACAGCTACAAGGGCGGCAACGAAACCTCGCCCGCCTCCGCCGCCTCCCTGACGAGGAGCTTCTCCAGCAGCTCCACCGCCGCCGCCGACGCCGCACTACCCACTAGGACTGTTCTCGTCATCGGTGCCGACGAACTCAGGACCGGCACCATTGTCGGCGACGGACCCCTCACCAAGTACAGCAACGAGTATGGGAGGCAGGTCATCGAGATGTTGAGCTCAGACCAGGTCGACGACAAGCTGCGCGAGACCGAGCAGTCGTACTTTGTCAACAGGGGCCAGGGCGTCGTCCGCTACGACCTCGTCCAGCTGCCCAGCAACAACCCCATCGAGGACGACCACGCCGAGAAGATTGTCGAGGTCCCCAGCCGTTCTAGCGGCAAGGATGTCGGCCCTACGGATTGGATGTTTTGGGGCGTCTTTGACGGCCACTCGTGAGTCCCCTCTTTTTTTTCTCTTGTTTCTTTTTCTTTGCGTTCTCTAATCCCTTTGTGTTCTTTGCTACAGTGGTTGGGTCACCTCGGCCAAGCTTCGCAACGAGCTGATCCAGTTCGTCGCCCGCGAGCTCAACGACACCTACATCGCCGCCAACGGCAAGATCCCCGACGACGCCGCCATCGACGCCGCCATCAAGACGGGCTTCACCCGCCTCGACGACGAAATCGTCCACAAGAGCGTCGAAAAGGTCTTCAAGCAAAACTCCAAGACCCTCGCCGCCGAGGCCCTCGCCCCCGCCCTCGCCGGCTCCTGCGCCCTGCTGTCCTTTTACGACGCCCGCTCCCAGCAGCTCCGCGTCGCCGTCACCGGCGACTCCCGCGCCGTGCTCGGCCGCCGCTCCGACTCGGGCAAGTGGACCGCCACCGCCCTCTCCGTCGACCAGACCGGCAGCAACCCCGAGGAAGAGGCCCGCATGCGCGCCCTCCACCCCGACGAGCCCCACGTCATCCAGCACGGTCGCGTGCTCGGCGGCCTCGAGCCCACCCGCGCCTTTGGCGACGCCTCCTACAAGTGGACCCGCGAAGTCACCGACCGCCTCAAGAAGCACTTCTTCGCCCGTTCCTCCAACCGCCTCCTCACCCCGCCCTACGTCACCGCCGAGCCCGTTGTCACCACCACCCAGATCCGCCCCGACAAGGGCGACTTCCTCGTCCTCGCCACCGACGGCCTCTGGGAGATGCTTACCAACGACGAGGTCGTCGGCCTCGTCGGCCGCTGGATCGAGACCCAGCAGGCCCAGACCGCCTCCACCTCCCAGTTCGACTCCCTCTGGGCCCGCATCTTTGGCTCCTCCTCCTCCTCCCCCAAGGACCTCCCCGTCGAGCGCGGTCCCGCCCCCACCGCCGACGACGGCTCCAAGACCCCCATCCGCCTTCGTCAGTGGGGCATCTCCCCCGACGACAAGGGCCGCTTCATCACCAAGGACAACAACGTCGCTACCCACATTGTCCGCAACGCTCTCGGCGGCAAGAACGAGGAGCAGCTCTCGGCTCTCTTGACCCTCCCCTCTCCCTTTTCCAGGCGTTATCGGTACGTGTCTTGTCTCCCTTTGCCCCTGTTTCCTTTTTTCTATATACTCCGTAACTAACCTTTCTTTCTCTTTCTTCTCCCCAGTGACGACTTGACCGTGCAAGTCATCTTCTTCGGCGACGGCGAAAAGACGGGCGAGGTCACCCTCAACCTCGACGCCACCGCCAAGTCCAACGAACCCCTCAAGGCCAAGCTCTAAGTCCCTCCCCCTCTCGTATCTCCTCCCGCGGGGTGACGGATTTCCCTCTCCCCCCTCTTCATCGTTTCTTCTTGCTCCTTTCTTCTTTCCCTCCCTGAAAGAAGTTGGAAAGAAAAAGAAAAGAAATTCCGTGTATGCGTGTCCCTCCAACCCTTGTGTGTAGCGCTCCTCGCATATGCATCCCTTTTTTTTCTCTCTTTCTATTGGGCTCTTCTCAATATCGATTGGAACCACGGCGGCGTTTCTCGGGAGTATCACTTTACACGTTACTACCGGCTGTACACTTTTTTCCATCTTCCTCTTTTGCGTTTCTCGTTTGTTTTACTTTACATTGTTTCTCGCCTTTTACTTCAGAGTCAGTGCGGGACAAGAAGAAGAACGTGGCATGAGCCTCGCTTCATCTGCCCTCGCCCTGCTTTGGAGCAAGGTGAAAAGAGAACTAGGGCAGAGATAGAATACCCCTCAAATTCCATACCTTTGTTGAAAAACAGCTTGTGACTCTCTTTTTATTACTGTCCGCCATGCCCATCACACCACTAGATAGGTGTTGGCTATTTGGTCTATGCTCTCCGTGGCCCCCTCATTTTCCAGAAAAGATCCGCCATCTCTATCCGTATTCGTCGCTCTACCTTTTCGAGAACTAATGGCTCCAAGGTGCCTCTACCGCCACTCAATGGGTGCCCACAAAACCTTGGCCTCCACGCTCGGTCTCATTCTAGACGCATACCTCTAAGACTTAACTCTGGGTAAAGATCCAAACGCTTACCCTATCCTTCATAGCCGCAAGCGCGTAAGAGACCTTCCGGGCTGAAAGGGAAGGAGGGTGATAGGTCTAACATGAAGGGTATCGTGAAATAAATAAAAATGCTCCAAACGTAGGATAGGAAATAGAACATAGAAAATAAAACATAGGAAATGGCACCCTCCCGCCTAGAACTAGAGGGGAAACGAAAGAGAAAAGTTATACGTCGTCCTTGGGCCACAAGAGTTCCCTCCTCTTCAGACACCGCAGCATGGTGAAAAAGATCATGAGCCACACGACAAGAAGGACCCCGGCCATGACGGTACCGAAAAGTTTGAGCCCTTCGCTAGAGAGAATCTTTCCCAGTGACTGGGTCGCCGTAATGAGGGCTGTGTTGGGAAAGACGAAACTCCACCATGTCATGCGAAAAGGCATTGTGCTCCCGGGGCGGACATACTTCCATAGCGATCCGACCGAGACAAGGAAAACCAAAATGCAAGGCCCCACAGCCAAAGGCCGGCTAGGACTGCCAATACTCGAATGATAGAGACGGCATTCTCGGCACCCAAAAAGTCTTGGGGAACGTAAAAGTCGGCATATATGGCAAGTTGGACTAAGCGACCCCATGTTAGAGACAGATACACGGCACGGTCAGTAGTGACGATGGTTTCTCATACCAATCCCATTTACGGTGAAAGCAAAGGGTCCAATGGATATGAACTAGAGGCAGATTGGATTAATATAAGAGCCCCCAGTGAAAAGACAACGACGGCTGCTCTTACCACACCGGGACGTTGAAAGTCCCTAGGAAGCTTTTGTGTCATCAGACGGTATATGAAAGCAGCCGATATCATGAATGCAATAAGGCACCCCGTCCCCTGCGTCGTGAAACCTCCAAGAGCCACGGCTAGCGGATCAATCAGAAGCTCTTGGTTTGTAGCTACCGCGCCACCGAGAAGGCATGCAGCAAGTGTACCGTTGAGAAGCATAGGATATGCCGGAAAGACCCACGTGGGCGTCATCATATGAATTGGAAATACCCTATGAGGCCCCAATTTTGTGTTGTCCCTTGTTAGAATGTTTTTGGGCCTCCACGCAAAGCACAGCGGGGAGTGGGCTAGTCATAGCACTTACAGCGTGGACCACAAGGTCAAGTACATCACGGCGCTTGCTACTACGCTAACCGTCAAGTAAACCCAGAAGAGAATCTCCATGGCACGAAGGAGCCAGACGCCTGTCTTGGGAAGTCCATACTGGCAAACATTCATGAGAATGATTGCAATGCTGTATAGAGATGCCACGTTAGATGTCAAACATTGGCCACTCTCTCGATCCCTTAGAGTCACTGGGGGAACAGGATGACAGAATTCCTTACGAGACAAACTAAGAGAAGACGTCAGTCACTAGAAGCGCTACAGATATCTCCAAAGGATTGACTCACAAATGAGGGAATGAACAGAGACTCGACCTGGTCGACAAAGGAACTCGTAAAAGACCCCGGTCTCATGCAAAACCTCATTGTGATGAGAATGCAATTTAGGATGAATAAGATCAGGTTTAGCATCACAAATGCCACTCCGATACCATCGAGCCATGCGGCGCGGTATGGTACTAAAAACTCTATTAGATTATGAAAGCGGCATCAGGATTTCGTGTAACAACTTACTCGACGACAAGACGCTAGCCATGCCTCCCGTCGCCTTGAATTCAACGTCAGTCAAGTCTGAAAAGAAACTGAGGTGCGTGAGGATATCACACTCATACCATCGTCTAAGTAGTCGGTTAGCAGGCCTTTTTCTCTCCCAAGGAAGCCTTTAGCATACTTCGGGTTACATACCATAGTGAAAAAGCTCCAGTTGTAGCAAGCGATCCTGTCCCGAATGCTGACAGCCCCAGCCTTTGGCGGTCGGCTAGAGACGTGCAGCAGCTCATCCAAGCTAGGATGCACATCTTCCTGGTCGCGAAATACATGCGCGGCATTGTCAGTTTCTTGCCTTCGAAGAAATGAAGTGAGGCGCAAAATCTGGGGCCGCAGGCGTGCTGGCGCGGAGGACACGGAGGGCTGCGGGAAATATCGCTGGGTTTCTTCAGTGGGGGTCTGGTAGCCGGTGGTCGCAGCTGCTGCTATTGGAAGTATGGGCGGGGATTGGTGAGATGAGTCCATTTTCTAGGATCCGAGTCGTCTGCTGAGGCACCAAGAACCCTCGTCACGATGTAAATGACGGGAATGATGGACTGGTGGTCATGGCCGAGGAAGAGGTCGTGAACGTTGACGAGATAAAGAAAAAAATTATGTGCTCGATAAAGACAGAGCCAATGTCTGTGAGGGCCATTTGGCGCTATTATGCCTAGGCGTCGAAGCCGGCGCTTCGTTGCCGAGGGTTGCCCGGGTGGGGGTGGAACTGCGGATCGGAGGTGGCGGTTGGGAACCAAGGAGGTGTCGGGTAAGACAATGATTGGAGGTGCAGGTGGAGAGGCAATCTGACCAAAGGTGCATACAGGATTGTCCCAAGATGGGTCAAAGTAACCGGCGGGGTTTCCCAGCACTCGAGACGCACGTTGCCAAGGTGGCGGCGAGGGCGTCGCAGGGAGAGGCGGGGAGAAGCAGGTAGGTGTGTAGGGCAGGGTGAACGGAGGACCAAAAGCAACAAGATCAATTTGATTCTCGATCCCGCTGAAGGCCCCTCCAAGCAGCAGTCGTAGCTCAAGGGTGCGTGGAGAAGGGGTATAGGAGAGAACGTTCCGCGAGCCTGACTATCGCTCTATCACTCTCGTACTCGCCGGAGAGATCCAAGGAAGTGAGATCGACACACGATTCCTGCTCGATCATTGTTCAAACTTGGTGGCAGAAATTGGGCGCCGGGAGACTGTGAAGCACCAGACCTGGTGGGAGTGGAGGCAGGTACAAACCTGACGAAGAGCACGGTCTTGTGGACGGTGAAGGGGCTGAGAAGGGGGCACTTTCTCGTACATTATACGTCATTCCTCAGTAGCTTGTGACTCGTCGTCCACCACCGTCGAAGGAATCATTGATCTAATGTGTGGGGTCGACACTGTGACTTTTAGGCCCGCTTAGTGTGAGGACCTACTGCATCCAGCATGTACGCTTGATCGAGTGCCAAGGCTTGGTAAGTGCTGGAGGCGCGAATAGCGCAGCACTGAGCAAGCTTAAAAGCCTGATGAACTGGTTCAAAGATTACAACAAACGTATGGATTGCGCTTTGGTGTTGTCAAGGCTAGCTTTCTTAATTATTTTTAAAAGTCACCAAGGATTCGATTTTGGGCACCATATGGAAACATTTCAAGAATCCATGGATATATTTGATTGCCGTGACGACTCGCCCAAGAAGTAGTAACATCCTTCCGCAGATCCGGGAAGGATATGCCGCCTTTGGGCCGAAAAAGTGAAGAGCGAGAAAAAACTTTCAAGCAGCGCAGGGTTTCTCTTTCCTTCTCTTCCCGAGCGATGGGTCCCATGGGTCCTGCCCCTCCCCCGCGAATGTACCGTGGAAAGCGCAAGGGACAAGCTTGACAAGCTTGTGAAGAGATCCGTTGATACTACATCCTCCCCATAGCTGTCTTCGATGTCTAAGGGACTAGCCACCTTCCAGGTTACAGTTCCCTTTTCGTGCTCTCACTGATTTCTAGGAGACCCCCAATATCTGCGTCAAAAATCGTGCGATGACGGCTTTCTTATGAGCTTTCGCCATTCAACGCCAGAAGTACGGGCGGGCCAGCCACCAACTCCAGCGGGTTCCGCAAATTCGGAATGGTGGATACGTGCGCTACTTCAGCGTCAGCCTTCCGAGACACGGACTTCTCCGCCATCGCACTGGGGGCACTCGATGTAAGAAGCAAAGATGGTAGCTTGTGTGCCACGGCCGTTACCACTTTGATCGTGCGGCTGCCTTCTGGACATCCAAAGGAAATCAACGCCTCAGAGCTCCAAGAGTTGGTAACTTCTGAGAAGCTTTTCGTCTCGGCTGCCCGCGACTGCATCTTTACTTTGTGTCTAGTAACTTGGGAGGCGGCAAGTTGGCCGAGGGACACCCAAGATGGCTCTTTTGAATTCACGCAAACCATCTTCCATATTGTAGAAAACCTAGGCGTGCGTTCTATTTTCACACTCACACGCACAGAGGTGGAGTTTGGCCGCGGAGAACTAACATGAATCTGGTTCTTATGCATCATTTTAGTTATGGCGCAAGATAGATCTATGCCTTCGACCAGGTCTTAGGGCTTCTTCTTGTAGCTGCTCCTCTTTATCCACGGTATTTGGTATTGAGTATATGTCGAGCGAGTCTGTTCAACCGTACAAAGCATCCGTGCCACTCGCAGAACTTGTGAATATCCACTGCGCCCTAGATTTCGCTCAACAAGTAATTCGATGCCCAAAGCGAGAATGGAGGTTAGATGCCGTTGTAACTGTAGAGCCCTCGAGGGACGGGCGTGACAAGAGACCTAGACGGCGAAGAGACGACTCAAAACGGTAAGAGGCCATCTTCCAGACACTCTTATAAAATACTGACTGCAACCGGCTTAGGACCAGGGGACATTTCATCAAGGAAAATCCACAGCCTGCTATTCCCACACCCTCTGAATCAAACGTTGCGATACAAGGACTGAGGCCGGATCCCGGAGCTCTCAGTGTGCACCCAGATCTAGAATGCACACTTTCAGCTTTGGTAGAGCATCTGATACTGGGTACGCGCTCTCAAAGTGTGCAGATATCGGCAGAGTCACGGACTTTCCCACTTGCACACATAGCCCCTGCTATTTTCAATTCACAAATGCTAAAGGTTGCAACCACCATCTTGGATCTCCCATCGACGTGCGCTGACGAGTGTGTTGGCTCTAGTTGGCCGAGAACCGGATGCGTTTTGCCCACGTGGCAAACCAAACCATATCATATTTTGCGGCCGCTGCTATCAGCACTGAGTTACGGGCAAAGATGCAGACTTTGCGAAGAGACACCGGGCAAGATGACATTTCGGATGCCAGTGGTGGGCACGTATATGCCAAGTTGCGACTTGTAGCTTGCGCCCACATGCGACCCGAACGTCCTAAGGCGAAGACCACGCCTTGTGAAGCGTGTGAGAGCTCGACGACATCTAGGATGCAACCGCGAAACCTCTGGGGTGCGGACCTCCGGGAGCCACAGCACCCGCGCGTCGCAGACCATGCATGCCATCGAACAACAGAATTGACCTCTCTCCGAGATCAAGGTGATGGAGAAGTGAGAGGTGATGGGTCATTTCGAACGTCGAGCCGCCCTCAACTTTGCTCGGTTCAAGAAGGACCGTGTAATGATACAATTTCTCAACACAGCAGACAAAGGAGGGACCCTTATCTCAGTCACCCCGATATTTCGCGAACAGGTCTTGGATCTCATGGCGAGGAGCAGTTGGATTATGACGCTTTGTACCCGCCACAAGAAGCCATCAAGCCAACGATAAGTGGCACTAGCAATACTCAGACGGGAGGTAGTGCAAGTCCTTATCACCGAGACCCCATCTGGAATGAGTGGGATTGGTAAAACAATGTGCACGACTGGGAAATGCGATCGAGGCGCAGGGGTGTCTGACAAGTTGAGGCTCTATTGTCCACATTCTCATTCCCTGCAGATACAGCAGGGCGGAAGCGGGTTTGAGTATCTCCTGGCTATCCTTTCTTTATAATATGCCTATATACAGCCTTGCCGACGAAAAAGAAAAGAAGAAGATTCTAAACTGATGAATGATATATGACGAATAAAATTAGGGGCAAAGGCGCAAAGGTAATGGCTTCCCCGGAAAAAAAGAAAGGAAAGAAAGAAAGAAAGGTGTTGGGCACTCTTCTTCCAATCCATATACTTCGATAGACGGTCAATGTCCAACCTCCTGGTCCGCGTAATCTCCGAACCAATTCCCACCCCAAGCAGCAGCATTGAGCGGATGTAGGTGCATAACAACGTCCCTAATTCATCTCTCTCCCATCTCACATCCGATGCTAGAGTGAATTCTGAGTCTGCATCGGAGGTACTCAGGTCATCGTTGTGCAACAACGACTACCCCTCAAGTCCCTGTCGTAAAGAAGGGCTGATTTAATACCGTTCAGATAAAAAAATAAATGGTAATGTTGAGTATCGGCCAAGCTCTGGACCAGCAGCGATTCGACGCCGTCGGGCCTGACAGGTCTCACAACAAGCCCGGCAAGGATGTTGTCTTCTTAACGCCGCAACGCTGCGGGAAGAAGCCCTTGACTCCGGCACCTGACTTCTTGTCGGCTGGTTTCGCATCCTTCTTCTTCTTCTGCTCGGGTTTTAAAGTGGCGAAGTGGATGTACCATAGAAGAACGCCCTGGAGGATAAGAGTGACGAGGACGACGAGGAGGATGGTGAAAAGGATGGGCTGGTCGTTCAAGACCATGATGGCCTCTTCGGTGGCGCCAAGAGTACGAAACCAGGTGAACTGCTCGCCTCCGCCGGTGATGGGCGCGTTGCCGCTCAAGTCAACAGGTCCGCTCATCGTGACTGTGGTGTTTTGGGTGAGAGATGGAGAGTGGAAGTAGGATCGATAATGCTGATGAGATCAACGAAGGAAAGCTGAGGCAGCACGATGGCGCGGGATCGGGTTCGGATATCGTCTTTTCGTGGTTATACGTAGAAATCGCCTCGGAGCAAGCTCACTGAGGAAAGTCGAAAAGCAAACTGGGTATATAATTTTTTTAAGAGAGAAACAAGAACGAGAGATGGGAGTGAAGAACCAAGTGCACCAGTCACCAGTTTTCGAACCAAAGAAAGAAGGAAAAAAGGCCGGCTCGTGAGAATTGGAAGAGGAATGGAGGCGGGAGAGAATGAATGGACGAAGAGACGAAGGAAGAGGGAAGGGAAAGGGAGGAAGAGAGGGAAGTCAAATGTAAGGGAGGTCGATCATTGTTGCCCGTCGGAGATATCTCGAAACGGGGGCGTCACAGTGCACCCAATGGGGGAGCGCCGTCCAGGCGCTTTGGGGTTGCCATGATGGGAGCCCAGGCGTTTCAAAGTTGCAGCAGAAATGGACTGATGTTGGGAAGTCCCTGATTGGCCCCTATAGCCCACGTCCATGCAAATCAGTTCTAGACCGCGGCCGTCGCAGAGATACAAGGCCCTTGAAAATTACTATTTTTGATACAGGTCGGTTCTCGCAGAAGAGACAATGAGGAATATTTCGTCAGCCTTTGTTTTTGACCCTTCCCCTTCGAGCAAGCCCGCGAGGTCGAGGTTGAAGGCGCACAGGCGCTGTGCACAATGGCAGGTCGGGGTTTGACAAGGGATTTTAGTAGGAGTGAGCTCTGACGCAGGAACGAGACGGACACAATGCCCCTAAGCGACAACGCCAGCCACTCAGAAACCCCGGACCCTGGCTTGGCCCACTCCCGCTGTTCTTTGACGGATTGGCTTATGTCACCAATGCCATCTCCCTAGAATTTCATGCCTCAGGCTCCGAGTATTGGCAAGCTTCCGAGTTAGGAAAAATGTCAGCTTTCCGACGAATTGCTTGCCGCAGAGCCAGCCAAAAAAATTTGAAGATTTTGTGTCGAACGACGACGCGACGGATCAACGCATCCACGCATCCACACGCTCCCACCCTCCCTAAAACGTAGCAGACGAAGCAGAGCGTAGAGCTAGCTACCCGAGGAAGCGAGTGAATCTTTTTCTATCCGCTCGCTCGATCACAGCTAAGCTATGAGCACGGTACGCCCGAGCGGATCGCTCCTTACGAGGTGCATCCGACCCCTAGCGTCGACGACGACGACATCATCGACACGTGCTTCCACTCTAGCGGCGGTAGCGGCCTCGAGGTCATGCCAAAACACTCAACAGTTCCATAGCTCCGCGCCGCGCCGGCGAGGCGGCAGCGGTTTAGGAGTATCAAGGCCGACAAGCTCGGCCTGACGACACCCGAAAAGGTCGACGAGTTCGCCAAGGATGCGTTTCCCGAATACGACGAGGTAGGGCTGGAAGGCCTGAAGCAGGTATACAGGTACACGCCGGAGCAGATGGAGGCGGTCAAGGCGGGCGAGGCCGCGGTGAACCCGCGGGACTTGGTGCTGCAGGGCCGCGTGCGGGACGACAAGTATCGGGTGCCGTACCTGGAAGACTTCTCCAAGGTGCAGCCCGTCATCGACCTCAAGGCCGAGAGGAAGCTCGACGCCAAGAACTACCAGTGGCTCTCGGAGCAGGACTTCATGGACAAGCTCTTTGAGAAGATGATGGACAAGTCGACGGAGAACATGCAGGAGGCGGCGGCCAAGGCCTTCAAGCGGTCCATGGAGCGGGTCAAGTCGGCGCAAGGCACCGAGATCGATCTGACGACGCAGGAGCTCGAGGACATGGAGACGTGGCCGGAGCTGCAGAAGAAGTATGTGCTCAACGAGGAGGAGCCCGGCGCGGAAAAGGCGGCCAAGAAGGCCGAGGCGTCGGCGGCGGCGGTGGACCACGGTACCATGTCGGCGGAGGAGGCTAAGAAGCTGCTCGAGGAGCTGGTGGAGGACTTTTCGCGAAGCCTCGACGTGAAGAAGGGCAACACGGCCTCGAGCGAAATCTTTGACGAGGACGACCGGCTCAACATCACGACCTCGGGTAACGCGCCCCCGCTCGGCAAGGTACCCGGCGTCGAGGGCCTCTACAAGCACGCGGCGGATCCCGAGGACGAGGGCCTCGACGACGAGGGCACCTACCAGTACCTCAAGCAGGTCACGGGCATGTCGGTCCGCGACATCCTCTCCCTCTTCACCAAAACGCTCGTCACCCGCTTCGTCACCAACCAGACCCGTCTCGGCAAGGTCCGCAGCTCCTCCGTCATGGTCATTGCCGGTAACGGCAACGGTCGTCTCGGCGTCGGCGTGGCCAAGTCTGCCGATTTCGGTACCGCTGCCATGGCGGCCCGCATGTTGGCCATTCGCAACATGAAGCCTATCCGCCGATACGAGAACCGTACCATTTACGGCAACGTCAAGCAAAAGGTTTCGGGCACCGTCGTCGAGCTCCGCGCCCGTCCTCCCGGTAAGTGAATTTTGAGAGAAAACCTGAAAGAATGTGGAATATGAAACTAACTCTTTTTCTTTTTTGTACGTAGGTTTCGGTCTCCGCGTTCCCTTCCGCCTCTTTGAAATGTGCCGCGCTGCCGGTATCCATGATATCTCGGCCGTCATTCCCCGGTCGAGGAGCCCGATGAACACGGTCAAGGCGACGTTCCTGGCCCTCACGAACCAGCCCGACCCCGAGGAGATTGCTAAGGGCAGGGGCAAGAAGCTTGTGGACGTGAGGAAGGTGTACTATGGCGGTTCTGTATACTAAGTGTGTACCAAGTGTATATCTGTAGCATTATGGGGCCTATAGACGAGAAATATCCCCCGTTGGCGGTTCTTGTATAGATACTTTTTTATCCTGTTCCTTGTTCTCGCTTTTTGTCAAATAGAAGCACACTCTGTAATCTCATCACACACAAGATTTTGCAAAACAAAAAGAATTCATCCTCAGATCCTTGGTAATGCGACAGACCCTAGGGTAACTCGAAAACCAACATCGTAATAAAAAGAATTGGTATCATGACTTCGTTCACTCATCTATTCCACACACGAAAAGACTTTTTCCCCATTCTCCTCCTTCCCTATCAAGAGTCTCTCGAACGGTAACCATTTGAAAAAAATGTCTGCCTGCTTCTCCAAACGCCCTCAATACGCCGTCCCTTCGTCGTCGTGCCCTCCCTCGCGCTGATCCGCGCCCGCGCCTTCGCCGCCATCGCCCCAGTCAATCTCCTGCTGCAGCACGATGCTGTACACGCTCGCCTTGAGCAGCGTGAAGACGAGACTCGTTTTCCGTTCTAGGTCCCGCAGTCCGTCGAGGATCTCGGTGCTTGGTCTGTCGGCAAGGTCGCCGAGCAAAAGTGCGAGCTGTGAAAGAGAGACAAAAAGAAGCACATTTCTTGGTTAGCGCTACGGTGGTTTATTTCCTTTTTTCTTCTTCTCGTTCAGTTTGCCACCTGTCTGCTCTCCGCGGCGGGTGTTTGCCCGTCCCGGCTGAGAACGGGAGCAAGCTTGTGCCTCGCCAGACCCTCATTCTTTTCATGTATTCCTTTTCGCCTCCACTCGAGAGAAACATCCTGCAGGGGGTCCAGGTTTGAGCTGCGTACCTTTTTCATATTCTCCGCGAGGCGTTCATATTCCTCGAGTACCTCCTGCTCCAGAGGACTCAACTCCGGAGGCGACGCCAGGGGATTCATCGCCAAGCGCCCTTGCTACAGGTGCAAGGAGGAAAGGAGAAGGTGGCGCTTTTACTTTTTGCTTTAGGGTTCGTTCGGTCTGGGTCGGAATGACGCTTGGAGCGGATGAGTTCGTGGGTCGTCTGCGCTTGTGAGGCCGCGAATGTCTGGAGGGCGAGAGACCGCAACGCGACGCGAAAGGATTGATTGACTGATGGTGGGGGAGAATCTCATCCAACCCCGCTGCTGCTTTCGTAGGCAAGAAAGCGTTGCGTTCTTTCGCACTGTTCCTCTTGCTATATCCCCATATATCATGACGAGCATTGCACGGTGCGAAGACTTGTTCCATCCTCGCTCGAGATGGAGGTTTGTCGAAAAGGCATCTAGTTCCCTCATCAGACCTCTCTTACCGTTGGCAAAACCACCAAGACGCGCCGTGGAAGTGAGTGAATGATCGTATATTTCATTGCAGTGAAATTCCTGGCCCCATTTAGCCCTTTCCAAGTGACACTGAGCCAGAGGTGGCCGGCCACCACGAAGGGCAAGCCGGTATCCCCCAATAAGTAAAGCAAACATCGTCTAGAGGAATGGGCTTTCCAAAACTTGGACACCGTTAAACGTCCTCCCCAAGTATTCCATACGTTATATTGGGACCAAAGAGGGGACAGTCAAACGAGCGTGGCCAAAAGGCGCCAGGCCCGGCGTGTTTCGATCCTCATCAAGAGCACGAGCAACCGATCAACCTGCCCTAGAGTTCTCAGTAAAGCTTGAGGCGAGGGGTCAGTACCATTACTCAAGGAAAAAACCATAGCTTAGTGGAATAATGGAGGCTGTTTCCATTGGTTTGGTTGGTCTCTCACCTCGAAGTGCAATAATCTACGTTTACTGTATCTTATGGCCAAGCAACCATTACAAAGGCATCCAGACCTCAGCTTCGGAAGGCACACTCTGTTAGAAGGAGGTGGAAGACTTCATACAAATCGCTAGTCATACTGCCAAGTAAGCTGCCCCAAAGGTGGCCTCGCCCCTCCTGAAGATGCTGCGGCCAGGTAGATGGACCCTCCTCGAGGTGAACACAAGCGAGAACAACGAGTTCGTAGAATACCGAGTTCAGGCATGATGCCCTTCTTCGGGATAAGCAATGAAGAGACGTCGAATAGGTTATTCGGAACCTAGGGTAAGAAGAAAGAATGCTTGGTTGGCCTATCTGTTCATCTCTCGGCGAGTAAGTAGGACTGAAGCGCTCCGTCCGCCCGATTCTTCCTGTCAAAGGGTTTCCATAGATCGTGAAGAAAAAGCGCACAACTTCTCCCCAACGGCGCTCGACTGCAGGATTAAGCAATCATCATTCACTTTACAGAGGGCCCTCGCCTATCCGACTCCAGTCCATGTTCATAGAGCCTTTGGGAAACCGGCCAACTCAAAGTCGACTACCTCGCCAGATATGCTAGGATATGCCCCCTCAAGAGGAGAACGCGAGCATGTAAGAGACACAGCAAGTCACATTCCCCTCCCCAGCGACATCCTCACCCACCACCAGTGTCCCTCAGCGGCATGCAGTTTCAAAATACTACCAAGCACGGTCCAGCCCTGCCGTCTTCGTCCTCCCCCTCTCTCACCCTTTCGGCGTGACTTGTCGTTGTCGCTTGTGCATGACGGTCTGGTCATGACCACAACTTGTCCCTTATCCCCTACCGCAATCTCTCGTCTCTCAAGGAAGTACGAGGATGGCCGGAAGAGGCCCCACGGCAAAAACTTCATTGCACTCCTTTGCTCTTGAACCTGCCCGTTTCACTTCCGCCAGGCACCTCTTACCTTGGACCAAGCCGAGAGCGAGGCCGACGTCATGTGTGCCGCATGCGCCGCATGGACCGCCCCCATCCAGACAGCAGACTTCCGGATCGGCCGCCGCGGATTAGTCTTGCGTGCCTCTGGTACGGGAGCCTCACCGAAGGATCTTCCATAACCCGTCTGATTATGTTCAACCGAACTCACTGTGACATGCTTGTCCTGGCCATGCCCCCGGGATACTGAGGACGGTTGGCTTTTCACCGAAGAGCGAGCCAGAACGGCGGTGGCGGGGTATCCTTTTACCAGAAGCCTCATTCCGGACACCGTTCCCCTAGCCATGACCACTAACGAGCGGCTCAACGTAGGAGATTTCGTGAACACATGGGATAGAAAGGGCGGGCCTTCTCTTGCGGCAGCGGGGACATGGTCGGTAAACGCCCCAAGTTTCACCACCCTCATACCCATGAGATATCTAACTCAGTCCGCCGCCCGGGGAGAAAAGGTATTGTCACCCCCGAAGTATGAGGTGAGCATCCGCGCGAGGGTCGAGCTACCTCCCGGCGGGTTCCTAATGTGCTACCGGTGAGCTTATTCTCGATCAATAGTCTACGTGATAAATCAACGTAGAGAATATGCTCTCTTCATGGCTATTTCTCCAACCACTAGCCCTCATATTACGCGGTCTCTTGGATGTAGCGTGGGTATGATGACATCCCGTTTGAGCAAAGGCAGCCTCGAAGTGGCAAGGGCATTGAACGGGTTGGAGCACCGGAATGATGAACCCCCAACTCAGGGCTTTTTGATCCACTCCTCCCACCAGTGCTTGTTGAGCCAGATCATCTTGCAGACCAGGTCTGCTATTCGCGAATCTCCAGTTCCCGGTTCCTCTACACCACTCGAGGGACGAGTAGTCATTGACATCTTTCGCACCCCCTTTTGCACTCACAAGGGGAACAGGAGAGCGGATATCCCTGTGTCCTTTTTGTTTTTTATTCTTCCATTTTTCCCACTCCAAGTTCGCCCTTCATTCCTTGCAGGATTCCGCGTCTTTGGAGTTTTGTGGGCCCCGTTCCGTCAGGTATCTTCTCATCGGACAGCGTTCACTCGTACAAGCTCCAAAGCAGTCAAGCTTCCCTTGCTCCCCTGCTTTCAACCAGCCATCCTCCGGTATAATACAGCAAAGTTATTCATTTACACTGTACAACCCGCACCAACATAATGCGAGTTTGGGCCGGGTACTGGCGAGCGCAATGCGTGGAGATTGTTGACGGCGGCGTCGACGCTTCCCGCCAGGTGTCGACTAGTGTCTTATACACAAGGGAGTCCGAGCTAAGAATAATCTGGGGTAAAGCAACTAATCCAAGTCTAGCCCTTGCTTGTACTTGGGCGCTTTCACCCTCCCCCAGAACCCTGAAAATCTTGGGAGGCAGCGGATGTTCAATGACGATTTGGATAAGCCAGTCGTGGTTGTACCATGGGACGCTCTGGTACCAGGTACCAAGCCGCACTGAGCCAAGCCAGGGGGTTCATCACATTCTCCACCCACACTTTTGGGGAGCACGCACGGCTGCTGCATGTGTGTGTGAACAGAGACCGGCCGGTGTTGCTGTAGTCGATGACAAAGTAAAAGCAAGACAGACCGAAGTAGGAGGGCAACAAAAACTGAAGGAGTCAGCAAAGAAGATGATCACATACGATCGCTGGTATGGAGTGAGTCAAGGCGGTCCCGGCCCGGCTTTGGATGTCATTTGCTCAAAAGAAAAAAACTTGAAATGTTCTTTCTTCTTTTCGCGTCGGTCGTACGAAATACATACCACGCAAGCATGAGCGATATCCTTCGGGACGTGGTCGAGGCCGGTCCTCCAGTCAAAAAGCTTGTGAACGCCCAACTCGGTTGATCGATGCACAATTAATGAGTTAAGAGTTGATGCCCTCGAGGTATGTTGATCAACGGCACGGGTGAGGTGGAGGCTAGACGTATGCTGGATATATTATCTGGCACCATTTAGGCTCAAAACATTTGGTTACCTCACTTTCCTGACCACGCCATCTGATCGAGAAGAATCGTCTGAGCCGGTGGGTTTAAGATCGAACCTTGTTTTCTCGTAGAGTCGCTAAGAGGCTGAAAAATGAGCATCGCTCTATGAGGGGTTTCAACATCTGCATGGGGAGGAGCGCAGACGAAGCGATTCCATCCGAGATGAAGGCCGCCCAGTCTCACCCAAGGTGTAGGATAGGCTGGTAGTTTGGATCGCTCTCTTGGTCTAAACCTCTTAATTAAACCCCCGTTAAGCGGAATGCAAGTGGCAGACGACCACATGAGACTGCACACAACATGGTAAAATTAGAATTGCCTGCTCAACTAGGCCGATGAATGGTAACAATAACAGTGGCTACAGGGTCTTGGAAGGAAGAATCTACTCTTGTCCCGATCCCTCAACTTTGAGCAAGCCTATCAATACTAAGGCGGTAAATGCGGGAAGTGAGAGGGGCGCCCAGATCGGGGACGGGGAAAGAAGAGCTTCCCACAGGATGCCAAATACGTCTTCCACCAACCAGATCGCGGAGAGTGCAACAAGAAAAGTTGAGTGGTGTCAAAGGCGCGCGTGACTGACTTTGGTGCGCTTTGGGGCACCACTGACGCGTTTCGGGAGCCAGTCTTGTCAAGAAAAGCTAAAAGGTGTGGCTAGTGCTGCAGCCATCACGAAAGGAGGGGGAAGAGGAGGGATGTGTGTGCGAGGGGAAGAACAAAAAAATAACCTACCCTCCCATCGCGGCGTCACCTGTTCCTCTTTCTTTCTGAGTTTCGAGTTTCATCCGTTTCCTCCTGGATACGCAAGCGACCTGCAGCTGGGGTCAAAGATACGGGCGTACCGGAGCAAAAACTTTTACCATATTTTCTTCATCACTTCCAGCATGTAATGGCTCGTCATACCGGTTTGGTTGGGGGCGGTCTGGGTGGAGGGGGCGTTGCCACACTGTTGTATCTACACGCAAAGTGAGACATCTGGACGCGTGAGCAGCAAGGTGGGTGAGCGGGCTGGGAGAGAGGAGCCCGGAGGCGGAGGTGCCAGCGGCGAAGCAACGGCGAGGCTCTGAGCTGGAAAATGCCGGCTTTGTTTTTGAGGGATGGAGGTTGAGAGCGTTGTTCAATTCAGTCAGGCCATCCCAAGGTAAAACGCATTCATCTAATCGCCAGATTCTTCCTTGCCGAAACCTAATCATCAATC